ACTTCCATGTCATAAAGGCTTAGTCATGTCTCTTGACCAAGCAATGAGCTGGTGCCCTGACATGATGTCAACCTTGAGCACAGCCAAGAAAGGTAAGGCCAAAAGAAAATGTACCACTATGAGGAGAGGGAGGGATGGAGGAGGGCCAACTGACAAAGCTGAAGAAGGGGATGATGCACTGACAGAGCCAATGGAATAAGAAGAGCTCAACAATTTTTGGGTCCACGTGGATGATAACCTGATGGACATGTACATGCAGCACAGGAAAGAGCCAGAGAAGATCACCACATGCATGTCCAGCTTTCTATCCCCTACTTACCCATGCTAATGACTGCAGGATTTTCAAGCAAATATATGAGGACAACAGAGTGCAGTTCTCCAACTCAAGCTTGTGGTGACCTCTTGCACACATACTGGTTGAAGCACCTGCAGGAGGTTTTGCATGGCAGATCAAGACGGAGAACATCGGGTGGGGAAGGGGAACTAGCTGAGTGGCAGTTGAGCTAGCAAGGGTAGTACACCATCCATTTTGGAGATCAAAGAGATACTTACCCAGGACAGGAAGCCTTTGACAGACAGGGATTCAAGGCTGGTGTTCTGCTGATGGTTGAACTCAAAATGGTCAGGCACCTCTGCCATGGAGCTGCATGCCAGCAGACATGTAAGCCATGGCTATCCTTGGATGTGCTCCAGAGACTGACAAAGGAGGATCAGTTCTCAGGGAGAGCAGTTGAGGTTAAAGGAGCAGTTGGACATCATCGCTAGACTGGGCTATGGTGAAGGTGTTCTGCTGCTTGATGTTCATATTGCTCTGCTCAGAGCACTATTGTGCCCATGTCTCTAGGAAGTCACACTCATACATTATGATTAATTGATATGTTCATTGTCAATATCAAATACTGATATTTGACATGCACGGGGACAAACTGGAAGTAAATAATACCTGGTGCTCATTCACTCCTTATTCGGGATACCCCGATTCCTCTACAAATCCTTGACCCCTTCCCCTGAAGCCATGTGAGCGAGCCAACAAACCCCTACCTCAGCAACCATGAGTTGGCACACTGCCAGACCCTGGGATATCTACATCCGAGGTAGGCGGTGTATGTAATTTCCCCGACGGGAACGAACCCTGGGGGAAAGTGGCAAAAATAGAGTGTCGTCTCCCAAGTTTACCCCGCATTCATCTCCTTCAGCCACCTCCACCTCACCCTCATCCCTTTTTATCCCTTTCCCGTCATCCCGCCAAGGTTTATCCGTCCCGCATCAGGCTGTGCGCAAAGAAAGTCTCCATTCCTCGCGAGATAAAAGGGTAGCGAACCGAGTGTTGGTACTCAAACACGTATATTAGGTGATACGTTCTGGTTCCTACCAGTCACAACCCCAGTCGTACACATACCATGGAATTCGACAGCAGTGTCAGAGAGCAATATTACTCGGCAACGCTAGGCTTCTGGAGATAAGATTCCAACTCTCCCTCACAGAATAGTTCGTCGTCTTGCACCAAATGTTGTCCTCCTCGCTCCGCAGCTAAACGCGAGAGCCGCGTACCGGAAAGCAGCACGTTCCCAACATCGGCTAACGGTGCATCCGACTGCAAAAGCAGTCTTCGAGTCGCACATGCACCTTCAGGGTCCGGAATGCCACGCATGGGTGCCAAGAACGTGGTCGCTGCTCTGATTACAAGCGCTTCCAGTTTTGGTTTTGTCTGGCGAAGTCGGGAAGTGCGTATATATGCAGGACGGGCCGAAGACATATGGTTAGATCCTTCCGTGATGTGCTGGACTGGGACCATATTGTTACTTCGCGGACTGTCAAGGGAGGTGTCCCCATCATCTTCACAGTCCTGGCACCAATAGTCACATTCCACGTCATCCTCCCCGATGTGGGGTTCATCATATGCCAACGAGACGGAATCACTGATATTGTTCCTCTTGTGCCCCAAATATGGAAGAATCGGCCATCGTCCGGCGTCCAGTTCGCTTCCAGAAGCTTCGCCAATCAGGATAAGCACATCCTTGAGCCATCTCATACGGCTTGTAGATGCTATACCGTTCGAGAGACTTAGAAAGGCTTCAGGATGCCTGTGCTGCAACTGGGTCTTGATAAACGAGAGCAGCTTTACAATTTCGGAGTATCGTTTGAGGACGGTGGAGGCCCTCTTCCCCAAGCGGCTACCGAGCAAACCGGCCAGAACTTCGAGGCCTTGTAGTCGAATTTCGGCTTCAGCCTCGAAAGCAAGAAGCACTACTGCACAGGCCACTGCTCCCACATGCCGTCCATGGACGAGCCCGTTGTCTGTAGCAATGTTGAGCAGCCTTCTTGCCCACTCTAGTATGCATTCTTGCGGCGCCGAAAGAATGAGGTCTGTAGTTGTCGCAGGAAGGGAGGGGAGCAGTCGAACGTCAAGAGTAGTGCGGATATGAGAAATTAGGGTAGGGAAATGAAGATGTGGGTCCGTGAGCGACAGTTGCAAGCCTAACAGATGTTTCACTTTTCGATATACGCGGGCTAATCGAGGCAGAGGTCGCGACGTGAGTATCTGGACCATTGTGAGTACCAGAACAGGGGAAAACAATGACAGAGTGCAAACGTACGGCAAGCTCTCGCAGAGATTCAGGAAGAGTTGCCTCTCTCAAAACAATAGACACACAGCACGCTGCCACATCTTCCGCACGGGTCGAACCCCACGCGAAATGTGCGCGTTTGTGTACAGTGTCAAAGAGGTGTTCCGCTCTGTAACTCAGGCTGTCAGAACGGCGATTCAGTGCGAAAAGTAGATCTCGAATAAGCTTATGTCGGGTGGCCTAAGGTAGGTATTTAGTGTTTTGTAAAATTGGCTAGAATAAATAACATACTTTAATCATATCACGTCTCACTTCCTCTGTCTGAAAGCCCTGCCGTGAAGCTCCATCCGCACGCATGAGAGCACGGCCCGCGAATTCTAGACCATAATGTTGACCGAAACCATGACTACTTGATTCATTGTCGATGATGATCTGCGTTGGATCGCATAGGACACCACAGTGCGAGCAGATCATGGATAACGCGTCGCAGTCGAATAAAAGGCTTGAAGAGTTGCATGCGGGGCATGTTGAATTCCCGGACATGGACAGATGAACTTGAGTTGAGCAGGAACGAGGCGCCCTTATTATTGCCTCCGTTGTGAAGAGACTGCTGGTCTTCCCTCAGAAGTGTACTTCCCTCTCGAACCGTACCTCTGCATCCCCTATTCATACTCTATCATGGCGTACACGTCTCCAGATGGTCCTTCCATAGCAGGACCATCTCGAATGCTCAATAATCACACGCCAAGCTTCATGAACAACTTGCATCCGCCTGTACAGAATGGGCATCCATACGCGTCTCCGCCAGAGACGCCAGAGACAACACCTCATTCCACGGGAGGCTCGGACGAGGCTGGGCATTCGCAGACTTCTTACTACCAGTGCGTTCATACTGTTCTGCGTTTTCGCAGTGAGCTCACATATCTAGGTCTACCACTGCTGCATATCACAACGAGGAAATCCTTGGTCATCTTTACCACACTGGGTTTCAGATGGGTGTAAGCGTTTTTTGAGTGAAAGACAACTGAGCTGCGTCCCTCATTTTAACTCAGAACTATTCAGACATAAATCTTGTGAGCATAGTGGTCAAACTACGTTGTTGGAAGACTGATGAGATGTGAAGCACATCGAAAAGCGACAGTATCGACTCCATGCATTGATTTTGGCTCGCTCAACAACTCTGGCACATCTTATGTCTACTGCGTCACATTCGTCTCCGCAGACAATCTACATCTCTCTCTCCTCGGAGCCTTTTATTACTGAAGAGGTTTGTCATCTGGGCTTGGTGAAACGGCTTGTTGTGTGTTGACTCCTCTGATTCTAGGGTTTTTCTATTGCTCTGGGCTTTCTATACGCCTCTGTGTCTCTGCAACTTGTTACTCCCCAGAATGCCTTATCGGTGCTTGCTAGCGCATGTTACCTTGGAGGCATGGAGGACATGGCTGCTCACGCCTATGCTGTGTGCAAATCAGGCATATCCCTGGAGACCTTGCCCACCTGGATGCAATTTGTGTCCAGCATCTCTAATGACGACATTGACGCCAAAGGGTCCTTGTCCTGCAGGGAGAAAAATAGATCGAGCGAGCATCGCAGCATCCTGGGCGACTATGGCGAGCGCTTGAAAGACGACGTCATGCATTATTTTATCGCTGTCCTACCGATCGAACTGGGCACTTTCGAGCCTCGGGCAACTGTGGCATCACCAAATACATCCACTCCTGCGGCATCGCCTGGTAGGCCATCTGGTTACAACGTTTACCTGCACCTGTACACTTCGCTTCCTTTCACCATTTTCAAGCTATGTATCGAATCTCCCGTACTTCCGGCGCCCTCCGATCACGTCAGATTCAACTTTGCGAAAGCATGTGTCGCAGCGCGTAAGCCAGGGCTTGGTCGAGATAGTGAGGAAACTGTTGTACTCGCATTCGGGACGGAAGGGGGCAGTGCAGTTTGTTTGGCGCGCAAAACAAGGAAGAAAGCGCTGTGGAAGGTAACCAAGTGATGTATTCCTCAATCCTAGTTCCATAATGAACAGGGCGTGTAGTGCTATATTAAGGGCAATTCGTGCTGACATTTTCTAATTGATCATGAGTTTGGGTTGACAGCATTCCAGGTTCGCTGTGATGTTGTCAAACTCGCGGCTGGAGTTGATTGGGAACTAACGAACCTCCAGCTGTTCCTCCATGGTCCAGTGCTTCGGCTCAGATGACGCGATGCTTGGCTTAGCTTGATGAGACACCTGATTCGGCCGGCCAACGGGGGCTGGGTCTGTATCACGGTGTGAGGACGACTCCGTCACCGTCACCCCTTTCCCAGATGACTTTCCTGAGTTTGCAAGTGGTGGATTCCATTGACCACCCGAAAAGGGTGACGTTGGATCACTGGGAACAATATTGAACGAGCCAGACTCAAGCCCGCGGGAGATATTCTCGATCAATGATGAGATCTGCGCTGAAGAGCTGAAGTACACCTGCGGAAGAATTTAGCGGGTGAGGGGAAGACTTGATGGATATAGACCTTAGTTTCTGGCCGTGCTCGACCAAATTGAATTGCTGCTTTCTTAGGAAGGGCTGCCTCGCTTCCCTTCGACGATTCATTTCGCTTATGTCCTCTGACAAACAATTGCACAGTCTCGTCCCTTGAAGGGGAGCCCGTTGAGAAATCTGACGTGAAGGATGATTTGTCGTCCTCGTCATTCTCGTCGGCGATTCCAGCTCGCAAACCATCAACCACAGACTAAGGGTCGTCAGAACAGTACACAAACACATAAGACTGCTACTTCTCACCCAAATCACCTGTCCATTGGATAATTCAAGCAGCTCAATACCTGCATCTCGAGGGATCGACGTCTCGGGACATCCTGGTATAGACGGACCAAGGGATCGAATACTTCTTGCATACTCGCTGTGATGACCCATGAACGAGATAGACAAAAGAAACTCGTCTGACTTACTCGGACACATTGACATCTTTGGACCCAGGTTCTGCAGGCTTGACGGGGCTTAATGCACTGTCTACGAGTGGCATACTGCTGAGCAGAGAAGGTAAAGGTGGCGTGGAAGCTCCAGCGGCCTTTCTTGTCGATAGACGGGTTGGGGGAGGAGTTGGCACCCTGTCTCTGATTGAACGCGAGAGAGAGAGATTAGATGAGGCGCTCCCGATTCGCGAATGGCCTGCGAACGACTTGCGAACTGCGGCTATGTGTTCAGCTGACAATACGCCGGACTCTGCAAAGATCAGGGTTCTTCGAACAATTGGGTTGCGTACATCCAAATGATACGGTGTGGACACATCCAAATGTGCATGTACAGAGCCACTCTGCACAGGTGGTCCTGGATTCCGGGCGGAAGGATGGCGGGTAAGCAGCGAAGACAAAGGTCCTTGGATTTGCATCCTCAGAGCTGCAGATGCTTTCCCAGGCTCTTGGTAATTCGTTCTTTGTGCTATCAGAGACGCATGGCCTTGCGATGTAGCAGGCAGGGCGCTTGAAGAACCTCTTTGTGCTTCTTGCTGATGTATAACTATTGGGGTGGGTTGGGCAGCATCTGTATGTTGGGTGGAGGATAGCACGCCAAGGTGGGACGTAGTGAGGTGCAGCGCACTATTGTCCCCTTGTACAGATTTACTGTTCCTAGAAGAGATATCCACAATCGAGCTAGTTGCTTGTTTCTGCTGCAAAGAGAATGATGTTGAACTGGGAGAACCAATCGTAGTTGTGGGTATCGCCGACGGCAACGAAGAATCCGTTTCTCTTTTGCTTCTACGAAGTCTTGTCATGAACCCTTTAAGGCCCACCTGTCCAGCGGGCGGAGAAGAGACCCCAGAGATATCTCTCCAGTCATCTTTATCGCTGGCTGTGACATATTGCGGATTTGAGAGGGTTTGGAGATGCAAGCTGCTGGGGAGAGCAGGCGGCGCTGTAGTTGGACCAGCGGAGAAGTGGGCGGTATCAGAGTGAATAAGGGGTTTCGCTTTCACGGAATTCCGAAGACGCCGTAACAGTCCAATGGGCTTGTCAACCTGGGGGATGGAAGTCAGTGACGGAGATAGCGGCAGACCCGAGACCTCGCTAGTAATGCTGCTTGACAGGAGCTGCGGACTGCCAATATGTTGTGGATTGATACGCTTCAAGCTTCTGCGACCCCCTGAACCCTTGTCCGCCACTTTCGGCAGTGATGGGCTGTTTTTCAAAAAAGCTGTCGCTGCAGTTGTTTGTCGTTCGACATCCTTCAATAGCTCGGGGTCATCCGGTCTCATCCTGTTTTGAAGCGGGACGAATAATGTATGATCCCCGATATCGGCTGGAGTGCTCCGAAACGGGATAGACGAGTGGTTTGGCAACTTTCCAAGCTCCACAGATTCTTTGCTTGGTGTAGTTATTTCGTTTGTGTGGGGCGATATGCTAACGGCGCTTTTTAGCACAGGTACCTTGTCGGCTGCATACTCAGCGACAGCTGACGGGGCTGTGAGATCAAACGCCGGAGATATGTTCTGCGTAGCTGAGAGACTCTCTAACATAGAAGCCAGGAGCATATCAGCTTTCGATAATTTGGGAGAGGCATGCGAGGATAATGCCACAGGATGGGGGAACACCGGAGCAGGCGAAAGGGCGTTAGGTAGAGGCTGCGCTCGTTTCGGGGTGACGGTAGACTCCGTTGCCATGCCTGCCTGCTATCAAATTAGCCCATGATGGCATGCAGAACTATTCTTAGAATTAAAAAAAAGTTCACCTCGGTATCCTCCCCACTGAATCCTGATTGTACAGAGTACGGCGTAGAGGAGCGCCTCTGCCGACGATGGTCGATCGCGCCGTTAGATGTAACGTTGTTGGGAAGATTGGATTCTAAAGTCTGCAAGAGGCGCGCCTGGATCGCGTGTACTTCTTGCCGAGAAATCCCTAATGTGTTCAACGCATTCTCATAGTCAAACGAGGTATGAAGCGGTTCCCCTGTATCTCCACTATGAACCGCGAGCTTTTCCGCCATCATACCGTCCCAGCGGCTCAATGGCTCACTCTGGAAAGCGTTCGCAAAGGTACTTCTTTCGAGCCGAGTTGCGAGGAGATTATCGGTGGAAGAATGATAACTTGAACCAAGCGAAAGGGATGACGATGAAGTGCTGAAACGAGACGATAAATCCAAACGCCCTCGGTTCGCTCGCGAGCTAATAGAAGACGATGTGGAATGAATCCAACGGCCACTTGAGTCGGCGTCTGTAGACGCATGCTTCCGCTCAGGAGGCGGCGTTCGGAGAGCACTAACGCTCAAGGGGGGTGTTCGCGATATATCTTCCCTCCTAGATGAACGTTGTATTTCATCGCCACTTGACCATGCCTCTGATAGGACCAACATTCGACTAGACGAGCTTGGTTCCTCTGCTGTGGATAACGACGGTCTCCGGGAGGTGAGTTTCGGACTCGGAGAGACTGAAGCTTGGTGTCTTCTGCGCACAGGGGACGTGGGCAGTCCATATGAGGAATTTGGATCTCCTATTGAGGGTGCGCCCCCTATCTTGTTGTCCGACATACTCAAGTCTCGTCTTGTGGCGCCGAATTCTGATGGATATGTGTCCCGCGAAGCATCAAGAGGGATTTCCAGGTGGGAATCAGGTATCTTCGTGTCCACGAAATGCGACGTTTGAGACGGGCGATCAGAAAATGTGGTATCTACACGGTTTGTTATGCTATGAGAGCTCGGCAAGAGCTGGCCTTGAAAGTACGAGTGTGAGCTGGGTACGGGCGAGGACGCTGGAGAGCGCGTATCTACCGACGGCATACGTTCCTGATCTTTTGCATCTATTTCTCGCCGAGGAGTGATTGGCCTGTGCATACCAGGGATGTATCCAGGAATGCGACGTGCTGGATCACCAGCAACTGGTGGCGGCGACACGGAGTCAGTCCGCGGCAACTCATATTCTCGGTGGTGGCTACTTGAAAATGCGCCAGAAGTCCATGGGGTCTGTGCGGTGGCTTTGACGTTGTCATTCAAGACAATGTTCGACATCGGTGCCCCTCCGCTGGAAGGGATATTCCCGCCGGACAGGATTGTTCGACCGGGGACGTGAATGGTCGGATCTTGGACAGTCGGCGAGAGTCGCTCCATGCTGGCGCTCGCAACATTGAAACTAACTGCCTCGCTCTCTATGTCATCCAGCACTTGTTCAAGAGCTCGCGATACGCGGTTCATTCGTCCAGCCGTCGCAGCAGAGAGGAATTCTGGGGATCGCAGTAACAGAGTGCTTTGTGTTGATTGACCTGCTTTAGTTTCGCCCCTTGTGATAGACGCATCTTGTATAGGATGGGCATCTTCGTATGGCGACGACCCGGTGAATTGACTGGGCTCATCCCTGTGCTCCTGCGAATCGCTGCCACCAACGCTACCCTGCGTCGTGACAGTGGAAGGACGACTACGGCGGGAGGGAAGGGGATAATCCACATGAGATCCAAATAGATTGTTGCTCCTCCTGTTGTTGCTCCGATGGCTAGATTTCTCTGACCCAACAGAAAATGCTGGGGATAAGGGCTGCATGTCCTCCATGTGCGACATGGAAGTGGAAAAGGCTGATTCTGGTGAGGGAGTTAAAACAGTCTGATTTTCTTCCATTCTGGCATTTCCCAGCATCTCAAGGACCAGATCCTCTTCCTCCTCGGTGAGTTGATCCACCGCTTGGGCCCGTCTTTGGACGAGACGGTCCTTAATGTTCTGCAGACGGATACGATCACCATTCTCTGTTCTGAGCAGCGTGAATCGACGTGTAAGTCTGATCATACGTAAATAATAGCATCAAATAAGGAAGAGTCGTTTCATACGAAGGCAGAATCAGCGAGGTGCGGAAATCGGAGGGCGGGGGTAGGATGGCATCAATCGCAGGAAGGGAATTCGCTGGAGGCACCGGGGGCGGCCGAGGGCGCTGTGTGTCGGATTTCTTTCTAAGTCCTTCATGAGCATAAATTGCCACACTCCACCGGCATGAGAGCTCTTCAACACACCGGAAACGATACATGGCGGACAGGAATCAATGTTTCGCAGCTCAAGCGCATGCGATGAGCAAATGAAGGACCTTGCGCGATGGGGTCGGAGGGTATTAATTATGCGACGGTATGTGACGAGACTGGCGAATAGTTTGCAGGAAATACAAGTGAAATAGTGGTGGTCGGATGAAAATATATGTAGATGACACAAGAAATGAGGATTGGAACGCTAGCAGTGGCTGGTTTGGGCGTGTTCAGGGCGTGCAGACGCCACCCATTTGGGCGCTACCCTGGTTCAATAACGGTCGTCACATCGCTCTTCTGGTTTGTTTGCTGCTAGAAATTACACCGTACAACAGAATGGACACTTCTGAGTCTGTCATTTTATTCCGAACCGAAGCAGACTTCCAGCTGGAGCAAGACCGTCGGTCAAAACAAGTCCGATTGAAAGACATTGGTGATCCCATCTATCTGGGAAAGTCGAAACCGCTGTGCCTTCACGTCGAGGAAGGCTTTGCCTGGACTGGAGAAAGTAATGGCACGATTACAAAGAGGTCTTTAGAGGTGCGGCATAAGCTAGAAATTCCGCATTCACTCTCAAAGCCAGGCAGACCAACGAAGTGCACCAAGTCTTCCGTGGCCATAGAGGGCCTGTTAGTGCCATTTGCGTGTGTTGGCACACGATGCGCCCAGCGCTGGCGAAGAAACGCCTCATCATTTCCGGCTCTTGGGATAAACATATCAAGATATTTGACGACGAGGTTCGCTCCTTATACCAGCTCCCTGCCGTTGCGAAAGTCCGAACTTCGTTCAGAGCGGCCAATTGCTGAGCGATACAGATGCTCATACAGATTTCATCAAGTCTTTGACCCATCTCGATCTCGAGAACATCATTGTCTCAGGTGGCTCTGATAAGGAGATCCGATTTTGGCTACTACCGCCTCAATTCACCACCGGTTCCCAAAAATTAGAATGTGAAGGCTTCGTGCGAGAACACACGAGGCCGGTCGTGCGCTTGACGAGTCTGAGAGATTTCCACACGGGCAAGCCTATTTTGTATTCTGGAGACAGCATGGTTAGGAGCGTCTCTCCAGAATTACTGCCTTTAATGCATGAACAGGGAACCTTATTCTCTTGGACGGTAAGCGTTCTACCCAGTGGTAATGTCGGAAGACGGGTTCGTGCGACAAAGATTGGCCAATTCAAGGGTCATTCGACTGGGATAACGGACTGGTGTCTAGGATCTGGACAGCTTTGGACAAGTGAGTCCCCTTTTTCGGATTGACTGAAAGTGCGTTGCAACTGTTTTATCGAGGTTCATCCGACAACTCCGTCCTCTTGCATCGAACGAATCAGGAACATTCCGGCCCCCTTTCACAAAGTCGAATCCAACATTCTCATCCTGTTAAAGCCTTGTTGGCCCTGCCAGTGACAGAACTGCAGATACCCTATCTCATAACTGCATGTTCCGACGAGAAAATTCGTGTATGGGATGTTTCCGCGTTCGAAGACAAGCTAGGACCTGCCGATTTGCTTCGAACAGTGGATGCCCACTCCCACGAGATATCCTCTCTTGCACTGTGGCTTAGAAAAGGTGCTGATGAAATAAGGGTACCTTGGGTACTGAGCGCTAGTCTGGATAGCACCTTGAGAAGATGGAAATTATCTGGTGTGTCAAATTGACTGCCTTCTCTCAACTCCGTAACAGCCGATCCAGACCTCCTTGCCCGTGACGAAACGGTGTTGCCTAACAGCTCAACTGAAGAAAGGGCCCCGTGCTTCGAGTTGACTGAGGAAGAGGAACGTGAACTACTAGATTTAGAGCAATAAATGCCATACTCTCAATTGTAGTCAACTAATGACTAAGACAAAAGAATGCCCATGACATTCACATCAGATATAACTCATAGAGCCTACATGTACCTCATCCTCGATGAAACAACATAAACTCGTCTTCCAACGACGAAAACAACCGCCTGAGAGGAAAAAAAATGTTGAAAGAGGCGCTCAGGAACAAGTTCACCCTAAGCAACCAGCTCACTTGAGGGGGCACGACCAACGGAAGTTCTCTCTCGTTGTTCCCCTTCCTCTATTGGTTCCAGAATAGGCGATGCACCCCCCTCTACAGATATGGGTATATGTTGGGGAATACTGTATGAAGGTGAGTCCGAATAAGAAACAGGGGGTGGAGAGCTGGATATGACGGATGCCAGAGTTTCAGCACCTGTCGAGAGAAGCAGTATTGTGTTGTTCGGGTCGTCTTCTGTAGCGTCACCACCGTCCATGGGATCCGAGGTTCCTGTAGCCTGCAATCTCGTATGATCCAGTTCGACGGAACTGTGAGAAATGGAAAGAGGAAAACCTGACGTTTCCACCACGAGTGGCTTAAACCGCGTGTGTCTGGATATATCTGATCTCGTGGGCAGTTCGATAGGTTGCGGGGGATGTAACATAGTTGTCGAAATTCCATGATGAACCGTGGCGTCGCTGGTTACAGGGTTCGATTCGATAGCGTCCTTGGGTGGGAACGTCTTTTGAGCGGCAGCCTCATCTTCTGCCAATACCGGGATGGGGATTTCCGCACCGGAGCGGCTCGCCATGGGGAACACACCCAGCCCCATGCCGAGGCCTGTTCCCTGCTGACTTTCTACAGGCTCGGAACTCTCCAAACCCATCCCAATCTGTGCCCATGCTCGAGTGCTCTTGTCCGCCCACGCCTCTAGGACGTTCCACCCTTTATACTGTCCGTTCAACCTTAAGGTTTGACCGCCATCCGCTCCACCATGACCCCGGGCTCCTCCGCTTGGGTTAAAGAAGTAGCCTTCGAAGCCCACATTATCGTCACTTCCGTCGCTTCCCTCATCGCTCTGCTGACCAGTTACCTCGTACCCTGTACCGTTCTCGATATCATCAACGAATGATGCAAGCCATGTTGCCCAGCCTCCTTCTCCTTCTCCCCTTCGGAGGACCACCTTCGTGTCGAAATCGCGACCAAATATAATCACTTGTCCATAGGCACCTCCCTCTCCAGGGTCTAAATCAACCCCCAAATAATTGCCAGCTCGATCGGTCGCAAGGGGTAACCAGCCTCGACATGAGTATTCTTGTTTGATCCAGTTTGGGGGGACAGAATGCATTTGGGACCGAAGGTGAGCATTGGCTCCAGTGGACGGATCACCATCAACTTCGCGCCAGAAAGACCATTCTGCAAGAGAATCTTCCAGGGACAACAATGCCAGGCCAAAGAAGAGGCCCTCGGAGCATCCACTTGACGATTCGGGCTCTTGCCCATCAACAATCGAGTACGATTCTCGTACGGCTGATGGCAATGGAGTCCCCAGCTGTTCCTCCACGGAGGCTAGTATGTCGGGAGGGGCGCCGTAGTTCAATGTATCCCCTAATTCAGTGAACTCGTTTGACAGCCACGTCTGTAGTCGGGCCCACGTATGTTGTAGTCGCGGATATAGGGCTGGCGGGGAGGTAGCGGTGTGATGTAATGGAAGCAAGTGACCCCCTCGTCGGTGGAAAGTTGGGCTGTGTTCATCGACAAGTATTCTAGCCGAGCTGGGCCTTTCTATATTGTCGGTAGAGGGTCGTGCTTGATCGTGCGAGCTTGGGCGGGGTGGATACGAAAAGGGGTGTGAGAAATCGCCAGGCGACGAATTGTGTAATGGGGAATGTTGAGGCAGGGAAAAGGCATCTCGTGTGCTTGATAATGCTTGCTGACGGCGAGCAGTACGAGCAGGTTGTTCATCGAGGCTGGGACCGGAGAAATATGACGCGATTGCCCGAAGGAAGGACATCCTTCAGGGGGATTGGAAGGTTGCGCGCTGCTGAGGGGAAAATGCCCTTTTCAAAAGGTGCGACGCATTTGCAATAATGGTATCCTTACCTGTGTATCTAGTAAATTTCTTTGGATACTGACGACAAAGCGGTACGAAGAGCGAACGGAGACTGCAGACGTGGATGAGAGATGGTGCAGAAAGGGGAGGAAGCCTCGGGGCTGGCGCGTCCATCTTCGCACGCGTCATGACGCACAGACGGGACACACTACATACATGCCAACCACCCGGTCTGCAACAAATGCAACAACATTCTTCATTCTACATCAGCAGCCTTCCATGAATAGAGTTAGGCAATTGCAATTCCAGTCATAGGTGAGTATGATAGTGGTCATTGCCTGTGGGAAATTCCGAGCTGCACGTGCTACCAGTTCTGTCTACGATATCCTAGGTGCAATTTTGAAATCACAGCCCGTCTTCGCTTTGACTTCGTCGAGCGTAGCGCCCTCCGCCAGCTCAAGTAACGTCAGTCCACCCGCCTTCCGATCGACCTCGAATACAGCCTACAAACTGTCATCATCACCGTTGCGTATTTTGATGTTTTGTCTCGTACCAAATCAGTGATAATCTTGCTCACACATCTCGCCCCAGTCAAAGGTAGATCACATTCTGCCAGTATTTTGTGAGAGCCATCTTTCGCTAGAAATATATTCCCAGGTCAGTTCCCTACCTCAAGTTGTTGCGAGGTATGTATTCACCAGTGTGATCCATCACTACCACCACCTTGGTACCATCGGGGTTCGATACGAGATCCATGGCACCACCCATACCTCATTGAACATTAGATCGTCGAATATCAAAACGTTCAGTAGTGCCCACCTTTAACCATCTTCCCTGGGATCATATAATTTGCAATATCGCCGTTCTGTGAGACTTGCATGGCCTAAAAGTCGCATTTAAGTCCGTTTGACGACTAAAGAAATGCAACGATGTTTGCTCACGCCCAACATTGAGACATCGATGTGCCCTCCTCGGATCATGGCGAATGATTCTGTCGAATCTGCAAATACTTAACAAACTTCAAGACTGTCGCATGAATGACCTCACCGAACACTGAGGCACCAGGTAATAAAGTCACTGGGGAAAGACATTGATGAGTTGCCCGCTACAGGTATAGACGACATCTCTCGCACCGGTTTCCTTTCCTGCGTTGATTATATCCGCGTCAAGCGTCTCTTCGGTTGGGTAAGGACCCATGCCTACCCCATCCATAAATCAGCCATGGGGTAAGAATATTCTGCCAAGGGAACAAGCACCTAATATGCCGTTTTCACTCTGCAACCATACAGAAACTCCAGGTGGAAGATGTCCTGGTACGAGAGTAGGCATGCCGACGCCAAGATTGACGTAATCGCCGTTCCTCAGTTCCTTTGCCGCTCGAACGACAATCCGATCACGTCGTTTCTGGGCCTCAGTAGGTTCCTCTACAGCTGCAGCCGAAACAGACGCAGCCGCTGATGTCGAAGGTGATAGCGTCTTGAATTCTATCTGTTTGGGGGCTGACGCCTGAACAATGCGATTGACATATATACCAGGTAGATCTTACCAAAATGTGAGTAAGAAGCTCATGTAGGGATCCATATACGCACGAATGGCATTGGGATCCAGAGATCCCACAGGAACAATATGTTCTGCCTGACTCGCATCAGTCCAAAGCCTCTGTGTGAATATGTTATGTGCACACACTTCAACAATAGTCAGCTTAGCATTTCGGGCCATCACACTGCTGAAATTGTTTGCCGTGTAACTTGAATCAAGAGAACATAAGCTTCACATGGCCAGAATGGTGTACTGTGCTCCCACCGAAAAACGCAGTTTCCGGATTCGTCTGCCTTCCAAACGTGCACAAACGCCACATCACCAGCCAATGCGGTTTCCATTATGTACTTCCGGCCGTTGAATTCTCGAGATTCTCGCTTTCGTCCCTCATCAAGAACGCCTTCCTTGAAGCCTCCTGCCTTGTACCGCATCGGAATGGTTCCATGTTCCACGGCCGTAGATGCACCAGTCGGTGTATAGAAGGCGGGAATGCCTGCTGCATGTGCACGCAAACGTTCCGCAATAGTACCTGAAAGATAATCGATCAGCAGCCACCCAATATACTGGGCTATTCAAATCGACCTTGTGGAGTAAGTTCCAGCCCTATCTTCCCGGCCAAGTACAAAGACTCGAAATGTTTGTTCCTAGACCTCATATTGAATATAACCCAATACGTACTTCCATACTCCATGCATACGTGCCGATATAGGATGCAATCATTTTGCTGATTTGGCCGGTATGCAACAAGAGGCCTAGGATATGTTGGAACAGCGATACGGACACTGGGCTGTTTGGGCTTACCCAGGCCACGCTTGCCAACCCCAGCATTATTAGAGACCGCCGTAAGATCCCTAACCTGAGGACGGCGCGACAGAGCCTCGATCAAAGTATCTTCATACGACGAAGCGGGTTAGTTAGTGTAATGTGGGACCGCGGAGGCGTACCGGGTGTTCCACAAAGACCAAAGCCTGACTCGCTCAAATCAGTTCAGTCATTCACACTCAGTGTAGGCATATCCCGTCACCTCCACTCAGCAGAACTTCTCCAGACCTGACGTCCTTGACGGCATCATCAACATTATCCCACACCTTAGACGCTTTCGGAACGCCAAGGTCGAGCGGACTGCTGTAGTTACGAACACGCTGTCGTCACATCAGACATCTCCCTGTGTTCGTCGGCCATAAAACACTGACAGGAACAATAACGAGGGCCCGGGAGGCTAGTCGACTTAACATCATGCCAACGGGGTCGAAGATAAAGAGGAATGAAGGGACACTGGTATTCTGGTCAAAATAAGTGGGTTTGGCCCTAGCCGGCTCAACGTTACGCCGATCACGAGGTGGAACGTGGAGGCGAGGTGGGTGTGTTGGGGGTAATGTTAACAGGCTGTACTGGTGAAGCACAAGTATGCTCTTATGGAGGGAATGGCACGAGTGGGTAGTGCAGTGTCGTATGGAGACATACGGCTGCTGAAGTGTGGGACACGAGTAGCGCGGCACGGACAGCTCAGACATGAGATAAACCACCTCTGTACAGCCGAAGTGGATAGGGAAGGCGCAAATGATATTGAGGTCAGGGGTCCCGAATATACACAACCAGCCAAACTGAAGGCAGACTGTGAAGAATCCCCACTCGCTCGTCAAACGCACGATGGTGTGCAACGGGATTAGTGGACAATATAGGTATGGCAAAGGCGAGAATGGAAAAACACTACGCAGCGATTTGCTGCTGTTCAGCGTTCTTCGAAAACTCCTCGAGAACTGTGATCGCCTCGGCAACTTTGTTCTGGAGCGCGTCAGGCGTCTCGATCAAATGAATGAGCTCAGTGGTTTCCATTTCGAGGAGCATGCCTGAAATGGGTTAGTAATATGAGCTACAGGGGAAGGTGCATGCATGTACCTGTGATCTTCCCCGCCAATTCAGGTTGCATCCTGTTGTCTCATGTCAATCAGAATAAGGCAGGAGAATACAATATGCGTACGCGTGTATTTTCATGTAAATCGCCTCCCCCAAGATCTGCTTCTGTTCCCCTGCAGATGCGTTCGCCAAGAGTGCAGCATTTATGGGAGGTTCCGTGGATACCGGTCCGGTCGTAGCCTGTCCCGTCGTGGTCGCATTGCGAGTGTTAGGGTTAAGCTTGTACGCTTGAGCTTGCCCGCCGTTTTGGGGAACGCCATTGGGTGTAGGAGCAGGACGACCAGCGCCAGCGCCAGTAACAGGACCGCCAGGACCAGCCATGGGCAGCCTTGTGCCGTTGCCACCAGTGACAACAGGGGCGCTAGGCCCGCGTGGCGCACTAGAGAGAGGAACAGGAGCAGGGGCGCCAGGACCACCAGGGCCGCCAGGCTGACGAACGGGACGAGGCCGTTGATAGGGCGTACCCATCCCGTAGGGCACGGGAGGCTGTCCATATGGTGGCGGTACCGCCATGCCTGCCATCTGCTGGCCAGGTGCATAACGCATTCTTGCTGGGCCAGGCGCGGGCGGGTAGCCCATGACAGGGCGCTGACCAGGGGGATAGCCAGCGGCAGCAGGTTGGTAAAACATCGGCGCAGCGCCATACGGCATATTGGGAATACCTTGGGCAGCTGCGAGTCGAAGCTGGTTGTTGCGCTGAGCGATCTGGCTCTCCAACTGTTGCTTGCGCACATCTTTACGCTGCGCAAGCGCAACGTACAAAGGCTTGGTACCGACGATTTTGTTGTTCATTTCCGACATCGCCCTAGTCGCCTCGTCTGGCGATGAGAAACATACGAAACCAAAACCTTTCGAAGTTCCCTTCTCGTCTCGCATAACTTTGCAAGAGGTGATGGTGCCGAAAGGCTCAAATTCTGCCCGGAGCTTCTCGTCGTCGACATCGTCTTCTAGGTTTTTGATGTAAAGGTTGGAGCCCTGATACTTTCCCGCCTTCTCATATTTGGCTTGTTCGTATTGTTTACGCAGCTCCTCCTCACGCTCAGACTTCTTCTGCGCCCGACCAACGAAGACCGGCTTGCCATGGATTTCCTTGTTGTCCAATTCTTCTACGGCACGTTGGGCATCCTCGTGATTTTCGAAGTTCACGAATCCGAAGCCTTTGCTGTTCCCCTCTTCATCCTTCTGAATGACGGCAGACGTAATGGGTCCGAACTGAGAAAACAACCCTTCAAACTCTTCCTCGCCCACCTCGGTGTCAAGATTTTTCACGTAAAGATTCGTGAAATGCGATTTCATTTCGTCGATTTTGGACTGGCGTTCCTGCAGCAAGTATTGGTCCATTATCCGAGAGTTTGAAAGGATACACGAACCTTGCGAGATATGTGCTGCCCGACGAAGACCTTCTTGTCGTTCAGAAGCATACCATTGACCGCCTTGATAGCTGCCTCCGCTGCCTCATTGCTATCGTAGTGTACAAAACCGTACCCTTTGGAAAGACCGCTATCGTCGGTGGCGACTTTGCATGACAAAACGGTTCCGAACGCGGCAAAGGTATCGTGGAGGGCCTGCTACCGAGTCAAACGGGCATCACAAGACTCGCAGTGTGCTCACCTTATTATCGATGCCTTGATCGAGGTTTTTGATGAAAATATTGCCCTGACCTGTCTTCCTTAGGCCAGGGTCCCGTTGAGACCACATGATGCGGCTTGGAGCCCATTAGACTGTATCCAAGTGTGGTGTGTGGTGCTTACCATGGTTTGCCTCTGATCTGGGAATAATTCAGCTGATCAAGCGCACGTTCCCCTAAAATTGCGATCAATGTGGATGTTACTAATACTTTGAACTTCCCAACCATCGTTGTAATTCAAGTAGTTCACATAGGCGTAACCCAGCGAACGACGTGTAACGGCATCACGACAGACACGGACGCTTGACGGATCACAACGTCAGAAGCGATACAAAGGAGCTAGCAAGCAGATACACACCTGGCTACCGGTCCGATCATGTTGAAGATCTCGAACAGCATGGCTTCCGTGACCTGAGGATCCAATTCGCCCACATACAATGATACCGGGCCCTGTCCACCCTGTCCACCCAAAGGCTGCGGAGCTGCAGCGTAGGACTGCACAATGGGCTGCCCGGACTGGATCTGAGCATTGCCATATTGCCCCAGTTCCGGATCGGTCGAAGGTTGCTGTGCTTCATTCGGAGGCCTTTCACCAAGTCCCTCAGACTTGGAAATAGCAGGCTCCAGTACAGGGGCAGGCTGGGGTGACGTCGGTGCAGACATGTTGCTGACTTTTCTCTATTGAACAATGTGAGTCGTGCGACCAGGACAAATCACGGATAACGCAACCTTTTCTGGGGGGCGAAATGGCGGTATGTGTGTGAGTAGAGGAGAGCGTTACTGTCCTAATATGTTTTTCTTTTTCTTTTTGAGGGGAAGGATAAAAGGAGAAACCGCGCAAGCTTGAGCAGACACGAGGGGCGGTGGAAGGGCGGTGAACACTGAAATTTGTGTTCGCGTCCCCCTTTATTTGTCGGAACCATTTTGGTACCTTCCTTCGCCGCCTGCCACTCCAAATCCAGCGCTCAAGAGATTTATTTCCCTAACTGAATGATCATAGACTCGCATCTTTGCCCGAGCTTTTTTTTGGTTTTGAGGACGTCGCTTTACAGACATCTACGGATAGTTCCGAAGGCACGCAACAGGAAAGCAGACTGGCTTCACACACCAACGAGTCATCTTGTATCCCTCTGTTATGCGGACAACAATCTGAGAAACATTGCCAGTCTCTCTTGGCGAAGATCCTTTGCGCACTCGCCCAGATTGCGTAATGCCACTCGGCTCCGAACTTCCTTGACCTCTCTCTTATTCGAGTCCCGCTTGAGCTCATTCCCTGCACTTGCCGACCACTTACAACAAGCAACATTGTCCCCAGCCGGTGAAAGGTTGTTTTAATTCACAGGCGTTGATGTGGAGACTCATCGAGCACATTTTCGGACTGCGGCAAAGGACGATTTGAGATAAATCCATGCTGGTCTGGGGACGGACGTGAAATTTGAGTCCGCTCGCACGAAACGACGTTAATGAAACTTAATAAGGGCCACTGTTTTGCTGTTCCTTGGAGCAATAACGAAGAGGATTCTTTGTCCATGTGTTACTAACCATTCAATAATGTCCAGCCTATGGTCAAGAAGGAATGCTACTGAAGCTGCAGAGGCAGAGAAGTGGAGGAAAGTTGGGCAGAAGAAGAGTGCACAGGCCCTATACTCTGCAGTGTAAGGTTCCATGGGCATGTAGTTGTGCTGTGTATCAGTAGTGTTAGATAATTCTTAGTGAGCTGTTCTACCCTTTGCTTTGACAACTTCTTTGCAGCACTAAATTCAATGACTGAAGTTCTGTGAGGTCTTCTGGATTGGGGACACAAGCATAAACATGTTTTCTAAGGTAAGACCAAGCCTGCTTAATAATAGGTCAGAGTATAGCTGGCTAGGCAAGGGCCTAAATAGGCTCTAAAAAGATTAAAAGTATGCGACCTTGCTCACCCTGGCTTGGCAGCCATACATGTTCCAAAGAATGTCTTCAAGGAGGTTCTAGTATGCTGGAATTTGACACAGTCAAGTTGCCTCACTCCACAAGGTCAGGCAATCTTGGGCCTATTTTGACCCAGTGTCATGTGTCTGTCAAGCAGAACTCAGTGGACTTCAGTCATATTGGATGAGACAGCCAGAATCTGTGAGCTTCAACAGCATTCATGGACATAATGACTCCCCTGGATATCAGCACTGCCAGATGCCCATAGTATCAAAACCCCTGCACATATAACAAACGTCACTTGAGACATGTGGACATCATCAAGTTCCTTCCAAACAATTCTGCTACTGAGTCTGTCAAGCTCCTCTGGGATGTCTCAACTGCATAGTATCACTGATAAACTATCTTTTTTCTGGCTCTTTCAGCTTTATATATCTATTGATCACCTCAGAACTTTGATTGTATGACAGAACTGACTGGATGTGCAACTTGCATCATGATGCAGGGAGGCAGCAGGGGGATGTACTGCAGAATGATCTTGGATGCATGGCCCACTCAGGGCAAAGAGACAACATCAGTATGTCCACTTCAATATACTAATAAAGAATCTCACACTGCATCATTTAATCATCCTCTACCTCCATCAACATGAACAAGACTCTTCATGAACCAACCCATTTCTGTGCAAATTGTGCCAGCACAAAAGTCTACTTTGTATGCAAAAAAATTGGTTCCCTCATGCACTCCATCAGCACAGGCTGATCATTTCAAATGCCCGCAACAGAGGATACTCTATACCCTAGTTACAGGAGGGGATCAGAGAGTTCAAAAGGGAGATTGTAGGAACCATCTCTGGTCACTATTCTATCAAGAGATCTCAGATGCATACTGTACAGCCATGGCATGAGATATCAAGGTTCTTCTCTTGTAAGCCAGGTTGTGGTGATATTCAAGACAGTTGAACTATCGTCAGTCATATCAACTTCAATGAGAGCTATGGAAGAATTTGATATTGAAACTGCAGGATGTGAATATAAAAACAAATCTTGGGAAGACTGCCAGAGATATTTACATTAGGCATATAACCACACCTCTATCCACTTCTTTTGAGGACATGTGAAGGCTGATTTACATACACTCCAGCTTGTGCAAGGCTGAAAGCCTCTTGTCTTGTGGGCAACATACCCTCATGCATGATCTTGAACAAGGCCAATGGTTCTTTGTTGCAGGCTTGTTATCAACCTATGGCTACTAGCCTGACACTTCCTCCCTCCCCTCAAGGACTATGGAACTTGAGGAGTATATATGATATAATTGTGCTGGGTGTACACTTATGAATGATGTCCTTTGAGAGCACAAGGTTAATCCAGGTGCTGTTCTGGTCTGGCATGCCCAGCTACTCCCACACTGGCATGGCATCTTTAATTTAAGACCAGATCTGGTAAGGGTGCTTTCACATGACACAGAAGCAATTTGATTCCATCAGAAATGCTCTACAGCAGAGTCCAAAATCCACATCACATGAGGTTACCTGGGCCATTACAATCAAGTGTAATACTTTGTACACATTTTGTGGTCCATCAAATTTTATTTATAGTTGTACTACTAACTACTCTAATTAAAATATATTAATTTCTGTCAGGATCTGTCTCTCACATCTAGCACCCCCCAAATGCCACATGCACTTGTCTATATTGCCGGGGGGGGGGGTTCACTATTAATTATTAGATGTCAGATTTTTTTCATTAGAAATTTACAACACTTCAGTGTGAAACTCGAGATCTGGTACTATTGTACCATTTGGGGGGAATCCGGCTGTGCGAGCTCTGCTCGCGCCACCCCCCAAGTGATTTTGTTGAATAATAACAATGCGGACAAGCATTCTTCGGACAAACATTCTTCGGACAAACATTCTTCCCCAGGGTCGGCGAATCCCGCGAGGTTCCGATGCCGCGGGTTGTTGGAAAGTGGCGCGTGACGATTGGCTGGTGACGCGGGATTGTCGACCAGGTCGACATCGGGGTAGAATCCTGTCCTCATCATCGACGACCCTTTCCACCATCACACCATGTTGCGTCGGTCGCTTGCCCGCTTGCCCAAACCGACTCTCAGCCAACAATTCCATTCCTCGGCGTCCGTGAGTCGCATCGCCGCGACTCGACCAGTGCGGGCGCAGGAAGTCAAGGTGTGTCTCGTCCGTATGCTGTGGGATGCCTTCCCTGATTTCTTATACAAGACTTGGGGACCGACTGCTGGCAAGTACCCGCTCATTGAGCATGAGTATGATGCTATTGTGATGTAAGTCAAGCTGAAGGTACACATCCCGATGTTGGGTAATAACCATGTCATCTAGAGGTGCTGGAGGCGCCGGTCTTCGAGCCGCATTTGGGCTGGCAGAGGCAGGATTCAACACGGCGTGTATCACCAAGTTATTTCCGACAAGAAGCCACACAGTAGCTGCCCAGGTGCGTAAAGCTATCGTTTTGTGGAGAAGTGTGGTGACTGACGTTCCTCGAAGGGCGGTATCAATGCTGCGCTCGGTGTGAGTACCTGGTTGTCTGTACAGTATAGAGCGCGTCGAAAATGCTTATATTGTCCAGAACATCACCGAGGATGATTGGAGATGGCATATGTATGATACTGTGAGTCCATCGAGCACAAACCGTCCCCTCGTATTACTCGTATTTATTAACCTTGAACAGGTGAAAGGCTCCGATTGGCTGGGCGATCAAGATGCTATCCACTACATGTGCCGCGAGGCGCCAGCTACCGTTGTGGAGGTGCGTATATTGTATGATTTTGCTGTAGTGTATTCAACTGTTTAACCCTCACAGCTCGAACACTTCGGTGTCCCTTTTTCCCGCACCAAAGAAGGAAAAATATATCAGCGTGCTTTCGGTGGCCAGTCGCTGAAATACGGCAAAGGTGGCCAGGCTTACCGCTGTGCTGCGGTGGCGGACCGGACTGGCCATGCCCTCCTTCACACACTCTATGGTCAATCGCTGAAACATAACACTCAGTTTTTCATCGAATTTTTCGCTCTGGATTTGATCATGCATGAAGGGCATTGCGTCGGTGTCATTGCCTTAAATATGGAAGACGGAACTTTACATCGTTTCCGTGCCCATAATACTGTGTTGGCTACGGGGGGTTATGGTCGCGCCTTTTTCAGCTGCACTAGCGCACATACGTGCACTGGAGATGGTAATGCGATGGTGACGCGCGCTGGTCTCCCTCTTCAAGATTTAGAGTTTGTCCAATTCCACCCTACTGGAATCTACGGGGCGGGGTGCCTGATTACCGAAGGTGCGTGCATCCGGCATTGCAATATTCACGCTCGTTTGAGTGCTGACTTGAGGGGCAAGGTTCGCGTGGTGAAGGCGGATACTTGTTGAATGCGGAGGGTGAACGCTTCATGGAACGCTATGCACCAACCGCAAAAGATTTGGCCTCTCGTGATGTAGTGTCACGTAGTATGACCATTGAGATTAGGGAGGGCCGTGGCGTTGGGCCGGACAAGGACCATATTTATCTGCAGCTCAGTCATCTTCCGCCCGAGGTCCTTCACGAGCGACTACCTGGTATTTCTGAGACTGCTGCTATTTTCAGTGGGGTGGATGTCACGAAGGAGCCCATCCCGGTGTTGCCCACGGTTCACTATAACAGTGAGTCCACTGGGATTGTCTTGCGATTTGTTTTCTCACGATATCGTAGTGGGAGGGATTCCCACCAAGTTCACTGGAGAAGTGCTAACAGTCGACAAAGTACGCGGCACCCTCCATGTAATGCGCAAGTGTTGATCCCTGCTGCAGAATGGCGAAGACCAGGTCGTGCCTGGTCTGTACGCTGCGGGCGAGGCTGCTTGTGTCTCTGTTCATGGCGCCAACCGTTTGGGAGCTAACTCTCTGCTGGACATCGTGGTATTTGGACGTGCTTGTGCTCATCACATCAAGGAAACACTGGAACCTGGCAAATTGCATGCAACGATCCCTGCGGATGCGGGAATGGCAACCATCGAGCACTTAGACCAGATTCGCAATTCTAGTGGCACGAAACCGACCGCTCAGATCAGGTTGGACATGCAAAAAACCATGCAGTCTGATGCTGCTGTGTTCAGGTATAATGTTTCAGTATTTTGAACAAGCACATGTAACCGGTGCTGCAGAACTCAGCAGTCCCTCGATCAAGGAGTGGCGAAGATGGCGGCGAACTACCAGACGTATGCTGATGTTGGCATTAAAGACCGGAGCATGATCTGGAACTCGTTAGTGACCGGATTGCAAGTTCATTACAGGTCTCTGACCGCAGGTTATGATACTAGGGATCTAGTGGAAACGTTGGAGCTGCGGAACCTGCAGCAGAACGCAATCCAGACTGTTGTTGCTGCTGCGGCACGTAAGGAGAGCCGCGGGGCTCATGCCCGTGAAGATTTCCAAGAGGTGAGCACAATTCGCTACGTTAGCACACAGGAGAAGTGATGCCTCTGGGTCGTTCGTTATAGCGGGACGATGAACACTGGATGAAGCATACGCTCACGTTCCAGAGGGACCCAGCCAAACCTGATGTCGAGATCAGGTATCGGAAGGTCATCGGAACAACCTTGGATGAGAACGAGTGCAACCCTGTGCCGCCTTCCAAGAGAACGTATTGATCTAGAGCGAAAATGAAGATCCTGCAAATGGCTCAAGGCCAAAAACGATGGAGATGAAAGTGGTAGGACAGCAGATACATCGCGGGCTTCAAACAATTTTACAGATAGCTCTTATGAGTTGTAGGCGTCATTGTGTATGATTTGATGCGAGTCGTTATTCCATATGATGACTCACTCGGTACAGACACCCAAGTACACCGACCCTACTAAGAAGCCTAGCGGTACAGGATAGAATACGTATGGTGGTCATGAGTGACCCAACTCTACAAGACGTGATGTGTTGCATACGAAATGCTGAACGACAGATGGGGGTGTACAGGTGGGGGTGACTTGATTATCTTCGCAAGACCCCCAGAGGATCCAGTAAATTCTGCCTATCTTCCTCTGTTCTTCCTCCCTTGGCAGGTTCCACGGTGCACTCATTTTGAGAGCCATTGGCGGCTTCGGGTATCTCTGTTACTTGAGGGGATGTCATAACCGTTCCATGACTTGGAGGTGGCATTGGAGGCATTGGCGATACGACAGGTTGTGATTGTACTCTCCGATCCACTGGTATCCTTGCATCATGGACGCGAGGGAGACGCGAATTCATGCCCACCACACCAGGTGCGGTGTTGCCACCGCTGAGTTTGTTTGGGAATAGGCTAGTACGAGGATTTGTTGGACAGAACAAGGCATCAGGAGGAACGGTCGCTTGTGAAGGCACTTTGGTCCAGAAGCCTGGTTCAAGACGTGATGCGTCGAAAGGCACTTTTCGCAGCAACACATTCTGTACAGTCTCTAGGCAACGCAATGCATCAAGTGATGACGGGTTATCCTTCAGAGCGGAGATCGCCCACCCAACGGCGTGGCCCAGTCGTTCTTGCTCGGTGTACAACGAAACAAACTGTGCAGACCTGAGCGTATCTTCACTGGTTGACCCAGGTGTTGATCCCAGGGGGACAGGCTGAGTCATGAACGTTTTTGAAAGGGTCGAAGTGAGATCTGGGAGGCCCTTCTATAGGTAGTTAGAAACACAGATATCGCATTGACCAAGAGAACTCGTACCCGCAACTCTGTGACAGTGGACAGGAAGGCTCGATTCAGCGTCACAGCGTCAGTACGCTCCATGAGATGTTTAGCTATTACGTCGGTGAGGCCAAGAGGGGCTTTTTCCGGAGGGCGTTCCGTTCTCATCCCCTCACCGGGTCGGGTTGGGGCAGCCTCTCGGAAACCCGAAGACTTCGCTTCAATGGCAATTTCTAGAATGTCGCGATTTTGAAGCATTACTGTCACACCCGTCGTTGGCACAGGATTCTCATGAATGGTTGCGGCTTGCTTGACTAACAACCATGGCATATCCTGGTCGAGGGAGGGGTAATGTAGGAGGTAAGTCAAAATTGTGGAATAGTCGTCCGTTGAAAGTACTACAAACACAATAGGGGTCAATTCCAAAACTTCGACTTTTAGAGGCTGGCTTGCGGCGCTCACATTGGTTTCGAATGCGAAGTAACATAGTAACACAGACCCACTCGGCGAGTTCTAAAGATGGATCTGCGGCCAAGAGGCAATCCCAAATAGCCACAGCAGTCGAGAGAGGGAATTCTCTTGTAAAGAGCAGGCGCAACCATCGTCTGACGGTTCATGTCAATGGGTAGTTCATGCGTCACTTTGAAATGAGCCTCACATGCCATAGATTTGTGGTTCAACTCCGGCGGAGTCCAAGTGAGCCCATAATGCGGGATCAACAGACCTGAGCATTTGATCTTGAATCATCCTACAAACATGCACAATCGGGGCAGTCCAGCTTTCAGGCTGCCCTCGGACGTCTCGCCGCCGAGGTTCTCGCCACTCATACCAGCGATGGGCACCTTCCATGAGAGACATAAAGACAGCGTAAACATCGGCAGACACTGACTTTCGAGCACAACATTCCTGAAGCTCGTCGTCCTTTATCCCAGCCCCATAATCGATGGAATCGTTATCCACTACCAAAAGAATAGTTCCAGCCACCTCATGCATACCTTGGCGATAACCAATCTCGGGATGTGTCACGCAGTATATGAACAAGATGTCGGTGAGATTTTCTCGGACGGTTTGGGACGAAAAGTATGAGATCTCTGGGAAACTAGGTGTAATGCCATCAGAGCTAAATGACATGATTGCCTTGAAACTCACATTCGTTCCACATCTTGTCGGATGACTTTCCTCAACTCTAGATCAGCAAACCACTGCTGCCAGGGATTCTTGGAGAGAGAGAAGCAGAAAGAACACGGTTATAAGTAACATAGAGAGAGACACAGGAGAGACATACTTCAGCATCCAAGCTCAATGGGTTGTTTTTTTCCCAGCCACCAGCGTCTGTAGAGGATTGAGGCGGCATGGATACGGTCGCGTCTTCATGTGTGCTCGAACTGGGAATGGCCCTGCCGTCCGGCGCTCTTAAGCGCGCGGCCGCCAAGTCCGAGTATGCACGACGGGCGCTTCGTAGCTCCGATATACAAAGGGTGGCATTGACGGGGTTTCCGTCTAGCAGAGGACAGCCTGGGAGGAGAAACAACTAATTACGATAAGAGAAACACCCGGAGAGGGCCTGATGGTGTCTCATACTTTCCAAAGCAGGCTCCGCCCGACACGTCCACCATCAGGACGCGAAGCTTTCAGTGCCTTGAGTTCTATCCTGTTCGATAATCTATCCACCCGACCATTGATGATGGCTTCTCGCAAAGTAGCGATGGTTAAACCACTCCGAAACAAGTTGTTGAAAGCGAGCCTTAGAAAGCGCAGGTTATTCCGCCTTAGTCCAATGCCGATAAGCAGGGAGCTGACATGCGCACAGAATCTCATGTGGTAAGGGGCGAGCCCATTGGTCGGCTTGGGGGTAGCTTTGAGCCATCGAATTGCACTAAAAGACCACGTTTATATCGACAGAGGCTGCCCAAAGTGTTGTTGCAAGGGGGGAGGGGCGGACGCAAACGAAAAAAAAAGGCTGTCGGAACCAAAATGTGTGGCATTGGGGCGAGAGATATATAAAACCACGACCGTACCATGGTCACCTTTAGCCCGCGGGGAGCGCATTCGCCCCCGACAACTGATTCCGCGGCCACAAGTCTCTGGAGCATATTTCGGTCACATGTCACGGCGAGTTCTTATTCCCTTGTCAGGTAATTGTTTGTTGACTGGACGGGTTCAACGTCCGTTCTTAATTATACAGACTAGATCGCCTTCTTACGTTATTAGATACCGGTTCGTCCTCTGAGATCAGGGCAACTGCTGCAGATCAGATTGGCCAGCTCGCGGCAACGAGTATAAGGAGAGATGCTGGAGTCGAAGATGTGCTGCTTGATGCAGGGAAAGTCGTTGTTGGGAAAACCACCGCCTCTGACGACTGGCAAGAAGTCCTGAGTGTCGTCGGAAGAGTTCGTAGCTACTACATTTATCTGGCTTGCCATATCGTCCACTGATGCGCTCTTCTTGATTAATAGGTTCTACCCTATCTGCGTTCCAAGTCATCGGAAACCCGTTCTGCTGCTGCTCGAGCTCTCTCGCAAATATGCACTCTCGTTCCTGTTTGGTCTCCGTACGAACATGCATTACCAGATATGGCTAATCACCAGTGCCCTGGTCCCCCTTTCCCTGCTTTTTCACTTGCCAGCGTTCTCCGTGCATCTCCGCTATTGCTTGCCAGTTCCGGTGAAGAATACGGCAAAGGGTTATGGTTGGGAACACCAGCAGATGTAGATCGTGCTCGCAAGGAGGCGCTCGGTCGCCTCGGCTTAGGATTTCTGGAAACCGTGGATGGCGAATGGACTCAAGGTCTTGTTCAGCAGGAAGATGTTAAGATGGAGATTCCCGAGGAGAAAATCGCCCTTGATACTCACAGTACTATCGCAGAGTCGGAGTCTCCTGTTCCCGAATCGACCATTGGCCCCGTAGTCGAAAGAAGAACGCCACAGAGACCAACGAGCAAACCATCTCCTCCTCCACCATCTTCTGGGCATGGATTGAGTCTGGAACCTGAGATCAAGTCTTCCCCCTCTCCTGCTCCTGATGTTGACAGAACAATTCTTTCCGCCAGAGAGCTCAATCGCTTGAAGAGAAAACGCAAGCCCGGGAACCCAGGAATTGTGGCACCATCCGCGTCGAAGCAGGGCAATGATCCACATGCGAAGTGTGTTCCTCATTATCCGATAGACTAGAACCTGATGCTGGTTGATAGAGTCCGAGTAGTTGCTTCGCCTTCCGACGGTCATCCAGAAACTCGTCCAATGCACAGGCGACAGGAGGATGTGCAGAAGTCTGATGTAGCAACTCTCTCTGGGGAGGAAAACCCATGCGGTGGAGGTGCTGTCAGTGTGAAGCATAATATTGCCAAAGGAACACGTGTGTTAACGGTATCTGAGGGAGTCTGGGTGTGGCAAGGGGTGGTGGATATACTGGAAGTCGACCTCTTGAATCCCAATTGGGAGGTGCGCCATGGCGCGGCCTTAGGGTTGAGAGAAGTGGTGAGGACTCAGGGAGCTTCTGGTGGCATGCAAGGTATGTACGCTTCCAGCTATAATCATAAGGCTTCGCTAACCGCAGGGAATATTCAAGTTGGATTTCTAACCGAACAGAACGCCTATGAACATGAACGGTGGTGCAATGAGATAGCAGCAAAGCTGCTTTGTGTGTTCGCCCTTGACCGATTTGGTGACTTTGTGTCTGACTCGGTGAGTCAGTTCCACAGCCGGCCTCTGCGTGCGTCCTGAATGACACGGGAATCAAGGCCGTGGCACCCGTGCGAGAGTCCGCGTCTCAGTCTCTTGCTTCTCTTTTGCTCCACATGCCATTACGGAGCGTTCGCCACGTACACGAGATTCTGCTGGATATGGTACATCAGAGTTTCTCGGAAGATGACGCGAAGGAGATCTTTCGAAAGTCATCTACGCAGAGTCGCTTGGAACAACGCATATGGGAGGTCATGCACGCTGGACTTCTTGGAATCAAGTACGAAGTGGCCGTGAGAAGGGATTTGATACAGCCGGATGGGCAGGGCAAAGAAGTCTTGCAGGGTGTCGTCGATGTCGCCATCATCGGGTATGATGTCCGCATTTCCCAGTATTGTTGCGCGCTCACAGAGTGAAGACTCAAGGACTCCAATGATGATGTGCAATCCGAGGCTGCCACATGCCTGCTCCCCATAGTCACTGAGCTGGTGGTTTATATGCCGGATCAACTCGAAACTGTCCTGAGTATACTTTGGGATGCTTTCGTAGACATGAAGGACGATCTTGGGTCCAGCATTGCCGCTGTGATGCAACTATTGGGTATTTGAACTTTTTACACGCCCGACCTGCGTCCACTAACCCTGGGATGCAGGCAAGCTGATGTCGTTCAGTGAAGTTATCGGAGTAGTCGTCCGAGATGATGCGGAGTATGCCCTAGTTCTACTGTTTTCATCATCTTTCTCATCTCACCCCAGTCACCCTCTGCGCGATCGTATATCTGTCCTGTATCCACTCTTCAGGCACACTTTACCCAGTGTGCGTCTATCGGTGATCAAAACCCTTCAATCCTTTCTCGATATACCGGCTCTCACACCCGACTGGATATCCGAGCCATTATTGCGGCTTCTGTTCCAAGATATCGTTCTTGAAGAGAGAACCGACATACGTCAATCAAGCATGGCGGCTTGGCGTTCTGCTATTCAGCTACTCAACTCACATGCGAAATTGGAAGGCGTGACGCAAATGGTGCTACAAGCATGGTTTGAACTGGTCTTGACGCCATTGGGAACACCAATTGATGCAGCATTGTTGTTCTCAGCTGTCGTCAGCGGTCGAGATGGCCTGTCTACCTATAACGTTGATAAAAGCATGCTTGCGCAGGATTTTTCCCTCATATCTGTGGACGCTATTCTGCAGAACAAGCTTGCTGGAGCCGAGAGCCTTGCATATCTCATGCATGCATGGTCCGGGTCGGTGAGTCCAAGTTATTCCTGACTAAACATCGGTGATAAATAGATCTATCTCCAGTCGCGTTCAACAACATTCCTTCCGATCCTGGACCACTACATGAGATCCCCGAGCGTGTTGCAAAGAAGCATTTCTTCTGTCATTCTGGAGGAATGGGCTCGATGTGACTTGGCAATCCAATCAAACGGTCCAGAGCCAAACTCGCTGGTATCACCTTTGGGTGCGCAACTGCTGGACATGCTGGAAACCGGCCCACCGCTCTCATACTATGAGATGACCATGGATATTTCTCGATTGAAAACTGAATATCAAGCGTTTGTGGATACTCTTCGGAAGGATCCGAAAATTCCTAAAGACAAAATACCGATAATCCCTCCTGCAAGCTCTCCCAATGACCCATTTACCGTGGACGTTGTTCATGATATCACTGGGTCGAAGTTTGACCTCCTCAGACCTTTTCTCGCTCGGAGGAAGAAAGATCTCGCTGCTCTGGAAGACAAGAGGCAGCTTCTTGCTTCGAATACTGCGCGATACATCAGCAAGAAAGAAGAACTCGACGTCCGTCTGTTTGCGTCGGTTGGAAGCGCTACTGTTGCGGTCGGTGTTGTTCCTTCGCGACTCAATCCTCTCGTTCGAAGCTTGATGAATGGCGTACGGGTAAGCACGCCAATATCATGATAATTGCTGCAAGCTGATTATTGATTAGTTTGAGAAGAACGAATTATTGCAGATCCGTTTTGCGAGAGCCATTGCTACGTTCGTCCGTCGAGGGTTCCTCAACACTGCTCCTGTTCCTAGTGCGGTCAGCGCCAAAGTTGTGAAAAATCTCTGTACCTTTTTATGCCAGGACGATTCCAAGACACCAATTTTCGATCTTCGCATACGTGACGGAATACTCACTGTGTCACCTGGCTTATCCACATATAAAGGTCTGAAGCACAAGGAAGATGATAGCCATACCGCCTCGGATAATAATCTGAAATTGCAGAGGCGAGGCTGTGAGTCTGCGTTGAGACAACTGGCTCAACTATTTGGTCCGGACCTCATGCAGGGTGTTCCCGCCCTCTGGGAAGTAATGGGACGCAACATCACAGAAACTTTCAAAGATGGTGAGCTGCTGATTCGGGATGAACTCAGCATGATCTGATAATCTACTTAGAAGACAGTGATGCTAAGATAGAGAATGACAAAGACCTGGGTCAAAGCGTCATCGATTCATTTGAAGTACTTGCAACTGTCGTTGGCAGCTTGGAACAGAGCCTCTACCCATGCATTGCCGACTTGTTGCGGAGTGTAGCAAAGGCATCAAGAAGTGCATTTGCGGTCATTCGCTTTGCGGCGGCCCGTTCGTTTGCCGCCCTCTGCGATGTTCTCACCTCCGAGGGAATGCATTGTCTGATCGAAGAAGGGCTTCCCTTCCTTGGTGACCCAAAAACGGTAACCAACCGACAGGGTGTTGTTGAGATGATATCCAGTTTGTTCGTTGTCCTTTGACATGACAACGGCTCATGCCATTACAGATGTGCTCGAAAAGCTCAACGTTAAGGCGCTGGCGTACGTGATCTTCCTCGTTGTACCGATTCTCGGTCGTATGAGCGATCCCGACGAGAACGTTCGGCTAATGGCGACGAACGTATTTGCATCTCTAGTAAAGATGGTTCCATTAGAGGTGAGACCTTCAGGTGATTAGGTCCATTGATGGGTTAACGTCTCACAGTCTGGACTGCCTGATCCTCCTGATTTTTCCCCTGATATGCTTCAACGACGCGTTGCCGAAAGGGAATTTCTGTCGCAATTACTGGATGGGACTCAAGTCCAGAATTACCCGATTCCCGTGTTGATCAAGGCAGACCTACGACCTTACCAACAGGAAGGTGTTAATTGGTTGGCGTTTCTTGCAAAGTATCATCTTCATGGTATCCTTTGCGATGGTAAGCTCGATCAACCGAGATCGTTCTTTTGCTTATCTGGTCACAGATATGGGGCTAGGGAAAACTTTGCAATCCATTTGTATTCTAGCCAGCAAACACCATGAACGAGCCGAACGGTACGCAATCACAAAATCCCCCGACTCTGTTCACCTTCCATCTCTTGTGGTTTGTCCACCCACTCTTATCGGTCACTGGTATCATGAGATTCTTACCTATACAACAAATCTCCGGCCCGTCCAATACACAGGTAACTCCAAAGATCGGCAGGGAATTCTCAGTTCGTTGTCCAAGTACGATGTTGTGATTTTGTCCTATGATGTCATTCGAAACGACATTGGTGACCTTTCCCGTTTCAGTTGGCATTACTGCATCCTTGACGAAGGACACATAATCAAGAACGGAAAAGCGAAGATCACGAAGGCTGTGAAGCAGATCCAGGCCGAGCATCGCCTGATTCTGTCCGGCACACCCATTCAGAACAATGTGCTGGAACTTTGGAGTCTATTTGACTTCCTCATGCCTGGATTTCTCGGCACAGAACAGGCTTTCAATGAGCGCTTTGGCAAGCCTATTCTTGCCAGTCGCGATAAGAAAGGTTCTGCGAAGCATCAGGAAGCGGGTATGTCCAAGCTGATGCCTTCGTCTTGGTGCTTATTCGTCTAGGTATACTTGCATTGGAGGCTCTCCACAAACAAGTCCTGCCATTCCTCTTACGTCGCTTAAAGGAGGACGTGCTGAAGGACTTGCCACCCAAGATTATCCAAGACTACTATTGCGACTTGTCGGAGCTCCAGCAGGCCTTGTACGACGACTTCGCCAAATCTCAAGGTGGTACAGAGGCGATTGAAGCCACTCAAAATGCTGGATCCAACCGACAACATGTCTTCCAATCGCTGCAGTACCTACGAAAACTGTGCAATCATCCTGCTCTTGTACTAAAAGGTACAAATGGTGTTTTATTCAAAGGCAAACTCGTTCAAGCTGGAGATGCCAGAAAGCTAGAAAATGCTCCCAAGTTGCTAGCGCTAAGGTAGGCACCGGCTACATTATCTCAACGCACCCATCTTTGATTCTCGTAACACTACATATAGGCAGATTCTCACAGACTGTGGCGTTGGCACATCGGACGAGGAGGATTACAGCGGCTCGCTCACGACAGCATCTCAGCATCGAGTCCTTATCTTTTGTCAGATGAAAGAGATGATCGATATAATCGAGAAAGACCTTTTCAGAGCGACCATGCCGACTGTGACCTACATGCGTTTGGACGGTACGACAGATGCCACGAAACGCCATGCGACGGTGCAGACTTTCAATGCTGATCCTACCATTGATTGTCTTCTGCTCACAACACACGTCGGAGGTCTGGGCTTGAATTTGACAGGGGCTGACACGGTCATCTTCGTGGAGCATGACTGGAACCCCATGAAAGATCTGCAGGCCATGGATCGGGCCCATCGACTGGGACAAAAAAAGGTCGTCAACGTTTACCGGTTGATTACTAAGGGCACGCTGGAAGAGAAAATTATGGGGTGAGCACAGCTGACACGTCCAGCTATGATCAGAATTCTGATTCGTTCCTTCCTTTTGCAGCCTGCAACGATTCAAGTTGAACATCGCCAACAGTGTTGTCAATCAGCAGAATACTGATCTAACTTCGATGGACACCGATCTGGTGCTAGATCTGTTTAGACGGACAACCGATGAAGAAGATGCAGCCTCCGCAAAACGAAGGGCTGACAGAGCGCAGATGGCGCCGGTGTCGCAAAAGAGCGTCCTGGATGGGTTGGAAGAATTGCCAGCAGAAGATGAATACGCTGGATTAGACGTCGCCTCGTTCCTCAGCACACTCAAGAAATAGGGATTATGATATTTCATAGAGCACGAGTGTCGGACGGAATTTCGCTGATATTCCCACACATTGCGTGCATATGTATCTATAGTGCATTTGATTCAGAAAGACATGTCATTGCATCAATGAACTCCATACCGAAAGTTGTTCAACGGGCAGCCGAGGTCTCCGCGGAACACTCATTTCTGTAGGGGTCTCCATAGAGCAAGTGAAATTGAGGTACCGCTGCCTCCTGTTGCACTTTCGCTGTCCACATCTTCTACGACAATGTCTGATAAAACGAGTCGCTCTGCCACTGTGACCCGCAAAACAAACGAAACCGAGCTGGAGGTATTCTTGCAACTCGACAATGTCCCAGGCGTCGATCAACAGGTCATCGAAGTCTCCACAGGCATTGGATTCTTGGACCATGTTGAGCAGGCCTGCCGTTCCCCAGTGGAGACTATTTATTGACACGGACCAGATGTATCATGCGCTTGCAAAACATGGAGGGATGTCATTGACCATGAAGTGCAAGGGTGACCTATGGATTGACGATCATCATACCGCAGATGAGTTGCCCGAATGAAATAGGTCGCACCTCTGGCTTATGTTCATACACAGGACTCCGCTTTGGCTCTAGGGGAGGCCTTCAAAAAAGCATTAGGGGAGCGAAAAGGGATAAAAAGATACGGAACTGGCTTTGCTCCTCTGGATGAAGTAAGTGTACTTTGCCAATACCCTAGAAGCGCCCCCAACCTCTCAACTTGTACTTCTTCGTAGGCCCTGGCGAGAGCTGTCGTTGATATCTCGTCGCGTCCCTTCTGCGTGACAGAGCTTGGCCTCAGGAGAGAGAAGATTGGAGAGCTGTCGACGGAAATGATTCCTCACATATTGCACTCCTTTGCGATAGCCTCTGGGGTGACGATGCATGTGGACGTGTTAAGGGGTGAAAATGACCACCATAGGCGAGTGCAAAAGGGGCCACTTCTGTCATTTGTCTCACTAAAATCTCAAGAGCCGAGTCTGCGTTCAAAGCACTCGCATTGGCCATAAAACAAGCCGTTGAGCGTACTGGAGGTAACGATGTACCCAGCACGAAGGGGGTTTTGTAACGAGCGACCTTTCTACCATCTAGAGCATCTTTCCACCCCATAATTCTGCGTGTCCGGGTAATCATCCATACAACATACAACATTAAAAGGATATATCGAGTTGTACACTCTATTTGTGCGATTGGATGACTACAACTCTGTTGGTTCGTCCAACCTCTTCAATCACAATATCGTGTTGGCTAGGACGCCTGTACGCCGGTAACGCGTTCGGCCTGATCACGCAGAACCTTCAAGCGTTCTTCCTGCTTGCGGCGCTGGGCCATGTCTGCATTGATATTGAAGTGAGCGTTGGAGATCTGGCTGTACAGTTCTCCAGCGGTCAGAGCAGCCAAGGGTCGCGTGAATGTGCCGGTAATTGAAGTTGTCAAACGGTCAGTGTCGACTTGGACAGGGTGATGCGCTCGTAAGGCATACACAAGGCTGAATCGATATGGGCTGTCGTCCAAATTTGACACAACCACTCGATGGCCACCGGGGTTGTATTTGTGATTCGTCAAGCGAGCCAGTGTTTCCCCAGCGAGAATGGTCGCAGTGAGCCTGCCAGGCGCCGCTTGATGTTCCTCGATGGCATACCACGCATTGGCGTAGGGATCCCACACTTCAAGACCATGCGAGGAGCCAACGACCAGTGAAAGTAAGCCCAGATCTCGATGTCGCTCCGCCACTATTCGCCTATCTCGTAACCCAGGTTCGTTCCCGAGCGGTGTCCCTGCACCTCGTTCATAGCGAAACATACGTAACAACGTGGCTACTCGCTGTCCAGAAGGTGGCAAAGTCGCACATGGCGCGACCATGTCACGCAGGTCATCGTTTTCGAGACAGAGACTGCTGGAGATGTCTTGGATCACATCGAGCATGATCCTACCACACAACTCCCAACATATAGCAGCTCTTTGACGGAGATCTTCGGGCGTGGTGTCCGCAGTCCTGATGGTGATCATTTCTTTCTCTCCTGTGACGCGATTGTAACCGTCTTCAGAACCCTCTGTGCCTCGGATGAACTGCTCTTTGTAAGAAAGCGGCGAGTTGAAAAAGGATGCCGAAGCTTCAAAGAGACCACTATAAGCTTGCACGAAATCGTGTACGGATACTCCACCAATGGGTGGTGCATCCTCTGAGAGATCGAGAGGGGCCCATCCACGTACGGCGAAGCGTCGACAATCGTCGGGTGTGAAATATGACACTCGAAGTGCTCTTGGAGGAGGGGGGCCGGACGGAGGGGAGAATTGAGCAATGGGCATGTGTGAAATCAGTAATCGATGCGAGATGGCACGGTGAACTAGAAGAGGACAGGATGGGTTGATACAGCAAGATGCATGAACTTAAGTATGGGTGTTCCAGGGCTGTGCGGCTGTGCGCGAGTCACCTGTAGGACGATGTGCCTAGCGTCCAACAAAACCGATCATGTCGGTGCGCAATATGTGACGCCTTTGGCATGTTTATTGAGAGCGATAGTGTATGCTAAGACAACACAAGGATAATGCCAGCGGAGAAGAAAGGAATCAGCAAATGGGAAGGTTGGACTGAGCGCGGGGACTTGAAGCCGTACATGTATCCCTACCACATTTACATCTAGGGCGAACATCAGTTTCAGGTCTCTCAATGAACGCAGGATGCTCACATATTGAGACAGCCAACGAAAACCTGCGAGAAACAGTTCAATGACCGCAAAAAGGCCAGAGACCAACAGGCGTACCTTCCCCGTATCCCTGCCTCATAACAACCGAGCACATGAACAGTTCAATGGGGCGGATGTCCTTCAAAGGAATCTTGCCCTATAGTCTGATTAACACATTTCGTCTATGATTGATGACAATGGCGCACCTTGCCGGTCGTCTGATAAAGGCCCAGATGGTGTCGAAGCTCCTCCTCACTCACTGCACCGACAGCGTCGATCTTGTTCCCTAGGATGAGGAAAGGCACCTTGCTTAACTCCTCAATAGAAAGCAGAGCATCCAATTCTGCCTTTGCCTCTGCAAATCGCTCTGTATCGGCACTATCGACGAGGAACACGATACCATCGACTTCAGGAAAATAGTCACGCCAGAGACGCCGTGCTATCAGCGCATCAGGTACCAGACGCTAATTTGAACGAACCACACTCACCTTGGGTGTGGCCACCGAGATCGTAGGTCGTGAACTTAACCGACCCAATGGCAAGCTCTTCGGATGCTAGAAATCGAGTGAGAACACACGCTATCGGTGACAAAGCGAACACACTGGGGTGAAGAGTGGGCTGCAGGGTAGCCAGACGGTCGTTCTTCAACATATGCAAAAGTGTCTAGCCAGGATGTTTGCATGTTGCGAATCAATGTGGAATAATATCGCCGAACTCACAGTTTTGCCCGCATTATCGAGCCCGAGGAAGAGGATTTTGGCGTTCTTGTGCAACAGCCCTGCATGTGCAAACTGAGAAATGCGGGAAGGCTTAAACATGCAGGACGTACCCAATTGGCTCAAGACGTCGTAAAACCAGTTCAAAATCCACATTGTAGAGTGATGTGAAGATATACTAAGTTGTGAGGAGAGTGTCACTAATGCTGAAATGCCCACGGAACCCGACAAGGGGCGACACGCAGCTTAGGGCAAGCCGCTTATGTAATCAAGTTAGTCTTTTCGGCCACATATTCCCAGCATCTTTTGCCCAAGTCTCATGTCAACGAATAGAATTAATCGCACATTTAGTCTCTGGCTAAAAAAGGATCTCTACTTAGTGTGGGAGAATTGAGAATAGGTGGTAAGGACTTCGCAAGTTCCGCCGTTCCTGCAGGGAATGGCAACCCTGCCACAGGCAAGACCTGGAGGCCCCTGGCCGCATTCACCATCGCTTCGCAATGCATCTTCTTCACCGCATCTCTCACCAAAACATAGCCACCGTCGTGGCCAGGTACGCATCCTTTGACATATATGAGGTCCAAAGTTGTATCGATCCGGACCACAAACATATTCTGTGTTGTGATGCGGTCCCCTCCCATTCGCCCCGCCATCTTCTTGCCGGGGAACACACGACCCGGATCCTGTATCATCCATTAGAGTAGCTCGAGGAAATAGTGAAGTACCTACCTGATGCTGTCCCGTGGAACCTTGAGATCGATGCGATATGGACACGCCATGACTAGCGCGCAAGCCCCCAAATCCCCATTTCTTCATAGTGCCTTGAAAACCTTTGCCGATCCTATAATGAAGTCAGCGCCCAGTGCCACGCACAGTCCGACGAACATACGATGTACCAGTGCAATCGACAAACTGCCCCGGTACAAAATGTGCAGAAGACAAAGTTGTGCCTGTAAACGTGGTTAGAGGGACTAATGGCCTTTGAGGTTGACTTCTTCAGACCTGGCTCGAGTAATGCATCTTCCGTCACCTCAAATTCTCGTACTACATGTTTGTTCGTCACGCCCGCCTTAGCAAAATGACCCTGCATAGCCTTTTTGGTTGTCTTAGCGGTCCGGTCTGAACTTGCTACTTGCACCGCGTGATACCATTCCAAAGACGCTTTTTTCCTCTTTGAGATGGTAGCCGTAACTTGACAGTGATCCACCTAGCGCGCAAGCATTTGCCTCTATAGAAAACATGAGATGTGTGGCATACCTGAAGGACTGTGACGGGTATCCTGACTCCGTGATCATCCCAGAGGGACATCATTCCCCTCTTGACCGCAACGAGGCCAGTTCGACGGCTGCCAGGTTTCCATTCTTTCGCTGACGACTGGAGCGATTGAACATGTGCACATGTAGCGACCGCAGCCAGTGTCCGTCGATGAGTGAAAGCATCTAATACTCTAGGGAACGCACAGCGATCCGCATGCGCTCTGGTCGCAAGCAGGCGCAGAGCAGCCATACACTGGGTAGTAAGGAGATGAGCACTGTTTGTTCTTAGGCCCGGAATCAGAACAGCCAAGATGAACGCAAACTGGCGACCCTGAAGTTTCTTCACTTTTCGCTGCTTCAGAAACAACAACCCGTCCACTCTGAACATGTACGACCGGACGGCATTCTGGCATGCGTAGAAGAACATTGTCTGGTTTAAAGAACTCCATCTCAGCTGCAATTCCAATGGGACGGGGCGTCAGGCCTCTCAGACAGCTTACAGGATCTATGCTGTACATAGTCAACTCGTACCTAGCATGTACTGAACCCCCAAACAAGCGATGACTAGATATGCTATCACTTCGTGTCTATTGATACAATGCATGCGCTTTCAGTATGGCATGACATGCATATCCCCTAATTGATGGAGCTAAGTCAAGAGCTTCGCATCGATGGCGTCCTTCGTGAGCGACTCGGTACCGTCCCTAATCTCGATTATCTATCCCATTTTTTTACTCATTCAGACTCATAAACACAAGACAGCCGTAACTTGCCTTTGAAACATCAGCCTGATACACAGCATTAGCGGTCCTTGTCATATTAAGATAGCAACGAAACTCACAGCATTTTGGAATTGCAAAAAAGCGCTTGCGTGCAACGTCAACATGCTGATCTCGCAGGTGGAAGGCGCCCAGTTGATCAGGATCAAAGGGAAGGACTTTCGGCCATCCCGATGCTCGAGCTCATATGACATCAGAACGAATCGCGGGGAATTCTCCGGCAGTTCTGCGGGAAAACGCAGGCATCAATGTTCAAGTTTGGGGAACAATACGTGAATATGCTGTTACCCTCAGCAAGGTCATCGACTGAAATGGAATCGAATACCTCTACCTCTTCCATTATCAGCTTCGATTTGTTGACTTTGACTGTGGAATAATGATGTTATGATATGTGTGTCGACTTTCGGTGCTGACATACCGATCAACGCTGCGTTACCTGCACTTCTCCTTGCAAATCGGAATTTGCGAAGAGAGTTCTTCAACTCTGTGGGTATGTCCACAGTTCCAGACTAAGACTGCTCTCAATATATAAAAAAAACGGGTTGTATTTGACTGTACCATGATTTCAGCTGATCCCAGTGGATTCTTGCTATGAGAGTTGCTTTGAAAGAAGGGGGTGGTACATCGGAGGCTGTTACACGCACTGCCTCGTGCGTTCCTGGCCCTGGTATAAAGGTGACAGACAGTACTAGGGAAATCTCGACATGGTCATGCATATGATGGGAACGATGAAAGCAACCCTACGAGACAACTCGTAAAGGCTAACGATACGCAGGCGACCCATCTGGGACCACGACCTCCTGGATGTTCTCTGCCTCCTCCAATGCCTCACGCGCTTTGCTTCTCTTGATCCGATTAACCTGATCCTCAACGAAAGCAACAAAAATAGAGCCTATCACTAAGCCTGAAATTAAGAGCCCGATGTTGACTGGAATCGGGTTACCTTGGTGCACATGGATTGTCGCGTAGTCGAGGACGGACTGCACGAGGTTGAATAAGCCAGAGGTGCATATAATGAGGCCGTACACGATGCCAAACGTTTCGAATCCGAATACTTTCGCTGCGTAATCCGAGATTGAGGTGTAAAAGAATGGTCGATAGACAACGAAAAGAGCGACATTGGCATATCCGGCGGTCAAAGAATGGGGAATAATGCCAAGGCAACCTATAACAGCTGCGAACAGCACTAGCACCGACAGTGCGAGGGGGCTCGAGGTATGGTCGAGCAATATGCCGATGAATGGAATAGATATAAGACCGCCAAGTGGAAGGGCCAAGTCAAAAAATCTGTCAATGGCGAGAGATAGCTCCCAGGATTGCAAGAGGTGTTCGTACTGCGGCCTAACAGTGGCAATAAAGTAATTGGTTCGAAGCATCTGCAGCATGACGAATAGAACAACCAGGCTTGATTGTGAAGATAAGTGATGGGAACCAAGATGAATTCACTTCGAACTCACATGAACCAGAGACTCCCAACCTGTCGCAGAGCACTCTCGCCGTGCAAGGAACCCCAAACTCCGCTAATGGCTCTCTTGTGTTCTTCCTTCTTCTGAACCCTTTCTACGGCTTGTTGTCCTATAATGGCAGATATTTGGCTAACGGCGCTGGAACGCCGTCTTTGCCTGATGTCTGCAGTGTTGCTCTTGCGACTTAGGCTCAGAAGGCCGGTATGTTCACTCGGTCCAGGCTCCACAATGCGCACGTGTCCATCCTGTTCATGGTCCACAGATGTGCTAGTGGAAGAAAGCACCCGAGCCGTTGCTGGTGGAGGTGTCAGGCCATTTATCTCGTCATCATCCACCGCTTCTTCGTGGGGGTCCAAAGTACCAGTCTCAATCTCCCTGACGATTTCGCCCATACTCTTGTAGCTTTGCTTCGGCATTATGGTAAACTGGAGAATGGTGATGGTGACTGGAACTATGCAGTAGCAAGCGAAGAAAATGGTAAGGCTGATCTTTCCCTTTCCGACTTGGTCCTCGGAATCGACCGTAGACTGGTACAGAAGGCGGTATGCGAGCCAAACGGCACTACTGGCGTCAAACGCACCAGTCACGCAACTGAGAACGAGGCCAGAATTGGTAGGAAAGGCATTGGAGAGCTGGAAGGTCGAGATAAAGATGCAGGGACCACCCAGCGCAAGTAGCAGATACCCAAGAATGAAGCCATCAAACTTGTCCACTGGTATCATAGGCGCAATAGCCAGAAGGACTGGTCCAAAGAGCAAAAACACGCAACCCACTAGACTGGTTACTTGAGGGCCAAAACGGTCGAGTATTGCCCCAACAGGTAGGGCAGCGACCTGAACGAGTTGAGGTTAAGTATACTTCCCGTTGTATATAAAGCACGCCGTCATACATACATTTGTCGTAACAGCGGCGATATTGAACATAACATTCATCCGGAGCTCTTGCTCACGGCATACCCGAACATGGGATTTGATTTCGTCCGGCGTACAAAGGTGTCTATACACACCCTCAGATACCAGAACAGGTTTCAAAGCTAACGTATGTCGATAGAAATTTAGGAAGGATCAAAACGAGCAAGCTCACCAGCGTATCCGAAAATTACCCCACTGGCAAAGAGACAGTAGATAACTGCCGATACGACCTGAGCGAATCGGAGTGATCGAGGCTCTTGAAACTGATGCAACGCTTCTCGCTGCTGCTGCTTGGGCATACGGGGCTCTTCAGTCGACATCGTTATAAGAACCACTGGGGTTTGTGGTGGCGGGTGGTAGCAGAGTGGTGGATGAGCAGAGCAGGAGGAGCCAGTCCTGCACCGTCTCCGTTGCTGATAGCCAGGTCTCAGGGCTTAAGACACTAGCTTGTTGGGATACGGCGTTCAACCTAGGCACCGACGTAGGCAAACTTGTAGCAGAGTCCCCGCACGGTGGTAATAGGATCGTCATGGCCCGGAGAGTCGGAAGAGGACCCTGCTGGAAAGCGCCCGTTCACTTGGATCTGATAAGCAACCAGCTAGTTCTTAAAGAGCGCCGTAAAGAGCTCACAAAGGTAGACAGCATGTATGCTATGTCAGTGGTTTGTATACCCTCCGCAGCGTTGTAACCCCAAGAGGGTGATTGAGGGACCCGGTGCTGACGTGGAGTGGGCTGAACAATATGAGCTGGACAGCGTGGCGTGAGACCTGGGGATATTTTGGGTGGAAGGTTGGCTTTTCCAATTCAAATGAGGCAGATTGGGATGTGCGTAGCTTAAAATACAATATTAATGGGTCACGGATTATTGAACAAATGTCAAGATTTTGATTATCTCATCTCTGTTGGCTAATTGACCGGGAGATGCCGAAGTCTGGTGATCTCTAGTGACAGGCGATGGAGGGTCGTCGGAATGAGGCCGGACAAGGCGCCCACATTTGGCGCATGGTCGGCACCTGGTCACCCGTGCTACTTATATGCAATCAGCAGTTGAATCCTATCCACCTTCTTCACCCCCCTCGCCGTTGCCGTGCTCTGCGTTCCTCGCACCGCCGTCGACGGCGTGACTAATGCTCCTCTTCTCTTTGGCGGGCGCCCTCTAACTATATACCCTCCTGTCTTCTGATCGCCTCGCCCTTTGCCGCCCTGCCTCGCTGTATCCACGACGTGGTGCTCCCTCACCCCTTTCCCGCGGCGTTCTCCGTGGAACAGGAGATTCCATCAATCTGGAAATTAGTTCGGTTGCCGACTCGTCGATCTTATCTCTCGCACTCATTTCCCCCCTCCCACACTATCCATCTCAGTCAAAATGACTGACCACAGAAGGTCGACCACATCGTCCTCTCACCTCTCTATCCATACAGGCACAAGTCGTCACTTGGTGCATAGAGCAGCGTCGAGCGACTCAACCGTCCTATTCATCGAGCCGTCCGGCCTCGCTTCCGCAGATGGTGGATGTGACACTGGCGTCGCGGAGAGCTTTGTCCCTAATATCGAGACTGATTTGTACGAGCAACTAGTATCGCCGGAAGAGGAAAGGCTGCGAATGAGGCATCGAGGACCTGCTTTAACATCGGAGACTGCTGAGGAAGAAGCCATCGTCGAGGATAGCCCTGAAGAAACCACATCCCTCCTCAACAACGGGGACGATGACGACGATGACGATTTCGAGTCGAGACCATGGTACAGACGTCCTTCCCCTTGGTGGTGAGTTTCTAAGAAATCGCGATACTGCCTTTATCTCATAATCATATAAGGCTCATTCCCACGTTGCTCGTATCGTCTACTCTTACTTCCATGACGCTAGCTCCGAAGGTAGAAGTCTACAATAAGCTCGTCTGCGCTGAGCACCGACCCGAATATTCATCGCACGATCCTCCCATTCTCATTCCGGGTGCCCCGGAAGAAGATGTTGTCGTTGGTCCGGGAGCCGGACCAGTTATTCCCGCTCATTTCGATTTCGAAAACGCTGAGGACAGCGCCGTTCTACCGAACTTCCTCCAAGAACCATATAGGTGGAAGCCGGAGCCTCCAGACTGGACAAGGAAGGGGGCCAAATCTCCATCTGCATTGTGTCGTGCTGATCCACTTGTGCAAGCTGAAGTGGCCAAGATATCGACCGGTATGTCTTTATCTCACCTCCCTCGGGCATTGGCTGATTCTAATAGCAATGACTACTCTGATGGGTTTACTAGCTGTTCTCACCACGGGCTTCTGGTCTTCCAAGTCCGATGTTTGGGGTCGTACACGGATCCTAGCTCTTAGCATTGCTGGGGTTCTAGTGACGTACGAGGTCGATATTCACCTGCCACCGAGTTAGCTTATTTCTCTCCAGTGACGCCAACTTCTTGCTTGTTGCACATGCGTCGGAATACCTACCTGGAGGATATCGTTTTCTCATTGTCGGGCCGGTGATCGACGGGCTGGTTGGTGGCATGCCCACTGCCACCGCGGCGGCTCATGCCTATGTTGGAGATAGCACGCCTCCGGAGGCTCGTGGACGAATGTTCTCACTATACGCGGGCTTGATTTTCACCGGCATTGCAATTGGACCATCTCTAGGATCCCTCCTCATCAAGTACACTGACGATCTTTTGTCCGTCTTCTACCTGACGACTCTCGGTCACATTCTCTACGCCATCGCTATCACCCTCTTTATTCCAGAGTCTCTTTCTTCAGGTGCTCAAAGGCGCATAGCTAAGAGGAACGAAGTGCGGAGACGTGCCCAGCTCGAAGAAGAGGAAGAGATATCTCGACTTCGAGTCGGCCCTCGAGGGTACATCATAACGGCATGGAGGTTCGCGAGGCCCCTGTTTGGCTTCCTTGCACCGCTGCAACTGTTCGCACCTACCAAGGTTATACCCGGCCAGGTTGGGTACGCCATCAACAAATTCGACTGGAACTTGACGTTCATGGCAACTTGCTATGGCGTCGCCGGCCTTATGATTGTGAGTTGCGCGAATCCAAGTTATTCTGTGAATTTGACAGCGTCTGGCAGGGCTTATACACGCTCAAGTTTCAGTATGCACAGAAAGCCTTCGGTTGGGATGCCCAGAAAGTAAGTTGTTTGCATGCCTATTGTAAACTAGTCATCTAATATTTTCTTAGCTTGGGTACTGGTTGAGTCTGGTTGGATGCGTCCGGGCATTCCATCTCGTCGTGATATTGCCGTTGCTGCTCAAGTTGCTACGTCCAAAGCCGGAGCAGCCCATTTCCCTGCCTCTCGAGCCTTCTGAGCCACTTCAGTCCCCCGGCGAGGCTGAAAACGGGCGATCGGTTCCACGCCATCTGGTAGACAGCGTGTCTCGCGCAGTGCAGCCAGGTGCTGTCAAACACCGTCACAGCCCCCGTTTCGACCTACACGTCGCACGGGCCTCTCTCGGGATCGAGCTTTTGTGCGAACTTGGTCAAGCGTCTGCACCCGGTCCCGCTAGCTGGACTGCCGCTACGTTGTTGGGCGCCTTTGGTGGCGGTTACAGCCCGGCTATGCAATCCCTCGCCTTGGGATTGCTGAAGAATGAAGACGAGACGGGACGTCTGTTTGGAGCGATGAGCGTGATGAGCGCACTGTGTACTCAAGTTATGGGCCCAGCCCTTTTCGGGCTGATGTTCGCTTACACCGTTGGCGTTTTTCCCAAAATGGTCTTCGTCGCGGCTTGCGTTTGTGCCGGAACAGCCTTGATCTGTCTTTTCTGCATCCGTATTCCCAAGCCCACCCCTCTCCCCGTGGTTATCGTTGCCCCGCCCAGCGGCAGCGACCGTGGCCCCATCGTACTGGAAGGAGAGCCGGCTCGCCGTATCATTGAAGGGGAACCATGTCGGGGGAGGACAATGAGTCGTGGTAACGGGAAAGCGAAGACAACGGGTTAGCACCCGTTTATTGTACCTATTACCTCATCTCTAAATTTTCTTATCGTTTATGAATGTGCATGTGTATGAACATGGTGCCTGGAAAGGGAAGAAACAACAGTATGACCTACAGGGAAATGTATAATCGATGTGTTCTTCATATTGCTCTAAGGTTACCAACAAACCACCTACAGATCCAGTACAACAAACGCGAGAATATTACACCATACGTTCATTCCCTCCCTACGAATCTGCTCTCAAGTCAGGTGACTGCTGAAGCCTTTTCTGGTAACCTCTGGCATGGGTCTACAAGATGATGTTTTGTAATCAGCGCTGTTAACGTTCGCGCTGGTTGTAGCGGTGTCTTAAGAACACGACACCAGCAGCGACTGCAGGCCTCCGCTCCAAGGCAATCATCAATGGATCCCTGTATATGAAGAGAAAAGACAGTTGATGTCCTGTATGTGGAGGCCAAAGCGAGTGAAGTTTTATTGCACCGACGAGCGGGATGGTGGTGGCACGGTAGCCTTGTGAGGGACAATTCATGTACCCGCCTCAACTCTGAGCAGCAGTGTCGTTCGTCCCCATCCTGACCACATTGGTCACCGGTCATGAACGTGACCTGAGCGCCCTCAGCAAGTTGCACATCCAATTCATCTGCTCCTCGTTCTAGACTAAGGCTAATCGCCGAAAGATATATTCCATGCTATTGCACACTGCCAGCTCTCTCCGCCGGGCACGATCCCCCCACCGACACCGGGAGAGAGACAAAGGGTGAGACCCGGAAATTGATCTGGTCGCACTGTGAATGTTGTTCTAGAGCTCGAATAAGTCGAGCGCGTGTTACAGCGTTGTGTCGACATGGCGGTCCAGATCCAGTGATTCTGTCAGCCCTACAGCGAAGCTGAGCTCTGCCGGGAATATGCCCACTCGAAGCTCCACGGGGTGGCCGTGATATCAGTGTCGACGAGGTGGTCTGTCCAAGGGCCGGTCATGTTGATACTGTTCAAGGGGGAGCCCGTGAATTCGTGAGCTGCTCGCACTGGGTAGATGTCTCATGGATTATGAATGTAAAGGGACGAGTGACGAGGCCACCGGCAAAAGGCTTGCTGAAGAGTACATTGTCCCGGCGGATAGTCGGCCGCCCGGCCCACGAGTGGGGAGATGGTGGTGGACAGCGAACGTCAGAGACACCCCGGCCTTTCAGCAAGTATAGCCTTGCAGCAAGGATGTCGTCAATCATGCCAATGTAATCAATAGTTTAGTGCATGACCACAGTAAGCCCGACCAAGATGTATATGGAAGTGAGATTCAACCCATGTCCATGCCTGAAGAAAATGTCCCCACTATACGTCGTATCTTGCTGCGTCGTCAACCTCCTTGAACTCCCCGCGTGCTACGGAAGGCGTTTGATGCACTCCGCGAGTCAGCCACACTCGGAACACGATGATATACCGGACAACAATAAACACGACAGCGCCTCCCACTGCGATGCCAACGATGTAACCCGCCAACAAGCTGCCCTGCGCCGTTGGATTAAGAAACGAGTAGGCTGGTTTTCGCATGTGAACATTTCTCTTCGGAAGACGGTGGAAATAGGCTCACTGTAGAATCCCTGTGAAGCGCGGGTGATATACGCAACGCCGAGGTATAAAGCAAGTCCAATCAGGATGAAGACTATGTGCCCCCAGGGCATAGGTTGGATGTTGCTGAAGATAAGTTCGAACAGCGCAAATACACCGTTTAAGATGTGCACTGTAATCTCCTCCCAGGCTATAGCAGCAAGTTAATTACGCACTCTACGACGACGGTAGACGAGCACGAACTGCTGTAGGTCGTCGCCCAATAGGTTTTCGGGTTATACAATATTGCCCAAACAACAATCATCACGATGAAAGCTGCCGATATATAAGCACAAGAAGTACCCAGAGAAGCAACTCCCTTACGATAAACTGCCACGGTGGTAAACAAGATCACGTGCAGCAATTGCAAGAATCGCGGCCATCGCTGGAGTGGATAATGCTTCCCCTTGCTGAAAGCGAATGCGCCTGTCTGCACCGCTGATGCCCAGAACCAAGAAACAAGTCCGACGTAACAGAGATTTCTGACTCAGCGTCAGCACAGGGGTGACTGCTTCGGGGGGACGACTCACGTGAAGTATGAGAAGTATCTGTGGAAAAATGTCAGTGGGACGTGTGAATACGGGTGACCGAGGACGTACGTGAACTGGGTGGTCGTCGTCGCGCCGATAGTAAGGTCCACGATGCATGCGATCCCTGTGTAAAGGGCGAGAAGTAGCCTGATTCCCGCATAGATGCGCGGGGGTATCACCCATGATGTGACCCAAGAGAGGTCATAGTCGAAGGGGTTGTGCACGCCCAGGGAAGGGTAGAGGTTAACCATGTTTTGTGCAGTTGTTGATAAAATCTGATACAAATATTGCGAAAGAGAAGGTGAAGCTGGTTGGATTGGCCATCGGCGCTGACCGCCTTGTATTTAGCCTTTGTGGATAAGTTGATTGAAGTTACGGCTAGGGCCAGGGCATCTCTGAATAGCAACGACTAATATGACCGGCGCACCACGTGAACGTCAAAGATTTGACAGTCTTTTGAAGCGCGTTTCAGCCTTTACCCCTTCTCCCGACACTTCTCACACTTCTCCCGACACGACACACCAATAAAATATATACATTTCTACCCTATAAACTCAATCCAATTTGCACTACAAATAGTCCTGCAGTACTGCCTCGACATACATAGCAATTACAGAGAATCAAGCCAGTCTACAATTGACCTCAGCCCCTCTGTCCTGTCCCCACTGCCAACTGACGATACTCCGATCTCCCACTCATCCCCAAATCTCCACACCCCGTCCCTCCCCACTTCCAACGTTCCATCTGGTATTTCTTCACCCTCCCCTGTGCCCCCAGCTGAGGAAGAACCGAATAGCCCCTGCTTCCCCCCGCCCGCTACCGCACCGAGGGCCTCCATCGCCCCACCCAACTTCTGGTTCGCACCTGCCAAGCGGCGCTTTTCAACCTCGCGCTCGAGAACGGAAACGACGCGTATGCGCGCTGGGTGTAGCACTGGCTCAACAGCTGGGTGAGATCCGTGCTCAACGAGGTCGGCGTGCGTGGCGAGGAGGAGCAGACGTGGCGAGCGGGAGAGAGGCTGGACAGCAGATAGCACCAGATGAAGATGTCTGTATGTTAGATTGAGTCGAGGGAAACGCAAACCGTCTTCTGAAGTGAACTCACTCTGCTACTGCCACCCCGTTCCTTGCAACTGTGTTGGCGTCCACAGTGAATACCAGCCCATCAACGGTGGCAAGGTGTTCCCTAAACCTGCTGCGAATCCGTGGGTGCCCCGGAATGTCAATCAGTCTAAACGTTTTCTTGTCTTGTTGTAAAAGGCCTATGTTGGGCTGGAGAGACGTATGGCTAGGCAGATGTTGTTCGTAGACCATCTAAGGGCAGGATCAGCATGCCGTGTACAGATTGGGAAGGCACAAACATTGGCAAAGAGGGCAGTCTTTCCCGACTCCAGCGGTCCGACAAGGAGAACATTCCTGATCTTGTTTTTTTGAGACTTGCGATTTACAAGGAAGACTACACAGTCTCAGCACACAAACTCTCCGGAGCCGGAGTAACGGGCCACACACGAGTAACGACGATAGCAAGCAAAAGTCCAAACAGGGCAGCAAGCAAGGTAGTATGTTGTCGCGAGAACTCTTCTACTGCCACTAGAAGGGGCGTTGATGGCGGTTGTTCTTGCTTTGCGTCCATGGTGGTTGAGAGAACAGAGGCCACGACCCTGAAGGGCCCACTGTACACTTCCCGAACTTGTACAATGGAACAGAAAAGACTGCGGGTACTCATTGCGTCCTACAACACCGCTCTTCGTACATCCTTTCTTCAACCAATTAAATGGCATTGGCTGACATGAAATATAGAGGGTAACAAGGGCCTACCACAGGATCTTGTCGAATGGGTAACCCCGGCGCTTTCCCCGACGCATGATCTGCCTGCCGAGGACCAGGTTCCCCCGGACTTTGTTGCGGTCGGCTTTCAGGAGTTGCTGCCCCTCCAACTGGGATGCGAGTTTTCCAATATGACTTGGTGTGTATTTGGCTGATTGGGAACAGTGGCCGGTTTCTCTAGCAGCGTCTTATCAACCCGGGACGCACTTATCCGGCAACAACTTGAGAAGAACCTGTCCATCGACAGTACTGAGCCCCAGAAGTACTCTCTGATTGCCCAGCACGCCCGGGTTGGTATTGCGCTCCTCATCTACGCGCGGGAAGAGACGGTCGCAGGCCGAGTGAGGGACGTGCAGATACGGGGAGTGGGGTGCGGGCAGTTGGGGATGGGGAATAAAGGTGCCATCGGGGTGCGGTTCAGATTAAGCGCGGAGGACGGCATTGGCGAGGGCGAGATCTTCACTTTCCTCACCTGCCATCTCGCTGCGCACACGTACAACCTCCCCCAGCGAATAAGAGACTACCAGACAATCGTCTCCTCGCTTCTTTTCTCTCCCTCAGCCCATTCCACCGGCCCAAGTCAAATCTACGCCACCACGCACCTTTTTGTCTTCGGCGACCTGAACTACCGACTCTCCCAGGCACCCGACCCAGTGCAGCTGCTTACCGCTGGTGGGAGAGAGCAACTGAGGGAGGTAGACCAGTTGTGGATGTCGAGGGAGGCGGGTAGAACCTTGCACGGATTACAGGAAGGCGAATTCTGGCGGTTTAGACCGACCTATAAATATATCATGGGAAGCTTGGAGCAGTATCAGTGAGTCTACTTCTTTCGCTTCGTGCAATCGCTGGGTCTCCGGCTCGCAAAGCTCAGCGTACACTGCTGACGCCTGGCAGCGGGAAACGTACGCCCTCATGGACGGACCGCATTCTCTTCGCGACACACGACACTATCCCCATCAAGCCTCTACTCTACACCTCCATCCAATCCTACACGACCTCAGACCACAAGCCCATCATGGCCCTGCTCCTCCTCCCGCCCGAGACGCACGACGCACGCCCGCCGCTGATAGACGATCGGGTTCCTTATCCCGTGAATAAGAATGCCTGGCTCCGGATCGCTCTGGGGACGACGCTGGATCGCACCGTGGGGTATGCGTGGTGTGTACTATGGCTAACAGGAGGGGGCAGAACGAGTGTGGGTTTGCTGGCGGTGCTCGCCATTCTGGGGGTGACCTTGTGGTGGTTTGGCGCGTTTAGCAGGTAGGTGTCCGATTTGGGATGGCAAATGGTTATGATTTTATACTGGTATATCCGTGACAATCGACGTATTTGATGTGATATTGTACACCCGAAAGTAAGATGTAAGCGGAGAGGAAGACAGATCCTCAGCTTTCCAGCATTGTCTGTCGCTGAGCTTCTAATCTGGGCGAGCTCTTTCTGGCTGCTGCGTTCTCCTTCACCCGTGTCCCTCTGACAGGGACAAGTGACTCCTTGACTTGCTCGTTTGTAGTCTCCGCAGCCCGTATGACTTCCTCAGTGTTGTTCAGCTTCTCCTGTTCCCTGACCAGGTCATCGAGTTCCTCCTCAATCTCGCTCTCGTCCGCCTCCCTCCCAGCAGCGAGTCTCACTCTCTCTCCACCCAGCTTCGTAGCCTCCTCCACCTCTTCATAATCCGCCAGGACCTCAGCCATACTCTCGAGCGTGTCGTCTACATACTCCCTCTGAAGCCTTGGGTCCTCGAGCAGCTTCTTCATAGTCAAAGTGGATGTTTCATAAGCACGCATGACCTCGACATCGCCTGCGGCGGACTCGATCTTCAGCAGCACGGTGTGGAGAGTCTCCAGCGAAGCTCCGCGCTTCGTGAGCAGCTCGTTTAGCTGATTACGGGAACGTAGATATGACTTGGCCATTTGCTGTTGTTTCTTGGCCAGCGCCTGTTTGGCTTTGACCAGGCACTCGGACATCCGACGCTCAATGTCGTCCATTTGAGACTCGATCCGTTCGATAGCGATCTTCATCTCTAGCACACCGCGGTCCACTTCCGTGATCGTTTCTTCAGCGCTGTCCTCGTCTATGAATTTGATTACCTGGAGACCGTCAGGACGGAAATCAATTGCAGTGGAAGGACAGACCTCTTTTTCCATGACAATGGCCTTCCGGTCCCTCTCAAGGTACTTGAGCAAAGCCTTAACGTCTGTTTCTGAAAGTACGACTCCGGGGAAGGCGACTTCCCTGTATTCCTTTAGGAATGAAGCGGCATTGTGCAATCTGTCCACTATAGACAAGTGCGATTTTGATTGCTCATGCTCCAGGATGGCGTCTGCCGCTTTCTGCAAGAGATCAGAATTAATCACATAGAAATACGTCGTTGCGCACCTCCAGATTTGCCTTGATGACGTACTTTCCCTTGGCCCTCTTCCACCTGCTTGCAACACTCTCGTCTGCCGGTATACGGTCCCCTACCAGCCTAAGCTGCCCCATAGCCCACCAGATCGGCTTTCCAATGAGATAGGTGGCTGTCTTCCAGGGCAGCGAGGATGTGTCATATATTGAGTAAGGGGAGGTGAGGAAGGACATGAGGGGATAGAGAGAGGATGATTCGACCATCTCAAGCTGTGTTAATGATCAGCCTTGTTCGGTCGAGTATCGCAGAAGAAGAGTCTGACCGTGACGGTGTCCATAGATAATGGCCTGGCACCCACGTCCATCCTTAACTTTTCTATAAGCTTGTCCCCCACATCCAGCATAATATGGTCCTGTAGGTTTTGATGATATGCAACAATTTCGGGCAAGGCAGTGCGCCACCAGTCGACGTTTGCGGCATAAGCTGACGGATTGAACAGTTTCTGGCGTGAAAAGTCGGCGTATAGTGCATGTATGCGCTGTGGGGATGGAGTGGGGATGGAGGATGGGAGGAATGATAGGCGGGAGGAGGAGGCCATGGCACAGTAATGAGAAGAGCGTCAGTCACGGGAATGCAGTTCAATATGGTGGACGTTTGCGGACAGCTCGTTAGGGGTCCACCATGCGGCTGCGCGTTGGTGATAAGCATCACTGTGGGGACTACCATGGGAAAAGGGCAGGGTCCAGATGCTGTGCATTCTGCCTCCGGCCCAGTTGCTCCTGCTGGTCAACCCCAGTGAATGACAACTCTTGGTTGTTGTTCACTGGCACTCTCACTTTACTTGCTGCTTAACTTGATCTCCAGCTCACTATGGCTACTTGCTTACCTGTTTTGCCTGACCACCCACTCAGGGCCCAGCAATGCCAATGCCTCACCTCCCAGCAACTGGCAACCCTCCTCCTCTGCCTCCCTCCCCCAGCCTCCCAGTACTTGCTGGGCCAGCAGATGCAGCCTTGGCCTGACACCCCTGAGCCAGAGGAATTGACGCTGGATGCAGAAGAGGTCAAAGAAGCACAGGCATCCAAAGCTGGACCACTCCAGCTTCGAATGCATGCATGGTACTTCTGGGATGACCAGCTGAACCTGTGCTTTCACTGGTGCATCCTGAGGCTCATCGCCAAGTGTGATGCCTGCAGAACTCCCATCTCCTGGCTCTGTACGTCCCTCTCCCTTCACTCTAATCCCAGCTTCCAATCTTATTTCTCCCCAGATTGTTGCTGGTATGGTGAGTTCAAAGACTGCCAGTACAAAGGTATGTCATGCTGGTATCCCAGCATTCCTGGCTCACTCTCCTGGCAGAGATGCTGGACCAGCAGATCGAACATTGCTGGCAGTGAATTCCCCTGGCCATCCCCATCCGTACACTCCAGTATCCCCCTGGAGAACTCCCCAACTATATCCTCCTGCCAGAAGCAATCAAGAGCATGGCACATGTGCCTCCACTGGTGCATACTGCTGGGCCTGGTGAGCCAGGCCAGCAGGGAGATGCATGGCTGCTGGAGGACAATGACAACCTGGAGATCCAGGATGCGGTGAACAGGGTGCATCCTCCCATACTTGTTCTCTTTCCTCTCTTACTGACAAACCCCTAGGATTGGGAAAAAGAGACCACTGCACTCATCCAGTATTTCTGCATGCCTGACAGCATGCAATTCACTGGCTCATACCTGCATGAGATACTGGAGGAATGCCAGTTCCTTGCTGATGATGTCAGCGAGCAGCTGCTGGCATTGATTGGACCACTGGTGTGTCTTTCTTCCTGCTAGGGTGTGCTGGTCGCTGACCAGCACCTAGGGCCAATGTCCTCCTGGCATTGTCAATTGGCCATGGCCCAACAATGATGACTGCAAAGAATGCATGGACAAGACCATGGATTTCTTAGCAATCAGCAGCAAGGAGCCATACTTTGAGCAGTCACATATCTCCAGCAAGCAGTACTTCATCTACGAACTGCTGTCCCTCTATCCCCTCCAGCAACTCTACACTCACCTCAATGTGCCCTGGCAAAGATGCAAGAATTTGGTCAATGAATGGATAAACCAGACAGCAGCATTTGTCGATGCCACCAACATGGAGCTGGGCCAAATGGAGACATGCCAGTGCTATGCACTGGCATGCACCATTATGCAAGTCCTGCCCAACTGCTCTAGCCATGACTGGGCTTGTGCAGAAAGGGAGGCCAACTGACAAGCTGGCACTGGCTCCTCACGCCATAGGACGGAGCCAGTGGCTCCGTCCTGGGCAACTGTCTCAATGCATGTAGCAAATGGATCTCTTGAATAGGCTGGACATCAATGTGATGTAGGACTACCAGTTTGGAAAAATGCAATCTCATGATCCCGTGTGACTTTTGTGAGCCCTTCGCAACTGGCTGGCTAGTGCCCCAGTTCCCGGGGCACCAGCCATGTGTTCTCACCCCAGAGCAAAACAATTCCACCACAGCATAAATTACTGGATGACCAACTATGCTATCTCATCCAGTACCTGTCAGTTCCACATTCAGCAAGTCCTCATCTCTCCTGTCATGTGAGAACTCATCATCATTGGTGGATTCTTCTGGCTCAGCCTCCATATTCCTTGCTGGCCTATCATTGGCGCAGTCAATGCCAGGCATGCAACCAGCACCCACTCTTGCTGGTCCCCAATTTGGTTTACCAGGCATGATGTCAACATACTCATTGGCAACCATTGCTTCACACATTGCATTTGCTAGAATCTCCTTGTGGAATGCCTCATTGTCTGCTGCCAACTGGCACAGCATCAGGGAATACACTTCCCAGAAGCTGGCATGGTTCACCTCAGGGTGACAAAGCACTGGCCCAGCTATGTCAGCATCTGTCCTGATCTGACCAGTGATCTGCCTCATGCACCAATGTATGCATGCTGGGCATGTTCTGCAAACTTCTGCAGCACCAGCTGGAACACCTCATGATCTGCAGGAGCATAGAGTTGTCCAGCTATCTTGAGATGCTGTTGCAAAACACCAATCTGCAATATCTGGTCAGCACTGATATTGCAACGCAATACCAGCCCAAGCAACTGGCCTTATAATCATGGTACAGCCATGACCTGCTGGATTCTCCAGCAGCTCAGCTGGGATCTCTGCCGGCATGGCCTTTTTGTTGTCTCTGCATGGCTTGCTGGAGTTGCGAATGCACCTGAATTGATCAAGATCAGCCTGGATCATTGGAATGGCAAGCCAGCAAAACACCAAACTGCCAATTCATCTGTCCTCGCAGGTGAAGCTGGTTTGGTGCTACACACTGTTCCAGCTCATCATCTGTATGGCACCACCCTTCATCCAGCCCCTCCTGGAACATTGCCTCCCATCCTTCTGCCCACTGGTGCCACAGCTTCAACCAGAAAATCTCCAGCTTGATATTCAAATGTCCACACATCCATTGATGCTGAAGTGTGCCATGCAGATCTGGATCCAGCATCTGCTGGAGAGTGGTCTACACATTTGCCATGCCATGATTCTCAGAGCCAGGATCACTCTGGGTGAGCAGTGGGATCCCTGTTCCCAGTCAGCCAAGGAACTGGGTATCCAGGGAGAAGTACTCACCCTGGATCCTGGAAGCAGCCTCCAGATAAAAGCTGGTGATGAGTCGTGGGTTGGAATTTGTCCACCACACCTTTAGCCAGAGTATGGTATTCAAAAATTGTCCAGCCCAACATGCAAGAACAATCCAAAACACTGCCATTTGTCATGCTGGTCCGCAGACCAGTGCTCATGTGGACCAGCACTCCAATGGACAGCTTGCCTCAGCTGTTTGGCTTGTTGGAGCAGATTCCCTGTGGGATCTACTTGCTGCTGGTACTCCTGTACCAGCTACCTGCATAACTGCTATCAGCACAGATCCAGCCCTTGCTGCTGTTGGGATCACCTTGAGACCAGGATCTGCTCCTCTCAAAGGTGATCTTGAATGGACTTTGATCTGAGGTGATTTGCAGAATGCTGGCATATTGCAGATGCTGGCAGCAATCTCAGAGTCACTCAATCTGGGGTCAAGCAAGTGGACACTGTCATGAGCATGCCCAGACCAGCCGGTGCTAGATCATGTGCTGATCCAGCTGTCAGGGCACCAGCTCATTGCTTGGTCAAGAGACATGACTAAGCCTTTATGACATGGAAGTAGCTGGTATACCTTGGCATGTGCTGGAACCTGCTGGAAGGATTGGATGGTCAGGTGACCTGCTGTGCATGGCTGTGCATGACCTCATATGACCTCATCCTTGGTCATATGACCTGATCACCTGACTAGGCTGAGTAAGCAAGATGTTCTAGCAGGTTCCACTACAGAGGTATAAATATAAGGCCTACTCTGCCTGGGGACTGTCTCTTCAGACTTGGTCTCTTAGGATCATCCACAGGTACCTATACTGTAGATAGGTCTTAGTCATCAGGTCTACTCCACTTCCTTGTTGCCTGCTTAGACTCTTGGCACTCTTAAGTGAGCAGACTTAGTCAGCCTGTGTTGCCCTAACACCAGCCCCACAGGACCAAAACACTGCAGAGACGCCAAAGGAAGTGGGGACTCTTGTCAGTGAAACAGTGAGTGCACACTGTCTCGACCATCAGTCCATATATCAAGTCTTGTTGCCGTATCCATCCTGGTAGTACTTCTCCACCAGTGGACAAAGTACACTATCTGGTACTATCAAATATGAATGAGGATCAGTAATTGGATTCTGGTCCACCCATGGTGGACTGGTCCACAACAACTCACCAGTTGGCATGTACTGGTTTGGCTGTGGCTCTCCTTGCATAGGTGCATACACCTGCAGTGCGCTCAGATACTGGATGGCCAGTATGTATTAAGAGACAACATTTACTGTGGCTGACTCAGCCACAGTGGATGCACCCGTGGCATGGGCACATCCACTGTTCTGGGTCAGCTCCAAAAACTGTACCAGAGATGCAAGCAGCCCTGAACAAGGCCCCAGAACTCCCCAAACCGGTATCTGACCTCCCAAATTGGTATGCCCAGCCATGGATGCAAGTAGCTGGTGCCTTCCCAACCTGTCTGTTCCATGCTGGCTTTGGTGGATGTTCTCGGACGCCAAAGGATCTGGCTGGTTACTGACCAGCAGGGGCTAGTCATTAAACAGCAACAGCATTTTCCCAGGAGCAAAATTGCTTTTTTTCCATCTCTTTCAAGTTGGTTTCTGCTTTCCCCTCAACTCTCCCAGCTCTCACTGTGTCTTTGACTGCTGTATGGATCTCTCCCCTTTTCTTACCGACTGGGAAGGGGGACGTTGCAGCTGTGCCAGCTGCAATGTCCCTATCCCCCCTAAAGGTCCCTGGCAAATGATCACACCCAGGGATGCCAAGGGCAATATGCTCCCAGCACAGATCATGTGTCTGTCCTGTTTCGACCACTATGCAGCAAAGCCCAGCATGCTACGCTGCCCAGCTGCAGGTGCACAACCCCAGCAAGTGGGCTGGGCACCTAGTGCCCAGCTTGCTGGCCCAGCAATCAATGTGATCTCTCCCAATGTTGTGCAGGATATCCACCATCAAACTGCTGGTGCCCAGTGCAATGTCTATGAAGGTGCATGACCATACTACTAGCTGGAACAAGGAAGATACTCAACCAACCCAGGAGGCAAGTCACCTGTGCAGGCTGTCGGTCCACAGTTCAACCACACCCTTGCTAGTCCATTTGCAAATGCAGGTGCAGTGCCTGTACCTGCATTTGCTGGTCATGTACCAGTGTTTGCTGGTCAGGCACCTGCATATGCTGGCCCCTTCCCAGCATTTGCTGGTCAGATTCCAGCATTTCAAGGCTCAAACCAGATGCCTGGGCTTGCCGCTGTGCCAGGTTTTGCTTTGAACACAGGCACCTCCCCACTGGGCTACAACACCAATCACATGATGTACTCCCAGCAGTGCCAGCTGGTCAAGATGGCAGTCAATGCACCTTGTGCTGAGATGATGAGAGTTGATACCTCCATCCAGCATCTGGTGGACAGGAAGAGCAAGTCAAAGCAGCTGGGGGTGAGTGCCAGGCTTGCTGGATGGTATCAAACTAGATTACTAATTCTGAGACCAGAACACATCCAAGCAATTGAATAACATCCCTGCAACTCTACTGGCTGCCAAACTGAAGCAGTACATCTTCACCCAGCTGTATCAGAAGATACAGCAGGACGCGCATGAATTTCTGTTCCGGCTGGAATTCTTCAAGCTGTGTGGACCTGGGCTGGCTGATTTGGAGAAGGATCTGACTGTCCCAGCAGTATACCAGCAGTGCTTCAAGGAGCACATGAAGAATGGGATGACAACACACGTTTTCCAGCCCAACTATCTGGTCGAAGCCTTCCTGCTTATTAAGAAGGAGGTCTGGCCAGCTGTGAGCCTGTGGATAGAGGAAGCAGTTTGTTGCTCACCAGCTGCACATGTCAATGTATCTCATTTAACATGTCTATAGACTGAGGGCATTTCTCATTTGGACATTGTAATTCCTGGGCTAGTTCTGAGCACAGCTGTCCCAAGCACAGCTCTTGCTACTGGGACTGACCCAGCTCCCATGCTGGCAGCATCTGGCCAATCTAAGGTAAGGAAAACCAATCTCAGATGCTGGTATTCTGATCTCATTATTTCTTAGCATCCATCTGTGAATGTCACTCCCCCTTGTCCTACCAAGTGGGTTGCAAGGGAGCTGGAAAATAGCCCAGATGATGCAGCAATTGTCCATGTGTTGATGCACTCTGATCACCTCAAGGTATCCCAAGTGAATGGTGAGTCTGCAAGTGGGACTGGACATTTTTTCATTCCTGACTCCATCCCAGCAATGAAAATCATGGCACATGGCCTCTTTTTCCCAATCCCAATCATAACCTGGCAGGAATTGGTCATGGTTGCTGGAGATTAACTATGAGGCTGATGGTTGTGTGGCAGTCCTGCAAGTGGACAAACAAGTCAAGAACATGCTTGGCCAGCCCAGTACCTTCAAGACTGCACACCCCACACACCTCACTCTGGGCAAGTACCCTCTGACATGGCAAGTGCTGGGCAATGCCCAGCCCTTTCTGGTGGGACATCCGACAGAGGTTGCTGCCAAGCAATACTTTGTGTGGAGCAAGCCTGGTGGGCCCCATCATTATGTCCAGATCCCAGTTGAGTCTACATTCCTGGAGCAAGAAGGGAGCATTCTGTACTGGGCCACTGCACTGCATGAGCTGTCCAAGTCATTTGTCCAGCAATATCTGGACATGAATCCAAACTTGACTGCCAGCCAGCTTGAGCATCCAGAGACCCGCATGGTACAAGGTGGGCTGTTCCAGTATCAGAAAGACAGTCCTTCACAGCATGGAGGACTGGTCACTCTGATCAAGGAGAAGGTTGTTGGCCCACTGGTCTGAGAGGGGAAGACCCAGAAGACCTTTGTGAAGTTCATCTGCAACTCCTCCCCAGCTCCAAGGTTTGTCGACAGCCCTGCTGGACTGGTTGTGCAGTATCTTTGTTTTTTCCAGCATGTTCAGTACCAGAAGACATTGAGGAAGGCATTTATCTCAGATTACCAGGGTATGTACATGTATATAAAACACTCCTTGATGCTGGTTAATACTAATGAGCATCAAGGGTCACTGACAATGCTGAGTGACCCCCAGATCATCACAAACCTGTGAGTACTTCCACTGGTGCATACCAAACTAGCTGATCCTGGTATCCAGTGTGCTGGGTGATGTGTTTGGTGAAGGAAATTTAAACACTGCTTTCAACAATTTCCCCTCCCTCCACAAGTGTAATGAATACTGTCTTGCATTTGGGCTGGACAGTCTGCAAGATCCTGAGGCATCCCCTGGCCCAGCAGGGGGATGGATTGAATCAGAGAGCCTGCCTGAGGTGGAGGAGGTTATCCAGGACATGCTTGGAGCTGCTGATGCAGCAAAGGAGGACATGGTGGCTGAAGGGGAGCAGCATGCTGGAGGAGAGCCAGCAGTGAACTTGGGTGCTGGCACAGCCAGCACCCAAGTTCAGGTCCAGGCACAACCAGAACACTGCAGTGACTGTTTGGGTTTGAAAAGGGCTCTCAAAGCAGCTGCCAGAAGTGTGCCAGCAGTGTAAAGTAGTGATGACTGCATCTGAATAACATAGCATATATGCCCAACTCCTGTTGGTCCTTACTGCACTAGTATTTACTGAATTTTGATATCATTCTTGACAAGTCCACTTTCCAAAAAAGGTATTTCAGGCTGGACCTGCTTCCATAGGTGCAACCCATGCTGGGTTGGAAAATTCAGACTCAGAAACCTTTAAATTAATTATGTAATCACGATCCTAAAGGCCGATGTGCAGCACATGGACACTGTCCAACAACGGCTGTGGGTGGAAGGATTTTGTGGACTGGTGAGACCCCTTATCAGCTGACCAACGGAGCTGTCCGCAAACGTCCACCATAGTTCAACGCGTCGCTGAGCACGTGACATTCTGTCATATGCGCCACGAGTGCTCAGGGTCCATTTGTCGTCCTGTTTCCTCTTCTGTTCAACGCCATGGCCACCATTGACCGTCCACTGATACTCTACATCTCTCCCCCTGCCTGGTCACTACCCAGCACGTCCGCCCACTCAATCATTGCACTTCTATTTCTCCACATCCACTTCCCTACAAAATACGCTGTCGTAGAATGCACAGATCCCGACATCTCCCCAACAGGCACACTCCCCTTTCTCGCACATGTCCTACATACGGTCGCACCCCTTGGCGAGATAGTGGGATATTTGTCCACACTGGATCCAGAGACACTCGTGCCTACTAAAGGGGTGACGGTCGACCAAGGCTTGACTCCCCTCGAGAAGCAGGAGACAGTCGCTTGGAAGGCGTACATGGATTCCAACCTTGGGAACTTACTTGTTCGTCTTTCCCCTTTTCTGCATTCATTATGATCTCACAAGATTAACGAATACATATTAGTCATTGACAATGTACGCTGACCTTCCGAACTATGTGAGCACGACCCGCCCTGCCCTCGCGCGCAACATGCCCCTCCCCATGGTCTATTACGTACCCCGGCGAATACGGAAAGAGCATACAGACCGCTTGGAGCAGCTTGGATGGGGTATCGCGGAGGAGGAGGTGCAGGAGAGGACGAAGAGCCATCCGGAGAGCAGAGTTATAAACACAGATGAGCTGAAGAGAGCTTTCCGACGGGATAAGGTACTGTATTCCTCATAACAACCCAGCTTGGGATATAACGGATTATTGCAGCATGTAGAGCGCGCCACACCGATACTTGAAGACCTGTCCCACTTGCTGGGCTCAAGAGACTACATATTTCAAAACCGGTACGTATTCTCTGCTCCCTTCTCGGTTCGAGCTAACCCACCCCAGCCCCACATTGCTGGACATTTACATGGCCTCTTATCTCTCTCTGCTCATCCTCCCCCCCTTTCCAGACAACTTCATCTCCTCCCTCATCCGTGCCTCCTACTCCAAGCTCTTCACCCACACGCACCGGATTCTCGCCTTGCTCCCATCATGGCCGGATGAGATGCCCAAGCTGCCACCACCGCAGACATCCCTGTTCGCCCCACTCACACGGACACTGCGCGCCATACCGACGATCGTACCTGTGCTCAAGTCGCGCATGACGCCTCGAGAAGACCCGGCGCAAGCAACGGAGCAACTACAAGAGACCGGACTCTTCTCCGTCGGGAACCTCGTGTATGCCGGCATTGGCCTGGGTGCGGCGCTCGCTTTTGCAGGAGCAAGTGGTTGGATAAGCCTCGCACCGCCCGAGGTTGAGTTGGACGAGAAGGTAGAGGCTATCGTTGAGGAAGTGAGAGTGATGGACGACGGGAGGACGGTTGTGGAAGAAATTGAAGTGACTCTAGGAGTGAAAGATGACTAGGTATCCCCAAACAGACCTACCGAAAGAAAACCCGAAGATCCGGGATTATACTATTATAGTAATCGATCCAACTAAGCTATGAATTGATCGCCTGTTCACATTCTCTCCGTTTGGACCAAACTCCAAAAGAAGGAGCATCGGGTAAATGTCCGATTGGACCATTTGTCTGCAGGCCGATTATTCCGGTAGACCGATGCCAGCGAACATGCGCTACTCCGAGGATATCCCAGCAGATATGAATCGTATAAATCGCCAGCTATGGGCTGTCACTGTTCCTAACATCCGCTCACGATCCCCATCACCAACTATCAAACAACACCAACAATGACCAGCTCTCCCCTCCCGCCTATGCAGTACCGCTTTCTCGGCCGCTCCGGCCTGAAAGTCAGCGTGATCTCCCTCGGCGGCTGGCTGACGCACGGCGGCCATACAGGGGACGAGATCGCGTTGCAGACGATGAAGCGGGCGTTCGACTTCGGTGTGAACTTTTTCGATTCCGCTGAAGGGTATGCCGCTGGCCGTGCGGAGATCCTCTTGGGAAAGGCGATCAAGCAGTTCGGCTGGGAGAGGGAAGACTTGGTCATCTCCACTAAGTTGTATTGGGGTGAACGACCTGATGGCAGCAAGGGCATAAACGGTATGTAGCCCAGGCCCTTGTCAGAGAGGGGTTGATGATGCCTTGTAGATGTTGGCCTGTCCCGCAAGCACATCCTGGGCGGAATGCGCAAATCCCTCCAGCGCCTGCAGCTCGACTACGTTGATCTCATCTACGCGCATCGGCCTGATCGGTATACACCGATGGAAGAAGTCGTGCGCGCGTTCAACTACCTCATCAGCTCAGGCCAGGCGTTGTACTGGGGCACGAGCGAGTGGAGTTCAGAGGAAATCGCGGATGCTTGGGGGGTCGCAAACCGACTGAGTGCGTCCATGCTCGAGAGAGAGGAAGTAGGAGCTGACAGGATGGGGCAGACTTGGTTGGTCCGCTAATGGAGCAGCCAGAGTATAACATGCTCAAGCGTGACCGTTTCGAACGAGAGTACGAGCCGCTCTTTCGCAAATGGGGCACTGTACGTCTGTTCATCTCTTCTTCACTCTCTCGCTGATAGCTCTACGCCAGGGGACGACTGTCTTCTCGCCTCTGCGGCGTGGCATCCTCACGGGCAAGTACGATAAGGGCGTGCCTGAGGATTCGAGGGCTGCGAAGGAGGGCGGGTGGTTCAAAGATGAGATTAGTGGACCACAGGGCTTGATTACCATCGAGCGCGTGAAAAAGCTCAAGGTAGAGTCCTTCTCCTCTCTCAGATCAGCAGAAACTAATGTCGTCCATGATAGACGGTAGCAGACAAGCTCAACTGTTCGCGTGCGCAGCTCGCTCTTGCATGGACGATTGCCGATCCCAACGTCAGCAGCGCGATCATCGGCGCGACCTCCGTTGAGCAGATTGACGAGAATATCGCCGCCCTCTCAGTGGTGGACAAGCTCACGCCCGAGGTCATGGCGGAGATTGACGCCATCTTGGAGAACAAACCCAAGGCAGATACATGGAGGTATGACTAGGCGGTGAGGGTATCGGAGTTCGGAGAGAGCTGCACCACTCGGCCAGGCGATAAATGATGATGGCAGACTATATACTCACCATACCTGAATGTCGCAATATATGCGTTGCTAGCTTTATTGGTGATTGTTTGCAGAAGTGGGGTGCATGCAGGGAGCAGGAGCGTAGATCGGATTTAGGCCCTGCATGTATGCACCTCAATGCCTCACATAGCATGTCTGCCTGTTCTACTTATCGGCTGAAGAGGGCTTGAAGGGTGAGGAGACTAAGGACAATCTGACAAGTGTCAGATTGTCCTCGGTTTGCAAACTCTTCATCTCTCTAGGACGACAAGACAACAAATAACCACCCGCGATATCACTGTCGGAGATGTTGGCATTCACATTGCCCTCAGGTTGTACCTGCGTTCTCTCAAGGACACAATTCTGGATAAGGGCGATGACGAGCGTCCAGGTTGTCTCGCCATATAGCTCCTCCAGAGTGCAGCTATATTGACTAGCGGCCCTTGACCGCTTTTCCCACCAAGTATAGGTCTAGTGGGTGAAGCCGTTGTGTCGACAAGAAAATGCGAGAGCAGCGAGATAGAGACAGAGCAGATAACGAGAGAGAACGAGGACGTCAGGGTGGAGGAAAGAGAGGAGAGCGCTCTCTCTCTTGCACTCACTCTTCCGCCTCGGACAACCTTGAAAGGGAGCAAGAGAGAGTCCCAGTGGCTGGGGGACCGCTTCCCCTCCCCGCTCCTCTTCTGCTTCATGTTGTGTATGCAGACACACCTTGAAACAGGAGAGGAGGGGGGAGGGGAAGAACCCCCCCGCTTGAAGCCCGTCCACCCACAGGAAGGTGCGCATATATACGTTTTTTTGGGGGGTGCCGTGCACGGGCCACGTCCTTGTCGGCAGAGATGGAGAGAGAGAGTGGACAGACCCCGTCGTAAGTTATCGGACGATATTGTGGAGCCACAAGGTTTGGGGTTGGTACTAGAATGAACCCCAAACTTTGCTGCTTAGGAAATGGCCAGCCTCGTCGAGCATCCAACCATGTCCGCGGGGTCATTTGACATCGATTTCATCCCCTTTGAAGATGGTAACCAAAGTAAGAGAAGCACACGAGTGCGTCGACTCTGTAAGAAGTTCAGAGCGGTGAGAGTGTCGAGCAGCGCTGCGAGGAAATGAGCAGCCCTTGCATGGTGTCCGACTTGCCCAAAGACTGCCAGAGTCGATTTCCTTTTTAAGGAAGATGATAGCCCAAGTATGAGACATGCCGGCGCGTTTTCGGCGCACAGTACCAGCGATCCGGATTGACCGTCGGAGAGTACCGGAGGTGTATTCCGACCAAAACGCCCGCCCAGTTCTGTATCGTAACAGTGCATACATAGCAAATGCATATACCCAGCGTAAAAGCAAGTTGGTGTATGTTCGTTCCCGTTCTCGTACTGCCGCTTTCCGAGAAGGGTTGCTCAGGGCCGGTTGCTCAAGGGACGCAACACACGGGCACGTTCGGAGGAAATCCCGTGAGGGCGACATCTTTGGAATGCAATGCCCTTGGTGATGATATCTACTCAAGGTTCGAACTAAGAGTGGAGTAAGTATTGTACCGCTATCGGGATCGCGAATACTGGTGGGGGCAGTGAAGCTAAGAGGAGCACGTTGATGGATCTTTGTTCAGATACAGGGTAGAGATAAGATGACGTCTTTCCTGTGTCGGAATTGATGGGCTCGGAGGGAGTCTGATGGGCATTGATGGAAATGGTGAGGATGCTGACTGGGATGCGGTTGTCGGGATCCCGGTGTCGGATCGGGATTAGGATGATGATGGGGTTTGAATGGATATGTTTGGGGGATGTGAAAAGGTACCGATAAGCAAAGACAATGACGTTAGGTGCTCGGTTAGAATTAATATTGCCTGCCACGCGGATGGCGGCGGCGGACATGAACTCGAAGAAGGGAAGGAAGGGGAAAGAAAGAAAAAAAACTGATCGGACCCCTTTGGGATGAATTCTGGGAGCAGAAAGAGGGTGTGACGGAAGCGGGGCAGGGGGGAGGAATAGCCGAAAGTTGTATGGCTCGGAGAATCTGATGATGTGGGAAGGAGAGAATGGTGAATGCTTCCATGTTGTGATATCTGCTGCTTTTTTCCACAAGGAAATTCTCTGGCGGGGGAGGATATGAGGCTGGGAGAGTCGTGTGGTGAAAGAAGGTGTGAAAGAGAGAGAGAGAGAGGTAAGGGTGAGGTGGTGATGACCTGTTGTGAAGGAGAAAAAGGCTCCACAGTGAGAGAGACACGGTGCAGTGCTGCCCCCTTCCCTTCTTCACACGAAAAAAGTGCGCAGCAGCTGCACTTCCAGGGAAGCATCAAGCACAGAGTTATCATCACTCTCTGACTACTCTTACATCGCATTATCCGTCATTTTAAATCACCGTTTACTCGTACTCATTTAACAGAATTAAAAACAATCGCATTCCAACTCTACCCAATCCACAATTGTGTTTTTCACCCCAGTGTCGAGGTGAGCTTGTTCTGCCAATAATTGTTTGCTTCCATGTGAAGGGCCCTCAATCTCTCTCATTCATTCACTCTCTCACACTGTCCTGCTCCCGCTCCCTTTCCTATCTCCTCCTCCTCCTCCTCCTTCTCCCCACCATTCTCCTCATCGTCTTTAACCCCCTCCTCATCGTCTACAACGGGGAACAACAACCTACCCCCCACATTTCCACCTTTCTATGCCCCCTTCCTCATCATCTCCTCCATCCCCAGTCGCTCACCCCCGTCCAGTAACGCGCAAAACTAGGGTGTCCTCCATCAACATCCCTTCACCGGACGTCGAGCTCTACCATCGCGACAACGCACGCAACAACACTCTCGGGTCCGTCTGGCTCTCCCTCAACGACAACGCCCCCTTTGGTCAGACCTTGCCCACCATGAACACCCTACACACCTCACCATCACCGTCTTCCGCCTCCAACTCCCCAACCTCCGCCCTCATCCCATCATTCATATCCTCATCCCCTAACGACTCCGCAACGCCCACAGTCTGTGGCATGCCATTAAAATATGTCTCGTACGTCTTCTTATCCTCTCCACGCGCTTCACATTCGTTGACGCTTCATAGACTATTCACCCTCGCCATCCAAAACGCCCTTCTCACGATCATCATGCACTACTCCCGCGTATCCACCCCACCTTCACAAGCCTACTCCGCTGCAGCCGCTGTGCTCGTCAATGAGCTCCTCAAAGGCGGTATCTCACTTGCTATCGCTCTTATGCGTATAGACAGCGAGATGTCCCGAACCACCTTTGACGCAAACGGAGTCCCCCATACACCCATCACAAAGTCAAAGAAGCTCTCCAACGGCGGACCCATCGTCTTGACCAACGGCTCCCCCTTCGCCATCTCCCGCGTCATGTACGCTCTCTCCCCCGCCCGTTGGCACCTCCGTCTCCGTCGGCTCAGGCGCGAGATCTTCAGCCAGGACTGCTGGAAGCTCTCCATCCCTGCTATCCTCTATGTCATCCAGAATAACCTCCAATTCGTTGCTGCTTCTAACCTCGACGTCGCTACCTTCCAGGTCACCTACCAGATGAAGATCCTCACCACCGCTGCCTTCTCCGTCATGCTCCTGCGTCGCAAGCTCTCCGCGACAAAGTGGCTCGCGCTTCTCTTCCTTGCCCTTGGCGTCGGTATTGTCCAGATTCAGTCCGGCGCGACCAAGTCCCACCCCACGCCGCCTCCAAGCTTTGCAACTGAGAGCGTCGAGGGAGAGGGCGCAATTCCGAACGTGGGCGACCTCATCACAGCGCCTACTCACACTATGCGTCCCATGACCGGATTCATGGCCGTGTGCGCAGCATGCTTAACCTCCGGTCTCGCCGGTGTCTACTTCGAGATGGTACTCAAGAATTCCCAGGCGGATCTCTGGGTGCGCAACGTACAGCTTTCCCTTTTCTCCCTCATTCCCGCCATCGTGCCCATCATCTTCACTGCCGAAGCTGGTTACCCCGGTCAGGGCTGGCTTGGCCGTCTCTTCCGCAATTTCACCCCCTGGGCCTGGGCCACCGTCCTCACCCAGGTCGCCGGGGGTTTAGTCACCGCCATCGTGATCAAGCACGCAGACAACATCCTCAAAGGGTTCGCTACCAGTCTGAGCATCATCATCTCGTTCCTGGCGTCTGTCCTCCTCTTTGGCTTCACCATCACCCCTGCTTTCGTCTTAGGCTCCTCCACCGTTCTCGGCGCAACCTGGATGTACAATCAGCCCCCGCCGAAGGCATCAGCAGATGGCTCCACCATTTCCCTCCTCTCTGCTGTCTCCTCGGACTCTCGACGGCCGTCCTTCCCTGGCTCACCAGTCAGCCCGGATGCGCCCATCCTCGGCCAAATGCCCAAGCAACGTTCCCCTTACGCATCGCCCAGCTCGCTGGCCCTCGCTTTGGGCATCACGTCCAGCACGACGGCCTCTCGTCCCACCTCTGGTCTTCCCTCCCCGCTAGAACGTGATTATTTCGGCACGAGCACGGGCATGCCGCCACTTTACTCCTCTCCTCCCTCCCGCCCGCCCTCGAGGCCGCCCAGCACAAAACCTCCCACTCGGCCTCCCTCCCGCCCGCCCAGCGCGCGTCCCTCGCGCGAAGGCTCCCGTTCCGGTAGTGGGGACGAGCTACAAAATGTAGACCTTGGAACAGGGGCCTTGGATAGTCAGTATAGACGACCACCGCCGATCGACACGAGCTCGCACCTCCTCGTGCCACCACCGGTACTGGTGGAGGGCAGCGGGGAGACGACCAAGCTTATCCGTCGATGAGCGGACACTGCTCATCCCGGGTTCCATTCGCATTATTTATGGACTTGTCTGGTCTCGTGTTCATACCCCTCCTGCCTCTTATCGCCACGATTCCAAAGACTCTCGTCTTACTACAGACTAGACATGTCCAGTTCTAAACATCCCTCGGTCACGCCCCCTCACGGTCTCGCTTAATTCCTTTTCTCGTCCTCTACGAACTTTACACTTCTCCCTTCTGACTGTTGATGGACTTTGCCATTTTGCTCTCTTCGTTCGACCCTCCCCCTCCTGGTCCTCACCGACCAGCAACTTCCCCTTCGTCGTAGATATATTATATACGCCCCCGCCTCCTTGGCTCTTCTGCGCTGTGCGTGTCTAATTTGTGGTGTGCCGTTGGGTATGCGGCGGTAGTGGTGGCGGGGACGACTGATGTGGGTGATGGGGAAGCGCATCTCGCTCTCTGATGCTCTGCGTGTCGACCCGTTCATTACTATACCCCGCCATTTCCGCGGTTTTTGGTAGACTGTTTGGCTTGTACATTTGGGCGTCGCCTTGATGAGAAGCACGAATGAAATTGTAGGATGAATTGCCAATGCAGAAAGCCCGTGCCTTTGAAATCGGTCATCATCGCACAAGGTTGATCTCTAAAGATGCCAACTTCCTTTGAGGGTCGTTATGCTGGCCCGCGAACCCTGGTACGAAACAGGAACATGCGCTCATAGCACAGAAACATGCAACCATCGTGGAGCCAATTAGATGCGACACATTCGAAGTAGATGCAGGTAATGATACATGTGAAACGAACAGTATGAGGTGACGTGATGATACAGCCGCCCGAAGGCTCCACAAAATCTGAAAACGGAAGACGGCGGTCCAACCGATCACGGTCTAAATGAGCATCTTGCTCATGTACGGCCCATCTAGTTTGTAACCCAGCCTCCTGTAGTAGTCTCGTGTGCCAACGCCAGATATAACTGCGAGCTTGACGCTCCCATGTTCTTCGCGCGCGATACGCTCCGCTTCTTCCATCAGGAGCGTACCAAAGCCCTGCAACCGTGAGAGTCAGCATATCGTCATGATGCGAAGCAGAGAAGAGGAGAAGCAGTTGCGGTGATGTAGTGACATCATCTCGCATATTGCAAAGAGTGTCTGCAAGGTGACGGACACTGACCTGATGCTGGAACTTTGTTGGGTCTCTCCCGTGCACGGGCACTGCCGTACCATAAACATGCAGCTCGCGGACGATACTACTCTGCCCCGCATTCACAAGCTCTGGTCGGAAGGTGCCTTCTGCTGAGCACTTGCGCAAGCGCAAAAGGCCGACCAGGATGTCCCGCTCCGGATCCTCGTACGATAGGAAGGTCTCCCATCCGCCGTTCGCTGTATAATCGCGCCGCAGCAGCTCGACAGATTCGGGGCGGACTTTATGATGGATCTCGCGGATCTAAGAAAACACGACTCAAAAGTCAGTCGATGTTATCTGCATAACACGTGGGCTCACCCCAACTTCACGATACCGTACATCACGGCATTCGGCTCCGAAATCTTTCATCCGTTGAAGTGCCAACTCACGCAAGTTTCCGGAATTCTCGCAGCCGCTCGACACCAGCGGCAACGGGATATCTCTTTCCACCGCGGTCAGCCCATGCCTGTACATCCGCAGTCGGGATTGACTCACCGCTGTACACGATACACCCTAGTCCACGGCGGTACGAGGGCTAGGATACGGGCCACGACGTCGACGAGCATGTTCGGCGTGTAATTCTTGTATCGCCCCGTGCGCCAGAGTTCGTACAGCCCTGTGCCTCTGATGACCAGGGTAGGGTAGATTTTCAATCCGTCCGAGCGGAACGCAGGGTTCTCAAAGTATTCCTTGAACTGCTCCATATCCCTCTCCACGCCTACATTTGGTAAATCAGGCATCATATGAGCCACCACCTTGAAGCCGGCGTCCTTGGCTAGTTGGAAGGACTCGGAGACGGCACGGACCGTGTGGCCGCGGTTTGAGTCACGAGCTACGTCTTCATATACGGACTGAACACCGATTTCTAGTCGCGTACAGCCGTATCGAAGCATTTGGGAAAGATGTGGTTTGAGGCAGTAATCAGGGCGTGTCTCGATAGTAATTCCGATGGCTTTTGTTTTGCTCTGCTCGGAGTATCTGCGACAAATCAGCTCTGAGAAATCTCGCTACGCATACACACGCTCACCGAACGGCTTCATCCACATCGGTTCCCGTAAATCCAGAGAGAGCATTATGCAGCTGGGCAACAAACTTGTTGCGGTAATCTTCCGGCATGCTCATAAACGTCCCGCCCATTATAATGAACTCGACCTTGTCAACGCTATGACCCAAGCTCGCGAGCTGCTCGACTCTTCCCCTGGTTTGTTCGTATGGGTCGTACCGTGCTCGGATCGCACGCATGCTGGTGGGCTCATACCCCGTGTAAGACTGGGTGGAGTAGTCAAAGTCTGAGTCGGGACCACCGGGACAGTAAACACAGATGTTTCCAGTCATAGCGATGTGTGGACATCGATGGGGTTTGCACATTACGGCAACGACGGCGATCTAGCAGGATCTCAGCATGAGACCTCGCACTGTTTGCGCAACTCACCCCACTCGCGGTCCGTACCGGTCTAGCCTTCAGCTTCGGTACTAGCACCTTCTTCCACTCCTCCGGCACAGCACTGATGATATCGACGAGTCGTGGAACTCCAGAGAAGCCATACTTTTTGGACTCTTGAAGCTTGAGCCCGTTGAGGGAGATGGTGCGTCCTTCTTTGTGGGCCTTAATGAGCTCGAGGGCGATTGAAGAAGAGACGCGAAGAAGCAGCTCGGCTTGGGATGGGCCTATGTAACGTTTAAAAATGTGGACGCTCTCATGAAATACAAGAGCGTACCTTTTGATGGTGCTGGATCTCCCATCGTCGTTGCAATCCAAGGTACAAAATGTATAGATGTTGCGCACCAATTATTCCGACGACCCTGACTCGGCGAAGCTGCAAGAAGTCCCGGCACGGGAGCAAAAAAAATCCATAAGAGCCGTTTTTTGTGCGACGCGACGTCGTTTTCTCTCATCTTTTAACAACTTTCTAGGCGACGATATACCTCATGTCCGGTATTGCCTTCTATCTCTAGGGGCGCCGGATATACTGTTCTGCCTTACATTAATGATGGTTGGTGCTTTAGGTCGACCTTTAAGGATTTATAACGGAGTACGTCGATCACCAACCACCCCAACAATCATCTGTTTGGTACATGTACAATACCTAAAGAATGCAATACTGTACATTTGTGTATTCAAATGAAGGATGCCGTGCTCTTTCCCATAAATGTAAAGCACATTTAAGTCTTTGTTATCTTCCAAAAGTCTCCGTGCTGCGTAGTGGGCAAACGGACGCGGGGCAACAGTTGTATATTAACGGAGCTTGGATACGATGCCTGGAGCTATACTATCATTGCATGGAATCCCTTTTCTCAGTCTACAACATGACCACACCAATACCTCGGCCGATACCATTTCCTCCTTCTATAGGGATGTGTCCCTCAAGAGGTGGAGTACGCCAGTTGTACAGGTAGAAGTTGAGGAGCCCATCGCCCTTTCCAAACTGAAGGCATGGGTTCAGCACGTTAACCAAACATGATTGCTAGAGAAGCTCACCTTATGGTCCTCTAAGAAATCCCAGTTGTCCATCATCGTCAGCGCGTTAAACACGTCAAAGTCGGCATCACGAGCGATAATCAGTGCGTCGCCGACGAGGTCGTACAAGCGTTGCTTGCTCTCCGGCTCGGGCACATATGTGGCATAGTAGAAGAGGTATGCAGCTTCAAGCATCTTGTGCCCTTTGGTATTCGCAATCACAGACGAGGGAAGCGTGTAGAATGAGAAGAAGTCGGTGATCTTACCATCGGTCTGGTTTTCGCTCAGTACAAAGCCTTCATCAACAAAAGCAGGGGGGTGCGTACCTCGACGACGTAAGCCCACGCCACCTGATCCGTCCGGCGGGCAGGATTCACCATCGGCTCCGACCCCTTTCCGCTCAGGAACATATGCTCGATTTCCTCCCTGCTGAACACGGGGACCATGTCGAACCGTTTCATGTACTTGTTCATGAGCGCCTCAACCTGAGGAATGTCGGCAAGCTCCATCTCCCTCAACCCTGGGATGGATGTCTTCTTAGGCAGTGCTGTCTGCCTGACTAGACGAGCGAGCGTCATAGAGCGCGGCACGGCCGTGAACCCGATATCAACCAGCTTGGGGAGGTTGAGCGTGCGGTGGTAGTACCGGCAGGTAGAGACGGGAGTCGGAATCACCACGCCCGCAGTGTAGATCGCCTGCCAGATGTCGACCAAATGTACGCGCCGGGTCACTTCCTTGATCAGGACGGGGGCGAGACGTTTGCCCCTCAACTTCTTGTGCACACAAAGGAAGTTGATCTCTGTAGAATCGACCATCCTGATCTGTGGCATGAAAAAGATACCTAGGTGATAAATGAAGTACGCACGTGCCCCTGATATTCAGCTTTATCGGCACGCCGGAGATGAAGCCAACCAGCTTCCTGCTGGAAGTTACACGGACACCGACGTGCCATGAGGGCTCATAGCCAGGAGGCATAAGTGCCCTGGAGATCGTAAGTATGCATCCATAAGATAGTGATCGGGAAACGTACCATCTCAAGAAAGGCGCAGTGTACGCAAACCGGAAGCTCGCATCATCGTCCTCCACGTAGTTGGCGGACAGAAGCTCGTACACCTCCTTGCACTGCGTCTCATCCGTCATGTCTACTGTGCACCAATCGAAGTCTTTCGGGAGTGGATAACCTTCCTGGCGCACTTGGTCGAGCGGTACGGAGGGTTCGATAGGCCCGGACTCCTTAGGCGCTTCTTCCCCGATCTGCGGAACAGGCTGGGTATTCCAGAACTGGTGTCTTGTGAGCAATTATCCAACACGAGTGGGCACGGTAGCACGTACTTTATGCCCTCCTGTTTCTTTCTTACCTTTGCCACCAAGCGCCTTCTTCCCTGCTAAGATGTCCATAATCTGCATGGCCTTCATCTGCTTGATGACTTCGGATTGATCCACCTGACTCTGAGGATCCTCTTCCTTGACCTTCTCCATGACAGCGTCCACCATCTCCTGGGGAATAGCAACAGAGGACAGACCAGCCTTCAGCTTGCTCGCTGCGGTGCGGGCCTTGGACTTCTTCTTCTTCTTCTTGGTATTGGACGCGGTGGCAGGCGCAGAGGAGGAAGAGGCAGTTGGCTGCTGCTCGTCTTCTTCCTCGGAGTGCTCATCTTCCTCTTCGTGCTCATCAACAATCTCGACAATTTCTTTGTCCTTGGATGAAGATGCCATGATAAGGATAAAGAGGGGAGGGAGGCGAATTCTGTCTGTTATATATCTGTGCGGCAAGGGAAGCAAGCAACAAGGCACGATCAGAAAGATCAACGGATATTTACCGGTCATTCCACGTGACTGGCCGAGGCATATCACTCCTCATGCCGGTGACACAATTGAATGACCGCAATGAATCGAACTTTCCAATTCATTCATGCGAATAATGCATATTGCAAAGTGTGACTATGTAGTACAGTTGCGAGTTGAAGGAGGGAATAAACAGTATAGAGGTATATCAATCGTGCAGTAACTGGCCTTGGGATGTTAGTTGGACGCGTGAACTGCGTGTGCAATGAAGACGGAACACGCAATGATTCGTACAGAACGAACAAAAAGAAACTGGAACCAGAGGTATGTCTACAATGGAGAGCGTGTTGCGAATTGGAAAGGATTATTTCAGACAAGGAGATCTCAAAGCTCCGAAAGAATGCGATGGAGTGCATTGTACACCTCCGCCATGCTGGGGCGGTCGTGGGGGTCGGGGGCCCACATTTGTTCTACCAAATCAACAAGTGCAGGTGTCCACTGCTTGCGGAGACCAGACGTGGAAGGTCTAGAAAAGTACATTAGACATATGCCGAACTCCCGCAATGAAATACACTCACCGTAGCCGCTTCTGACCGACGGCTTCATAAATCGCGTGTTCATTCATGCCTTCCCAGGGGTATTTCTTATTCGGGTTGTGCCATTGAAGGATTTCCCAGAACACCATGGCGCAAGAAAAGACGTCAACCTTGTAATCGTACTTGGGATGAGGATGCCACAGCTCGGGTGCTTGCCAGTTGACAGTCCCAACGACGCTCCGGATCATCGAACGTGTGGACTGCTTCACCTTTGCCAGACCGAAGTCAGCGATCTTTGCATGAACAGCAGTCGTAATGAGAATGTTAGACGACTTGCAGTCGCGGTGAATAACAGCAGGTTTGAGCTCATGCAGGTAACGAAGACCGCTGGCAATGTCCAACATGATGCCAATGACTTTCTTGAGCGGTGGTGGGGGAACGTTCCTGATGTAGTCATAGAGATCGCCGTTAGCACAGAGCTCGCTGATGATCATGACAGGCGTTTCTCGAGTATTTTCGGGGACGCTAACTCCGAGGAACCTGACGATATTTGGGTGATCGAAGTCGCGCAGGAGGGTGAGTTCCTTGATGTCCATCTGAGTCAGTTGGCCACGAATCTCGGCAAGTGCGACCTTGCGCCCGCGGTATTTGCCGACAAAGACGCTGCGGTTCTCGTCAGTTCGCGCACATAGTGCAGATCAGTTCACTTACTCCTTGAAGCCTCCACTACCGATCTTCTCCAACTTGGTCAACTTCTCGGGTGGGATCTCCTTCTCCTCAAGACCCAACTCCTCCAAGTCGAGATCAAGTTCCGGTTCGGTCTGGTGCTCCGGCTGAGGCGTGGCGGTCTGGACGTTGATGACGGGAGTCATGCCATGGGACATTGGAGGAGTGGCAGGTTGCTCAACATGAATGTGCGAGGACCGTAGCAAGATGGGTGTCTCCGGTACGCCATTCCGTACAGGATGTCTGGCATTGCCGTTTCCTCTGGTGCGTCTGGTCTTTGGCGTGTTAGGGCGGGCAGTCGAACCGCTGCTGGCACTATCTGGTATACTGATACACGAAGAAGAGTCATCTTCAGCGTGTGAGTCGCGCTACAACATGTCAGGACGGTCGGAAGTGTAAAGGTAAGCAGACGCACCCATTCAAGCAAAGCATGTGCTAGCTGAGGCTTGGTACCGGAAATGTCAATCTCACGAGCTTCACACAGCTGCACGAGGTCATCGCGTTTCATGCGTGTGAGAGACTTGACGGTGGCATCTGCCAAGTCTACATAGTCGCCATCCTCACCCTCATCTGATGCAAATGTTAAGAATGCAACATAACATCCAGCAAAAGTAGCGCACCTTCATCCATGGCATCAGCCTCTGCCGTTTCGGTGTCCTGGTCATCGCCCGTCTCGGACGCTTCCGTCTGCGCTCCGTCAACCTCCGAATCAGTGTGAATGGGATTTCCATAGCGATCAACTTCAATTATGTCTTGACTTTCCTCCGCCTCATCATCGGACAGCTCGATGATGCTGGGCTGTTCGTTTTCACTACCGGCCTCTTCCTCTTCCTCCTCACTGGTTGCAGCTTCGACAGACTCCTGGACTTCCTCCTCGTCTGCCTGGGACGCGTCAATCTCGGAGCGGCCGTCCTCTTCATCTCCTTCATCATCACCATCTTCCTCTTCCTCTTCTAGGGCAAGGTTCTTGCTTGAGCGAAGCCGTCTGCGAATCGTGTTCGCCGCAGGTGAATGCACGGAGTTTACTGAGCGCAGAGATGCAGAGCGTGTCAGAGGTCCAGAGTGTGGCTGAGGCCGGGCATGTATGCGGCCAGAAGAGCGTGATCGTCTGGCAGTGCGACGACGGGCACTGCGTGGTGCAGCGTCTTCCCCTGCAGTATCATCCGTCTGGTATTCTTCTTGCTCTTCATCTTCCTCGTGCTCCTCGTTCTCGTCATCGTCTTCCTGTCCCTCTTCGATTTCGTGTCCCTCCTGCTCCTCGTCTTCCTCCTGCTCCTCCGAAACTTCCTTGAGATTACCCATTCTTCCCTTGCTGCGTCTATAGAACCGCGTCCTGCGTTGAGCAGCATTCATTAAGTTTGAACTCCGAGCTTCCCCTGACTTCGGTGCAGGCCGATTGCGCAGGCGGGTGCGAATATCGCCGGTGCTGTCCGTGGGTGAGTTCTCGCTGAGGATCCGTGTACTGCCAGTCCGGCGCAGGCCGGACTTTGACTTCTGCGAACCCGCAGCAGTCGCGTCATTCATGGACTGGGACCGGGCTAGTCCCGAGATATCCAAACCACTTCGTGTCCGGCGAGGAGAAAAGTTGACGACGAATGTAGTGCTGCGCTTGAGGCCGGAACTTCGAGTCTTCCGCGGAGGGATAGGAGTCTGTTCTTCTTCCTCTAGTTCTTCAGAATCTTCACCTTCCTCAGTTGTTGCAGCATAGGTTGTTTCATCCGCTGAACTATGAGGAGGCGTAGGGATCTTGACGTGTAAGGAGCGCGATTTTGAGCGTGTAAGATCTCTTGGAGGTGTTGGAGTGCGAACGAGAGATGATGAACGCGTTGAACTGAAGTGTGTCGCAGGTTCGACTTGCTCGCGCTGGATACGCAGTCAGCCGGTTGATCCACCAGCGTCTTGGACTAACTTACTGCACCGATAAGAGCATCGACTAACTCATTCTTTGTCCAACTGGCTATAAGCTCCTCTACCTTTCTTGCTGATCTTCGGAAGCCGCTTTCGGTGTCGTTCACTGCGCAGTACAGGCGAACCAGATCATCCCTCTTCAGCCGTTGCAGCTTCCAAGATGGCGCAGAGGAGATGAAGAACTCGTCGTCTGCAATGCGGTCAAAGATCAGTCGACCGCAAGAGGATGGTGCGTTGCGTGTCATACCTTCAACGACGGCGTTGGCCTGGTTCTCCTCACCCTCATCTTCGTCCGCTTCGACAGCAACATCTTCTTGGCTAGTGTCAACGTCCATCTCGTCCGACCGGCGCCTGCGACGTGCATGCTCGCTAGAGCTCCCGCTGCTTTTGCGTCGTTCCCGAGGCACGTCAATGTTAATGACAACCTCCGTCATTATCGCGTCTCCACGCTTCCGCTTTTTGCCAGCCCATCTCTCTATTTCCTCATCATCGGCATCGTTCGCGCTTGTCCCACTGGGCCATCTCTGAAGTGGCTTTATGGGAGTAGGTTGACCACGAGATCGACCACGCCTCATCGGCAGTCTGGCAAGTAGTCTCGATGTCGAGAAAGCATTGGTGTTCATGACAGCGAGCGCTTGACGTGTAGCGTTTCTAGCCGCTTTTCCGATGAACTTTCGATGTCTTCCCTCTGAGGAGTCAGATGCAGACTCCATCGATGAGGGAGAGTCGTGTACGGAGATATTGACGAACTTGGCGCGCGTGGCTCGCCTCCGTTTGGCGTGGGGTCGATCGTCGGCGTCTCTGTCGCGTTGTAGCAATCTCGTAGACGAAGCTGATGTTCTAAGGTCACGGTTTGAGCGGTTGCGGTGAAGTATGGTCATGGCGAGTTGAAGGTGACTGTAGCTAGTCAAGCCATAAGAGATAGAGCACTCGCCTCAATGGGCAGGCAGGTTGGTCAATGGCGAGTCGAAGCTTTGTGGTATGTTTTGAGTTACTCGCGCCACTGGAAACTTCATGGAAACTTACGCTGCAGTTTGTTTCCGTGGGACACCTCCACACGTGACTGATCCTCGCTTCTTCACACAGCCTTCGAAAGTGTCTTCCAATTGCTCCCATACCTTGCCTTGAAACTGTACAGCACCTCAACGGAGGCTTTCCACACTTCTCTCGCCAGTTACATCGTCCCAGTCAAGGTCGCTCGACACCGTCCCTCACGACACCAAAAATGGCCGCCTCCATCCCTATCATCAAGAAGAGGACAAAGCGCTTCAAGTACGTTCAGCAAACTATGGTCTATAAGCGTTAGGTGCTCATCGTTCTTGTTTAGGCGCCACCAGTCCGACCGCTACAAGTCCGTCAAGGAGGCATGGCGCAAGCCCAAGGGTATCGACAACCGTGTCCGTAGGCGATTCAAGGGCCAGCTGCCGATGCCCAAAGTGAGCATCCCCTCCTCACCGTTCTTGGTATAATGTCTTAGTATTCTATTTAGATTGGTTACGGCTCCAACAAGAAGACCCGTCATCTCCTCCCCAATGGCCTCAAGAAGATGCTCGTCCACAACGTGCGCGAGGTGGACATCCTCCTGATGCACAACAAGACGTTCGCTGTTGAGGTTGCACATGGTGTGAGCAGCAAGAACCGGGTGGGGATCATCGATCGGGCAAAGGCGCTGGGGCTGAAGGTCACCAACGCGTCCGCACGGTTAAGGAGTGAGGAGTAGAGTGTGGGCATTCAGGATGATATTTCTGTCTGTGCGCTGTATCTGGAGGTGTTCGAGCAGCCTGATGTATGGGACACGCTATGCGTAATATGATCGCATGCTGCCTGACCACCTTCAAGTTCCTGCCAATGAACGCCATCTGTGGTGGGAAATTTAGGCCTGACGTATGAGAAGATTGCGACCTCGTTGGTCTATCAAGATCTCGATGCTGAGAAAACTGAGTTTGATTCTTCATTTGATTATATGCGTTACAGGATACTGATACATCGATACCGGTCAACCCTTGCACATTCTACTCGAGAGTCACGTAAGCGCTTGCATAGCTCACGCTCGAATCTTCGATATGCTTGCAAGGGCTGCTCTGAGCATACTTAACAAATTTGAGGCTTGCCTTGTGCTTGTTATCCTCCTCCAGGGTCGCCAGCGCACCTAATAACACACCGATGGGGTGTCGCCCACAGATCGTGTTGCCTGTCCTGCGGAGGTAGGAAGATAATGATGCATGAGCCTGCTTTGCTGAAGAAGTGGACGTGGGAAGAGTGAGCATGTTAATTGCTTCGTGATCGAGCCGAGATATGGATTCGTGGATAGGTTGGCCGCCACGAGGTATATCGCTGTCATCTTCCAAGCGAATAGAGGATGTAGGGGATGGTGCTCCCGGGTAGTAGAAGGTGAAGTCGAATCGCTCTCCCCTTTAACTGTCATTAGAGTGCAATCACAGAGTGAATGAGACTGCGCACCAGTGACAGAAATCGCTCGAAACAACGAACATCGTATCCTCTTGCTCCAGGTACTGCGCAAGGATGCCCCCGAAATCGGCCTCTTTCTTGTCATTGATTGCTCCGACCAAAATGGGGACAACTTTGATGTCACATCTATTATAACATCAGCATGTATACGCAACAAGGCAGAACTTCACGTACCCTTCGAAGGTCTTGCGAACATAGGGCAGGTGAAGCTCGATGCTGTGCTCGTTCTCGTCCGTCTTGTTGGACATCATGCTGAACTTACCCGTGGCCTTTAGCTCTGCTGTGGCTATCACGTGCGTTAGCAGTGCACAGAATGACATTGACACTAAAGCGCACTTGCGAGATCCACTGGTAGTTCTCCAAGTGGGGTGTCATAGGTTGCGAAAGGGGTGAGGGCGCACCCATCGAGATAGACGTGGTGCGATGGGCCAAGGAGGAAGACCCTCTTGCTACACGAGTGTCAGCTGATGCAAACCCATCCAACGCAATCAGCATACATTCCGGTAACATCGATTGCCTTGTATGCCCATGCAGCTGTCGGTCCTGAGTAATCGTAGCCTGCGTGCCTAATCCTAGGGTGAGTGCTGCTTTCTGCACATGGCGCGAGTAAACATACGGTCCGATAATTGCTTTACATCCTTTGATCGGAGGTGAGTAGTCAGATGATGGCTCCACGGCGGACAGCCATCCCTTGAGCTGGTGGTCTAGTCTTGACCCTAATGAATCGTCTCAATCAACACGTGGTGGATATGGACATCGTTCCGTACGAGCCCCAGAATACCACGAGTTTGCGTGAGTTGCCCGTCTGACGCAGTAAGTATATGAAATGCATCAACTTGCTCAAGGGCCGTACCTCATGCCCGACATCATGCAGCAATCTGTACTAGAGAGTTCAGGGTAACCGTACGGGTTGTAACATTACATCGTCACGTGACGGTTGAAGGATATGGCCGTTCGCCTTCAAGGGTCCACACGCGCCTGTAAGCTCGATCTGTGTCCGACTATATACTTCCCACCCTGCCGGCGACCACTCTCCAAGTACATCTATATCAACAACTGCACATTCTAGACGACCTAGTGGGTGGTAAGTCTACCTATCTCTGGATCTTCGACTCGCAACTGCCGAACATGGACGTGGATACTTTTGCCGTCTCAAACGACGCGACGTTGGGCTCCCCGTCAGCATCAGGCTCGACTGCGAAGCGAAGAGGACTATCCCTTTCAGCCCGGTCCACTTCGACTGTAAGCCACAGCCTCACTCAGTCTGATTTTCAGTCTTCTACGTCTTTGTCACAGCCGGTATCTACTGGCCTCGAGCCTTCGTTTCAGTTCAAGTCAACTGCTCCAATACCTCGCTCAGGCTTCCATGCAATGCCGACGCTGGAAGCTTCCTTGCCAGCTCCACGCCTACGTATAAAGGTGATGGAATACGAGGAAAAAGGAATCCCGCTTGTCGTCCGCGGATTTCATAAGCTGCCTGGCTGGGAGGACGCCCTGTTCACCCCTGAGTGGTTGCTCGAACACTCCACTGGATTGAACGAAAGTAACGCCTTTACGGATCCATTTTGGTGCTTCGCTGATCTGGAATCAAAGCAATCAGTGTGCGAAATGTGTACGACAAGCGGGACAGTGAAATGCCGCTGCCTGAATTCATTGAGCGCTGCAAGAACATCACAGATATTGTACCCGGAGGCACGCGTTCTTTCGTATGATTCTGGTTTGTGTCTAACACGAGGTAGAGAAAGAGAGATATTACGGAAAAGACGGCATATGTCCCGAACAATGGGAGGCTTGGCTATCATCCTCTGGCGTCGTACCCAAGCAAATTCTACCTTTCAGCGGTGACGACGCCTTTCGTTTCATACCGAAACAAGTAGGTTTCTTACCGAGCCTTCTCTATTCATAGTCTAATATCGCGTAGTGTCGTGCAGAAACTTTGATGACCTACTTCGGGGTCGGAGGAACCGGAACACCTTGGTATGGTTTAGTGTGTTCAGAGAAAATATACTGAGCGGGGCCTCTCAGTCACAAAGATCTGTGTGCAAGTGTTGGACAGGTATGCCCTTCGAGCCTGCGGATCGTGACATTGTAAACTCAATTCTCTACAGAATCTCATGGTGCATACAGAGAACGAAGGCAGCGCCGTATGGTACATGACTTTACGGGAGGACGCCACGAGCGTCAGCCAGTACTTTCGATCCCTTGGCCAAGAGGTTGACCTTGAGACCCACGTCGCCTCCGAACTGGAATTAAAAGTTGCACCGTTCAAAGTATACATGCATCGTCAAGAACGGGGGGATCTCATTTGCGTACCGCAGAAATCCTGTCACCAGGTTCGTAACATCGTCATTGCAGAATAGATACCCTAACACATGCTTCAGGTAATCAACGAAGGCGGGATATCCATCAAGCTCTCCTGGAGTCGCATGATCCTCTCCAGCTTGGTTATGGCGTATGAGAGCGAATTGCCTATCTATCATAGGTTAGTACTGCCCGCGAGTTTAACTACCCAATCTTACGCCCCCTGTAGAGTCTGCCGTCCGGAGATCTATTCCGTCAAGCACCTCATTCATGGCGCAGTCATGAGTGGCACAAAGAGTCTGTCAGAAGCCCTGTCTGAATCCGATGGCGATGTCACCTCCAGGGTGTGCGCCATGCGTGACAGGCTGAAACCACTGGTGAATGCGTACACTGAGATAATTGTTGAAGGATGGGATCCTCAACGCAAAGGAGAGCCTCAAACATGGGATCCAGATGGGCAGACCCGGATATCTTGCGATTTCTGTGGTGCTGAGATTTTCCAGTCCTATTTTGAGTGCCGAGAATGTGACCAGGAGAAAAAGGAGTCAGTTAGCATTTGCTCTACATGCTACGTTGAAGGACGATCTTGCGTTTGTGACTTCATGGAACCCGTCACAGTTCAGCCCTTTTCGCTCTTGCTCTCAGTTCGAAATAAGGCAGTTGATGTTCTGAATCGCTGTCTGACAGAAGAAGAGCAGTTAATACCTGACTACACGCACGCGTAAGTCAAGTTCATCAATCGGCGTGCTCATGCAGCTAATGGATGGAACAGACAACTGGAACTAGACGATAGTCCACATATTCATCAAGCTGCTTGCCTCCTGAATGACTTGCTCACAACGAAGAGGGTATGTGTGAGATTTGGTTTGCCAAATTTTTCTGATACTTTCAACAGGGCAGGGAACCCGCCAAATGCAGAGATGGTGGCGTCCATGAAGTGCTGTTCGCATACACGTTGGCATGCAACGGCTGCCACAAACGATCTTGCTTCTCTCATCAACTGAAGACAAACAAGTTCCATCCCGCAGCTGCGCTGCTATCAAGCAGAGACTCGAAGCTCTACCATATCGCACATACTGGCTTCAAGAAAGCTTATACAGAAGATGTTGACCGAATGACTCGGAACAAACAAGACATGCAGGCCATCAGCAGCTGGCAGCGCTTATCATATGCGGCGACCACGTACCAGAAGTGCAGACCATACGTGAACCTTCGCCTCGTCATGGGCTTTTTCGACGAAGACTATGACCATCCGGTATATCCAATCCAAATTGAGTATTGTTCAAGCTGACATTCACTTAGAGTAGCTCCACTGCAGTACGGACACGGCCGGCACGCAAAAGGATAAGCAATGCCCTGGATGATATGGGGAAGAAGCGAAAACTCGACCAATTCAGCACGGCCGATTCTCTATCAGTGCCCAATCCTGCAGCCGACGGTCCTTCTTCATCGAAGAGGCAAAAGGTGTCCCAACCTTCAGATGCAACCCAGCCTTCAATTGCGACCCAGCCCTCAATTGCAACCCAGCCCTCAATTGCAACCCAGCCCTCAATTGCAACCCAGCCCTCAATTGCAACCCAGCCCTCAATTGCAACCCAGCCCTCAATTGCAACCCAGCCCTCAATTGCAACCCAGCCCTCAATTGCAACCCAGCCCTCAATTGCAACCCAGCCCTCAATTGCAACCCACCCTGAGCGCGCGCCGATCGCTATTAAGCAAGAACCCGATGTACCTCTAATAACCCACCAAATTCCGCCTGCCTCGGACCCTTCAACGTCTTCTCATGCGCCCCAAATGAATGGTTCCGCGCTAGTTCCATCAGTCAGTCTAGCGGGACCCGTCACGTTCCCGAATCCTTCTGTTGTCGGGGGCTCTCACCCCCCCCAGAACTCGGCGGGTACGACTTCTGATCCCCCACGATCAACGGCGCCAGAACCACCAGGCGCTGGACGGCTAGTGGCTAACATTGAGAATGATGCACTAGTGAAAGTCATACAGGATGTCGCTGCCGAACTGATTGAAATCCGAGCTTGGGGTGACAAATCCCACGAAACGCATCGCGACGAGTTACGACGGGTTCTGGCCGAGTACCAAGAGACAATGGATGCGAAGTTCAAGGCACAGGCAGAAACGCACGCAGCACGGATGGTCTACACGAATCGGATGCTCGCTGCTTCGGAAGAACAAAACGACGCGCTCAAGGCTCGCGTTGCTGAGCTTGAGAGTGCCCTGAGGGATGCAGATATCAAGGCTCGGAGGAACGATGCAATTATCGACAGGCTCGTCGCAATGGACGACCCCAGTAATGCATTACCCAGCCCTGCTCAGCAGACTGGCGATTCGCCGGCATCATCCAAGTCAAGACCGGCGCTGACGAACAGAGGCTTTACTCGCCGAGCTGGAATACTTTGACGGTAGTGTCTTGCAAAATAGCTTCGCGACCCATCAGGAACTGTCCTTGTATGTGTCGTCTTTTGAGCTTATTAATATGACCACAACACACCATTCACGCGAGACTATGTTTCCGAGATGTGGTATCTAGCCTCCGTCAGGAGGATGACAAAGACCGTTCGTTCATCGTCAAGAACTGGGGAAATATAAGAAGACGAGGAGTTTTACAACGCAGATCCGTAAACAAGGGGGAAATGGGGGTGAGGAATAAGTACAACTGAATGGTGGTGGGGGAGGTGGGGAATCATGGGGACCATTGAACAAGGCAGGAGAGACGCAGCACGGCTGGACTACAAGCTTGAGAAGGGAAGAGTGGACCGGATCGCGGATGGTGGAGAGCTGACGGCGAACAGGCGGCAGAGAAAGGAGGAGGGGATAATTACGGGTTCGTGTCGAGTATATAAATCTTGCGAGGAGAAAAGACTGTGAATAATGAGAGTGCGAATGCAGATGCTGAGGGGGTTCGCATGCAGTGCGGTGCCAGTGCAGATATGGGAATCTCTCTCTTGACAAAGAGTGAACAGAATGAAAATAAAAAAAAAATCGTGAATTTCTTGACCAAAGCGAGGGCCGGGGGTGGGGGCGTGGCGAGCCTGTCAGCACTCTGATCACTTGCGTACTTGCCCGGCGCATTGGCGCGTTTGGCGGTGGCGTGTCATGTACATTTCTACCAAGGAGTCGATCAATTGCAACCTTCGTTCCCTTTTCGCTCCAACCCCCCACGATCGCACCCGCTTCCGAGTCTCACGGGGACCACTTATGCGGCAACCGAGTGCTCGGACCAAATTCATCCACATCTGCACGTCAGGATCTGCCAGAGACCGACCTTTCGCTCCTCTTCTTCTTGCTGTTCCATGTAGTCCCCATTCTGGACACCGATGCCCCTTCCCTGCGCTTGCCTTTGGGTCAGCACGGGCGGAGTCAGTGCGCCAGGCGAGCCAGTGGCATTGCCGAGGGCTGCCGGGCCGCGACCCGTTGGCGTACCTGGGTATCCTCCAGTATCAGGTGCATATATCGCATCAGCAGTGTTGGACCGCGTCTGCCCGTATTCTGATGGATGCATCGCTGCCGCGTACGGATGGGAGACTTGCGGTTGCTGGGTGCTCTGCCTGCGCGTTGGGGAGGGAACAGCCACACCAACTTGGGCAACAGCGGAGTTCGGAACGCGCTGTCTGCTGCCACGTCGGACGAGCGCGGGTGATGGGGGTATAACACCAGGGGTGAGTGGTGTGGGCGGCGCAAGCTGCTGCTGGGAGGTGCGATGTCCGCGCGGGTCCGCGGCGGCGCGTTGTTGTCTATGAGCGCGAGCATCGGGGTGGGTGCTTGTCTATTAATAGGCATACACGTAAGGATGCCGTTGTCCACCACGGAAGATGCATAGCAATACACTCACCGCGCTCGCCTCCCACCCCTTTCCGCCGTTCAATAGCATCCAATCGTACACACCATCCTCCTGCTCACCGAGGTTCTTCAACACCTTGGTGAACAGCTCGCGGAGGAAGTCGTAGTCTGGGTTTTCTTCGAACCCGAGCTTGCGCACGTAGTTCAGGTATATGCCAAACTCTTCTGGTGGGAAGTCAGCACGATTCCAAATTCCGCCTGCGCGAACGGAGAGAAAGGGGAATAAAACATACCCGGGAAACCCTCAGAGAGTTCCTTAATCGGCGTGGTCTGCTTCTTCTCTCCAATCTTCTCATACTTCTGCTTGTTCGTCGCCGCTTTGAGACCCTGCCATGGCAGACCTCCTCGAAGAAAGTACATGAACACGTGGCCGAGGGCTTCAAGATCGTCCCGCCGGGATTGTTCTACAGGGAGGGACAGTCAGCTCGGGTTCACCAACTTGATAGGGGCCCCGGGTGGCTGCATGCGCGGGTCTGTGGGCGCAGCCGCAGCCAGGGCCTACCACGCTACTACTATTAGCACGAGACTGGAAGACGACTCACCTCTTCCCAAATGGGTATTAATGCTCATGTATCTGGCCGTCCCGCTCAGGCTCTTCCTCTCCCGGTAAGGGATATGTTGCTTCGTTTTAGGGTCACGGTACTGCTTGGCCATCCCAAAGTCGACGACGTGGATGATGCTCGAGGCTTTGGTTCCCGGACGCCCGATCAGGAAGTTGTCGGGCTTGATATCCCGATAGATGAGGTTCTTGTCGTGGATCGTTTGCACGCGAGAGATCTGTACATCGATCGCACCGACAGATAGGAGGGAGCATCCGTCAGAATGTGGGGAAGAGGATACGCGTGGCAAACGCACCATCTGTTTCGCCGTCATACACACGGTCTTGATGCTGAACTTCCTGCCGCACATGTCGAAGAGATCCTCCAAGCTAGGACCGAGCAAGTCGATGACGAGGATGTTGTGGAGACCTTCCTGACCGAAGTAGTATACCTGGGGAATGCCGACTATCGCACGGATAAGTGAGCATGGGACTGTAGCTACAGAAGGCAAAGACGCACCACAGCTGGCGAGTATACGGTAGGAACGGTATTCATCCCTTAGTTGGGGTGCGTCTGACTTTCTCGGTTCCTACACAAACACGCCCCACGCATGAGGTGATGTACTATCAATTGATAAGATATGACGAACAAATTTGATGGCGACGGTTTGATTGTTCAAGAGATTCGTGCCTACGGAGCAGGATACGCATCAACAATTTGGGGTAGATACAGGGACGGGCACATACCCTCGAAGATGACGCCAAAGCTTCCCTCACCAATCTTCTTGCCGACTTTGTAGTGTACGCCGACAACATTATTTCCTCCTCCTCCAGATGAATGATGATGTACTGAGCTCATTGTTGGGCGGCCTGCCCTTAGTAAATTGAAGAGAAGATGAAGGGGGAAGGGAGGGGGGGAAGGGTTAAAAGGTGCACAGGAGCAGAGGGACACACAGCAAGGACGGGGGTCAAGGACAGGGACTCGGCGCTGTCGGAGGGAGGCGGTCACTGAATTGAGGGTTTGCTCCCTTTGATCCCGCTGTGGTTCGGCACAAACACAAACGTCTTCTTTTCGCAGCGCAGAGCACAGCCTTCCGATGTCTTCAAACTGTAACTTTACATTCGTCACAACACAGGACAATAGAATTCATAAATGTTGCTTGTATCACGCTACTTGTTAATCCTGTTCAACCCCTTTCAATATACCTTTTTACACCATCGTCCCCCACATCTCTTGCGCAATCTCACTCACCAACATTAGCTGTACAGAACTTGAGCATTCCCCAACTACAAACATACAATAACATACCTTGTTCTCCATATCACCCCACTCTACAGGGTTCCCTTCCACGCGACTAGCAAACCCGCACTGGGGACTTAACCCCAGCCTATCCTTCCCCTTCTCCTTCCCTTCCTCCCCACCCAGGAGAATCGCAGCTTCGTCCAAGAGAGCCTTGATCTCCTCCTTCGACTCCAGCACGGGAGTCTTACTTGAGATGAGTCCCAGGATGGCTACCTTTGGCACGGGAAGATGCCGCAAAGGGGCGAGGTTCCCCGAACGGGGGTTGTCAACTGTCTCGTTTCAGCAACTTCAAACACCCAAAAAGGGAAAACAGACACACATTCTAGGTAGAAACAGTCAACGTCCAGTTTCCCAAACAGTCTCGTTGCGATTGCCTCGTAACCCCCTTCATAGAAATGCATTCCCTGGCTGTTCCCGCGACACAGGTGCATGCCCACTCTCATCTCGCTCATCTCCTCTTCCCGGCCCTTCAAACATTCATTGTACATGTCCACGTACGTTTCCAGCTGTGAGTCAGGGTCAACACCCGAACGTTGAAGCGCTTCACGCGTGTGTGTGGAACAGAATGCCGCGAGCAGGGGCGCATCGATCTGTACATTCCGGCAGCCAGCAGCGTAGAGTGCGAGCAGCTCGCCCCGGTACGCAGACGCGACAGCGGAGAGATACTCCTCGTCGTTCGCATAGGCATCTTTCGTGTACGCGTTAGAGCCCATGGTAAAATGGTACCCTGCAACAGAATGCCCATCAGCTCCCTGTCCTCTCCTCCCCGGGGAGACAAGAAGACGCACATTCGGGTGAGATCATCGTCATCTTGATAAACCTCCAGTCCTTCTGCGGCACATACCGCTTCACCCTCTCGAACCACTTGACATAATGATGCGTGCTCGTGCCCAGCTTTGCCTGCGCTTGGTACGTCTTCACAGGTACCCAAGGGTGCGTACCCGCTTTGTATCTCGCATAATGGGGCAGCCCTGGACGTGCTCGTTAGCTCCCAGTCGGCAAGTCCTTCCAATGAAGACGCACAATCCTGGAACAGCTCTGGCCTCGGCTCGACCCTCACCATCCCCTCCAGTCCGTCAAAGAACCCATCATAGAACATATATCTTCCATACTCCCCATCGCTCAGAGCCTTAAACCCCAGCATCTGTTGGAACCGCACAACGTCAGCAATGCTCCCCTCGACGAGCGCGTCCAGTTCGGAGGAGGAGAGCGTGCCGGCGTGATGGGCTAGATGGGCCTGCAGGAGCGCGGGCGGGCGGAGGAGGGAACCGACGTGTTCCGCACGGCAGGGACTAAGGAGGGATTGGTATTCGGAGAGCTGCTGGTTGGGTAAACTTACGGAGGACGAACGCTAGTGCGCTCGGGGGTCATGATTGTACTCGGGGAGCTCGGTCTGCTTGCTCATCCCTGGTGCAAGCTTATGTCGACATGTTGGTCCTGCCCACCGATACGATGGTATTAGTGGAACACCTCCCAAATTCAGTAGTCTGGAGAAACGGATAGCCGCTGATGGTTCTGTGAGCTATACAAGGTACGTCTGTGCTTCGTATTGTTGTCAGATGATCGGAAGGCATGAATTAGGCAGTTTGGAAGATGAAGCGCTGGATCGATATGCCGACATTGTTATGACATGCGCACGATGAATAAACGATCTACAAAACCGGTTCTTCAACTCCAATCATTTATTGCGTTATTGGATTTCCTAAATATCACCAACCCCAGATCTCTCACCTGATACAGGTTACCAAACGGTCGTCCTAAACACTTCTTGCGCGATCTCCGAGACTAACCTGAGCTTGTTCTCCATATCCTCCTTAGTGACGTTATTCCCATCAATATGGCTCGCAAACCCGCACTGCGGGGAGAGACAGATCCGCTCCAAATTCGGGTCGTTCATGTACTTGGCAGCGTCGTGTATGCGCCCGATGATCATGGATTTGTCCTCCAGTGTGGGGTCTTTGGAGGAGATGAGGCCTAGGATGACTTGCTTGTGCTTTGGGAGATGGGCGAGCGGTTCGAAGCCACCGGCTCGGGGAGAGTCGACTGCTACGCGTTAGCGGGCAGGATCAGACTGAGTGTCGAAAACTCACATTCCAGGTAATAGAAGTCGACATTCAACTCATTGAACAACCTTGCAGCAATCGTGTCGTAACTGCCTTCGGCGAAATAGATGCCCCTGAAGTTGCCTCGACAAAGATGGACCCCAACAGACATGTCCGGTTTCCGCTTGCTGATACAATCGTTGATTAGCGCGATGTAGCTATTAAAAAGCTCATCCGGATCAGTCCCGGCTTCCTTCGGGCCCTGGATCATAGACTCGTGGCAGAAGAAGGCGAGCAAAGGATCGTCGAACTAGATGTTCCGGCAACCGGCTTCGTAGAGGGCGTCGAGCTCCTCCTGATAAGCTTTGGCGATGTCGGCAAAGTACTCGGCGTCATTCTTGTAGACCTCTTTAGAATAGGCATACTTGGCGCTGTGACGGAGATGATACCCTGGAAATCGGGATCAGGATATAACGGCCGTGTGATAAGAAACTACTCACACTCGGGGGCAGCCACTGTAAGCTTGATATTCTTGACTTCTTCTGGAGCCACCATGTTGGCAAGAGCGGTGAAAGACGGCACATACAAGGGCTGGGTGCGCCTTATCTTGCCAGTGCAAATGTAAGTCTGCCCGCCTTTGAAGTCTTTGATCTTGAAAGCCTTCACATCCGGGACGTCTGAGAACGCTTTTAGATTAGGCTCAGTTTAATGGATGAGGGCACGCACAGTCCATGAATATCTCAGGATCGGCATTCTGCACACTGACCATGCCATCAAGGCGGTCAAAGAACCCGTCATAAAACCCATATCGCCTGAATTCCCCGTCGGTGATCGCCTTATAACCGTAATTCTGTTGCAATTGCACGATGCGCTGGATCTCGGCGTCCTCGATAAGGATCAAGTCTGCCTGCGATAACTGACCCTTGTCCGCCTTGTTACGAGCGTCGATGAGATGTTTCGGACGCTTGAACGACCCGATGTGTTCCGCACGGAACGGACTGTAAGATGGCCTGTGAGACTTCGTTGCGGGGATTGACGAACTGTTCCTTACGGAGGAGGGGCCATACCGATACAATATCGAAGAGAGGGCACCAGCGCAGTACGTCACACCGAATGACAAAACGATTGCGACTTATAGAGGCCCATGGATGTCTTCCTTCAACACTCCACCGGGCAGTATTTCGAAGTGGCCAACCTCACATGTTGCGGTATGCTGGCATCACCCTGAGTCAGAACCCACAAGCTCTGAGGGACGAGATCCAAGCCAAGCAATGCTCATTAGTGATATTGAAGGAAAATGCCATCCGAGCTCGTGATGTGTAAATCATAATGTTGAGCCGACCACAAGTAGTCGACCATCGCAAATGACGATGTCGTAAGAATGCTGAGCAAAGGTCGGCGACAGCGGCGAACGTTCCATGTCGAGAGAGATTGTCCCTGTTCCGGCGGACTTAACGCCTCCTCCTGTCCCCGCAGTTCCTCTCTCTTTCTCAGACCTCTGCGCTATTTCGAGTTTCGCGTGTGACCATTTTCCGTTTGGGGAAATGCCAGCTAGCCTGCTGGCCGAAAGAAGCCGGGGCTACTACTGCTTTGGACGGGACTTGTGCGAAACAGAACGTGCTGGAAGGTGCAACTTTCTTCCCAGGCGTCAGCGTTGTTCCGTTTGTGGACGGAGTCGCGGCTTACAAGACAACCCTATCATGTCCACGTCACGACGGCAGGTTGCCTTCGATGCTAAGAAAGATGTGGTCGGGACGTCATTTCAGCAGGGCATGTTATGTAGGATGCGCCCTTCACTGCTCGTCATCATCCATTGCTTTCCAGAGCCGACCGTTCCCCATTGCCAAAGGGCGTATGTCGCGCGAAAAGCTCCCAGCGAGCCTCGGTTCGGTATTGACAAAGAGCCATGCGCCTGGTACCACTCAGATTGAAGACGACTTATATCGTGGAATCAGACGTTGTTTGGTGATACTGACGAGTGAACGGGAAAGTGAGTTGACTCCAGTATTCGTTAGGAGTATAATTTGGTCCAAACAATCCTTTAGATAACTCGGAATATCGGATCGCTCGACACATAAGTTGGCGTTCTGATCTTCCTCCTAATCTTCCTCCAGCCGTCATCATTGATCGAATCCTATGGTAAATAAAGCAATACGGCACGATAGAGATCATTTGAGGCGCGGTTGCGAAGAAGCTCCATCTAGTGCGCCCGGAACAACGATCAAGACCAAGACCAACATAGCGTCTTTCTTTCGGGATGGGTTTGCCTATCGTCTCTAGTCAAGTGCACCTCCACACGGTCCATGTCTGTCAATCGTTCGCACCGCGAGCGCCTTTGGACAGATCGAGCGCGTCCAACCGCAACATCGAATCAGGCGAAACAAGCAAGCGCCATCATAGCAGATGCTCTTCCCCGCATAGGACATCCGACCCCGCGTTCTTGGATCTGCTCGGTTCCGGAGCACGTGCCGCTCGAGCGCCGGTTCATCCTTGTCAGCAGAGGTTTTCCCTCTTGCTTCGCTCAAGAGCAGGTGCTATCAACCGACCGAGAGGCGAGAGGCTGGAGGAAGGCAGACATCCTTTGCTGAACGAGAGAGAGCTGACAGGCTGACGCGTGCAGACGACCAGGTGGGAAAGCGCTGCCCGTGTTGGAATCCCGGGCTAGGTGGTGAAATGGAGCAGTGCCAAGAAGAACATGGTGTCGCAACGTGGCCTGGTAACGATAAGGCACGGGCATCCTCGCTGCTTTCTTTATATTCTGATGACCTTCAAATTGAGATTGTCTATTCTTTCGGTCATTGATGACCTATAGCCTTGGGAGAACGGGGCGCAGTACGGTATTGTTGAGGGATAGCCATGTGGGTCATTTACCGTTTGGGGAGGTTGAAACGAGAGTCGATCATGCGGGCCGGTATTGTTGTGAATAATCCGATCGCCAGGCTCGGCGGTGCGACGATTGAACTATTCCAATGGTGGTGGTGCTTGATTTCGCACACACCCAAATAGTCGAAGTAAATTAATACAGTTGATAAGTGGCGGCCGGATATTACTGCAGCCGGTCAGCTTGCAGTTTGTGTGTGATTTTAACCTTTTTTGGACCCGTCCCTTGGTCACACGGCGTAATTACTCCTCTCCAACGGGGAAAGGCCCTGGTACACACACCCCAAATGCGGTCGAGGACGAATATAAAAGCACTACACAATGGCCCTGCAACACGGTCTTTCCCATCTCTTCCCATATCATACACCAAAGAAATAACTCGCTTCGATGGCCCCTCCTCCGTAAGTATCCCCGACACTCGTCCCATATCCTGCTCACCCCTTCCAGCCCCTTCCGTGCAGAGCACATCGGCTCGCTCAAGCGCCCCAGGCACCTGATCGATGCCCGTACCAAGTTCGACAAGGGCGAGGTCACCCGCGAGAAGCTCACCAAGCTTGAGGACGAGGAGGTGCTCCGGGTCGTCAAGCTGCAGCAGAAGCTTGGGTTCAAGGCTATCACCGATGGCGAGTTCCGCAGGCACATGTTCTACGATGGGTTCTTCGACAACCTCGAGGGGTTCACCCTCTTCAAGGATCCCAATCCCGATATCTTCATGGACTGTGCGTATGTTTCAGGGCCCGGAGAATTGTATTGATTCCGGAATATAGACGTGCCGGACGTTGCGGCGTTTAAGGCGCTCGGTTTCAAGGGTGGAGAGACTTACCTCTGCACCGGCAAGATCAAGCGCACCAAGCCCTGCTACGTGCCTTGGTTCCTGGCGCTCGCTAAGGATGTCGCCCCGGAGGAGGTCAAGAACATCAAGATCGCTATGGCTGCGCCCGAATGTATGTCTCCCTCACGCTCACACAGTATATATCATGGGGTTGACAAGTGCTTAGGGTACCATCTCCGCCACAGCGGCGAGTACGCCTACTCGCACGAGGTGTACGCGAACGATGCCGAGTACTTCGCCGACATCGCCCAGGCGTACAGGGAGGAGATCGACGCGCTGTACGAGGCCGGATGCCGGAACATCCAGATCGACGACCCGCTCCTAGCGTACTTCTGCGCCGTGTCCATGCTTGAGGGGCTGAAGGCTGTCGGCGACGACCCCGACAAGCTCCTGGATAGCTACATCAAGTTGTACAACGACTGCCTGGCGACGAAGAAGCCTGATTTCTCTGTCGGCCTCCATCTCTGCCGAGGAAACTTCAAGGACGGCGTGCACTTCTCCGAGGGAGGGTACGACGCTATCGCCGTCAAGCTGTTCAACGAGCTCAACGCGGACTTCTACTACCTCGAGTACGACACGCCCCGCGCCGGGGGGTTCGCGCCGCTGAAGGAGCTTCCCAAGCACAAGCAGGTGGTGCTTGGGCTGATCTCGTCCAAGTTGCCGAAGCTGGAGGACAAGAAGGAAGTCATCGCGCGGATTCATGAGGCTGCTGGGTACATGGACGACCCGAAGCTGGAGCGGATCGGTATCTCCCCGCAGTGCGGGTTCGCGAGCCACATCGAGGGCAACCTCGTTACGGAAGCCGATGTTGAGAAGAAGCTTGCGCTAGTGGCCGAGATCGCCACCGAGGTGTTCGGGACGACGGTGTGGTGAAGAGATGAGCATTAAACGGAACAACAACATCATGTAAGGGAATATGACCACAGGGCTGGAGGCAGCTTTTTTGGGTTGAATGCTGTGTTATGACCTGGATCTGGATACCTGTATCTTAGGCATATGAGAATTCATCAACTGAATTCTGGAGAATCAAATCATGAAATAGACCAAACAAGTGAGATGATGGGAGTAGTGATATGTATCGCGGCCCGGCGTCGTGGATGGAAGTCCGTGTGGCTGTGTTTGCCTTCCCGGTTGTTCGGCAGACTGTGAACGATGAACGATGTGGGAGCCGTTCCCTTTCGATTCAGTTTCTGTTACTCTCCACAATTTCGACATCTGTTCCTCTTACCTTGCATTTATCCCTTCCTCTTCAAGTATGGCGACACCTACACCAACATCAGGCAGTGCGCATCTCTCTCTATTCCTCTTCAACCACTTCTGATATACGAACTCTTTCCCTTCATGTGCTGACGATAACAGGCTTCTCAGCTCTCCCACTCAAGCGCACAAAGATAGTCCTCCTCGGCGACCAAAGCGTTGGGAAGACCTCGCTCATAACCCGGTTCATGTACGACACCTTTGACCAGACGTATCAAGCGACTATCGGGATCGACTTTCTGAGTAAGACGATGTACCTCGAGGACCGGACGGTCCGGTTGCAGCTATGGGACACTGCTGGCCAGGTATGCAACTTCTTCCTCAGATTCTTGCACTCCCACGCTTATATCGGCATTGTATGGCATGTAGGAACGTTTCCGATCACTTATCCCCTCCTACATCCGCGATTCCTCAGTAGCAATCGTCGTGTTCGACATAACCAGTGCGTCCTCCGCACACCCACCCTTCAAGAAGTATACTGACCCTACCAGACCGCGCATCCTTCCTCTCCACTACGAAATGGATCGATGACGTCCGGTCAGAACGGGGGGGCGATGTGATTATCGTTCTGGTGGGGAACAAAGCTGATCTATCGAATGACCGGTGCGTGTATTTCCTGCGTTAGATGTTTTCCCGACGTGGACATCCACTAATCCCGAGCGGACAGACAAGTAACGCAAGAAGAAGCCCAACAGAAGTCCACCGAACTCGATATAATCTACATGGAGACATCCGCAAAAGCTGGGCATAACGTCAAGACGCTCTTCAAGAAGATCGCCATGCTCCTGCCCGGGAATGAGAAGGAGGGAGAGCAGGCGAAAGAAGGGAACCAGAGTGCGTCTCGCTTTTCCCTTCGTTGTCTTCGTGCCTTCATTCCCCCATTTAACATGTTGTCTAATTATCCCTCCACTGGGATGTTATGTGCGCCCATGCTGATACACAACAGAGATCGACGTGACCTCGCCAGCAAAGAACGAGACACCACAAGCCTCGAACTGTGCATGCTGGTAACCTGCACGCTCTCGTTGTTTTCCTGGTCTCCCGATACCTTACACCCCCCATCTGCGGGCGTCTTGTCACGCACCTGTATCTTATGTGATACGTTTATGTATGCGTGATCTACATTGCTTATGGTTGCATTTTTTGGTCTTTCTATGAGTACACTGTGCCCAAGCGCCTCGATCCTTCCTGAATCATCTCCCCTTCACGCTCTACTCGGCAGGATACAACCCCGCCAAGCTCCTGGAGATGACCAGCCTCTGGATCTGACTCGTCCCCTCATACAGCTCGAAGATCTTGCTGTCCCTATACAGCTTCTCCACGGGGTACTCGGTGTTGAACCCGGCTCCGCCGAACACTTGCACGGCTTGGTTGGCGTTCTCTACCGCAGTCCGAGAGGCGAACGTTTTCGCGATGGATGCGTAGAAGGCTGCGCGAGCGACGAGGGATGTGATGCAGGAGCCGACGGCGCACAGAACGAAGAATAAAGCAAGCAAGCCCGTCAGCTGAGCCTAAGAGGAGACAAGGGAACACACTGTTAGGCAACCCTGCATCCTTCGTCCAAGCGGATTTCCAGACCAGGTTCCTCGCTGCCTCTGTCTGGATCGCCATATCCGCAAGGATGAACGCCACTGCCTGATGTTCGATGATCGGTTTGCCCATCGTCTGCCCCAGTCAAGTTAGAAGTTGCTGGTCTGGAGAGGTGTGACGCACCTTACGACCCTGGGCATACTTGACCGCTTCCTCCAGCGCTCTTTGTGCCAAACCTACAGCAGCACTGCTCACCAACGGGCGGGTGATATCAAACGCCTTCATGGCGATCTTGAACCCCTCGCCTTCCTTCCCCAGTACATTCTGGGGGGGTACAACCACCTCCTCGAACGTGACCATCCTAGTGTCCGAACAACGCTGACCCATGTTTATCTCCTTCTTCCCCAAGTGTATCCCCGGAGTATCGGCGTCAACGATGAACCCAGTCATGCCCTGGCTCGGTTTTGCACTGGCATCACTCTTCGCCAGCACGAAGAACCAATTCGCATGGCCGGCATTAGTGATCCACATCTTCGTCCCGTTGAGCACCCAGTTCTCCCCCACCTTCTTCGCAGTCGTCCTGATGCCAGCGACGTCCGACCCTGCATCGGGCTCTGTCACACCGTAGGCAGCAACGAGCGGCGCTTCGGTCATCCGGCCCAGGTACTTTTGTATTTGCTCTTCGTTGCCGGCCACGATGACGGGCGCTTCGGCAAGTCCGATCGCTTCCATCGCCGTCTGCATGCCAGTGCACCCGTAGGCGATCTCTGTGCGCTGTTATTACACCGATCACCGGCGAGGAAGGGAACAGACCCTCGGAAACGAGCGCACAGCTGAGTAGTGACAGCCCGGGTCCGCCGTACTTCTCAGGAACGTGGAGGTTCAACAAGCCCGTTTCGTGCGCTTTCTCGATTATAGGCCAAGGGTAGGCCTGCACCAGCGTTAGTTAGCAGACGCAGGGAGCGGACGAGAGGCAGACCATAGATCGATCATACTCCGCCGCCAGGGGCACGATCTCCTCCCTCGTGAACTTGCGTGCCAGATCTGTGCATCAGATGTCAGAAGTCATGAATCAGGTTGCCTTGAAGTGGATGGGGCAGACCTTGGATAGCATGCTGTTCTTCGCTCAGGGCGAAAGAGACTTCAGAGGAGAGTGCTCGGGTTAGTCGGGGAAGGCGCGTAAGAGTGGGGGCGATACGGAACATGTTGATGGAAGGGGGGAAAGATATGGAGAACAGAAAATGAGGTAGATGAGGTCTTTATATTGGATGTGGCAAGGGTTGTCCGCTCCCTTTAGACGCCGATGCGGGGAATCTTCTAATGCATGTGATTTTGAATGAATATAACCGGATCGGATCGGACGGTCATCGAGAGTTTCTTTCTGATGTACAGTACTTATGATTTACTTGTATTTTTCTTATACGTTTACAGTCTACTTTACATGGTTATTGTACAACATAAATTCACCTTTAATGGTGCTATCATTCATCATACTCTGCTGAAAAGGCAGGAGGAGGAGCACTGCTCGTCCCCTGCCCATGGGCGTGCATCGACCTTCCGGTAGGAGTAACTGAGCCACTCGAGTGAGAGTGCGTTGCAGTAGGAGAAGCAGTCGAGCGAGCAGGATCCGTCGAGGACACAGTAGGCACGAAGCTGCTTGTTGAGCGTGAGCCGGGGTGATGGGAGGTGTGCGAACCAGTCGCAGTTGTGTGGGTGGTGGAGGGGTCGGTTCGGTGAGTCCTGCTCGTGGGTGTGTGAGTTGGGCTGGTGGTAGTTGTGGTGGTGATGATCGTGGTGCCAGTAGTTGTAGAAAGGACTGCTTCGACCGTGCGAGCATCCTTCGTATGCCTGTGTTCCGTAGAGTGCGTATGAGAACCCGTGTGCCTGCGGGAACTCTGCTCCGTCCGAGAATGCGTCCGAGTACTGGACCTCCTATCATTCGACGTCGTACTCCCACTAGCGGTCGAAATCAAGGAACTCAGCGCGCTCAGCGTACCCTTCCTAGCCCGGTTAGACCTCGTGAAAGGGATCTTCCACCCGATCATCACCCCGCCTGCTTCTGCACCGCGAGACCAGAACTTGGCGCTCCTCTTCCTCTCGTTCGTTTCTTGTGGTTGCTCTTGGGGATCCTCGGGGTCGGGAACGAGCGCTGGATGAGAAGCAGAGGCGATAACATCGGTGGGAGGGATGAGAGGGACGCTCTCGAACACCGGTACGTCATCGGCCTGGAACGCTTCGCTACTATAGGCCACCGCAGTCCGCTCCCCATCCACAGAGCTCTCGACTCCGGGAAGGGAGGCTAGCACGCTTGTTCCATCCAACTGGGTTGTCGGTTGGAGAGGGGAAGCGAGGACAGAAAGGGCGAGGAGGAGCAGAAACGTCGGAAAGGAATACATGTTGTTCTTTTCTCAAGTCGGTGTTCTATGCTTGGAGTCGTGTTGAGCGTTGGGTGTCGAGCGTTGAGCGTTGAGCGTCGAGTGGGGTTGAGTGAGAGGGAGGAGAGCGGTCTACGCTTGCCCTCTAACAACCCTCGTTCAAATCAGTTTATATACGCCGCAGACCAGCCTGCACAGCAGAGAATCTCATAGAGCGCATACACGGCATCCGAAATTTGGCATCTGTATGCGGATAAATGAGAGACGTGTCCCGGGTGTCGGAGTAGCGACTTCGACAAGACAGAGACAGGCGGCGACACGAGACACGAAGCAGCAGCATGCAGGACATGTCCGAGACATCTCCGCCGGGGATAATAACCCAAGACAATACGTCGTCCACATCATCGTATCATCCGTAAGAGCAAGAGCGAGGAAAGCGACAACCAGGTGAGGTACTGTAGTTTTGCTCGTGGTGGGAGGGAAGACAGAACGCGTTCACCTGATTGGCTTGACTGCCTCATCACCACCACCTCCGTATCTCCGTACAGCAATATGAGGCATAGAACTTGGAGGAAGTCCGAGTTCTGCTCCGGTTCCTTTTGCCACCCGGGTACTAGCCCGGAGCGCTCGCAACACAGAACACCTGATACTTGGGCCGGGCCTGAAACGGCAAAGCGAAATGTATAATACAATCTACTACATACAGATGTCCAACTCCATCAGTTACTGTCTCCCCCCTCCTCCCCACCGGCCGTGGACGAGCGTTACGCTAAAGCAACACATCCGCCCCTCCTTCCAAACTCCTCAATTTCACAAACACGTCCGTTCCATGCCCGTACAAACTAACAAGCTCAAGCCCTCCGCCAAAATAAGACGCGTAGAGGCGTGCGAGGGGCAGGCCATACCCTAAGCCGGCGATCGTGCCCATGGAAGACCGGAGTGAAGTTGCTGATATTTCTGTGAATACCGATTCTGCTAGCGCGGGGGCTGGGGAGAGGGAGGGAGACGTAGAGGGAGAGGGAGGAGGAGGAGCACCGGCATCCAGCGCTGCTTGGCCTCCAACGTGCTGCATCGCATACGGCCCTCCGTCCTCCACTCCTGCAGTAGTGAACGCATACGAGAACACGTGGGCTAAATGGGCGGGGGCGATCCCACCGCCTCCGTCCCGGATACGGAAAGAGAGGAAAGAAGGTGTGCGGGAGAGGGTAAGCGTGATCGATGGAGGGGTGGGGGTGGGTAGACGCAGGTGGTGTTCTGCTGTGGCGCGGTAGGCGTTTTTGAGCAGCTCGGTGAGGATGTATTCGAGGTGCACGGGAATGTACCTGCGGGAAGGTGAGCGTGAGGTGAGCTTCAGGGCGAAGGGAGTGGGAAGCAAGTGAGAAGAGAGTGATTACGGAGGAAAAAAGGACTGAAAGAGGAGTGATTAGGGAGTGATTAGGGAAGGAGTAAAGAGTGATTAGGGAGGTAGGGAGTGAATAGGGAGTGGGCAGAGAGTGAAATGGGAGCGAAAAGAGCGAAAGAAGAGCGGAAAGCGGCGGACAGTGAAAAGGGAGTGAGAACAGAGTGAGCAGGAAGTGATTAGGGAGTGAAAGGAGAATGAAAGGGGAGTGAGAAGAGAGTGAAAGGGGAGTGAGTAGGGAGTGAAATGGGAGTAAGCATGGAGTGAAAAGGGAGCGAGTACGGAGTGAAAGGAGAGTGAAATGATAATGAAATGGGAGCGAGTACGGAGTGAGAGGAGAGTGAGTGGGGAGTGAACTAGGAGTGAAAGGAGCGAAAGGACAGTGAGAAGGGAGTGCCAAGGGAGTGAGTAGGGAGTGAGAAGAGAGTGAGCAGGGAATGGGAGTGAAAAGGGAGTGAAAGGAGAGCGGAAAGCGATGGACAGTGAAAAGGGAGTGAGAAGGGGTAATAAGAGAGTGAGCAGGAAGCGATTAGGGAGCGAAAGGAGAGTGCGTAGGGAGTGAAAGGGGAGTGAACGGGGAACGAAATGAGAATGACATGGGAGTGAGCAGGAGTGAGCAGGGAGCGAGTAGGGAGTGGAATGGGAGTGAGTAGGGAGTGGAATGGGAGTGAGCAGGGGATGAAATGGGAACGAAATGAGAATGAGATGGGAGTGTAAAGAGATCCAGATGAGATATTGCCCAGAAACACTCACGAAAACGTCGCATCAACCATACCATCCACGACCAACTGTGGCACGACTCCCAGCGTGCTCTCACACAGTTCGGCCACAAACGCCGCACAATGCTGTATCATCTCCCTTGGCTTCAGGTCTGTCTGCACGACTCCGACTTGTCCGGGCTAGAACGCAGGCGTCAGGGATGACCGGACCTGAGTGGATGGGATGGAGGCATGGGGAGGACGCACAGTTGGGTGGGAAAGAGATCGTGAGATGGCAACATGTTGCTCTCCTATGAGTCGTGTGCCGATCCGAGAGCGGATGGCGCCGTCCAGGAAGGCACTGACAGCGCTGGGGGTCATGTACCTCTTACACTCTTGGAAGCCCTTTGCTGATGCGTGTCAGCGCTTTACGAGGTAGAGGAAGAGGGAGGGAGACGCACCCATGATCGGGATATCGTTTGCGTGACTCTCGACCAACCCCTGAAGTCGTCTTACGAACTCGTCGTTCTCCTCGAGCGTCGTCACCTCTTTTTCCCGGAGGAGCGCGTCCAGGCTCTCCCTATAGATCGTGTATAAGCGTGAGATGAAGGGGTTGACACCGACGATATAGGGCAGAGACTCGAGGGCACGGATACGGGCTGCCATGCGTGGTGGGAGGGCGGAGAGGGTGAGCTGGGCGGAATGAAGGATGTGGGAGGGGGTGAGGGGGGAGGGGAGGGAGAGCAGGGTGGGGAGACGGAGTGGTTCGGGGGAGGAGGGGAGGGTGGTGGTGGTGGTGGTGGTGGTGGTGAATGTACGGTGGATGTTGCGGGTGAGGAGAGGACGGCGAGGATGAGGACATGGGAATGGGCGCTTCATTGCAGAGTATCGACGATGAGAAGAGTATAATCAGGTGTTCAGTCCAGTCTGTGCCTAGTAATTCTAGTAGGAGACAACAACAGAGGAGATGACGACCAGCAGCGACGACGATGAGGTCGACGATGAGGACGACGACACCAACAGCAGGAGCAACGACGACGATAGAGTTCAAGAGCGGCAAGGAATGCCAAGTCAGGGAGTCCATCCATTTCATAACAATACAATATGGTCATCACTCTTCTTTTCTCATAAGTATATAATACAAAGCAATAACGGATATCCTTCTTGCTCATCGACCACCACCTCGACGACCACAACAACGACCACAACGACCTGAACCACTCACCTGCACTCACACAACTAACCACTGCAGAGGACGATGCCCTTCCTCCCTCCCCTACCTCTGCAAGCCATCGCCGGTCTCTCAGGCGCAGCAGCCTGTATAGCAGGGTACGTCCCCCCCTCCTCTCCCTCCCCACCCATCTCACGCACACCAGCGCATTCGGCACTCACACACTCCGCGCCCACCTCCCCCCCGCCTCCCTCGAAGCATGGCAAACCGCAGCCCACTACCAGCTCATCCACTCCCTCGCTCTCCTATACGTCAGCACCCTCCCCCCCGCAGCTGCCCTCGTCCCTGGGTATCTGTTCACTGCTGGGATCGGACTGTTCTCGGGGACGATTTATGGGCTTACGGGGCTGCCGAAGGGGCATACGGGGAGGAAGGTGCTTGGCCCGCTTACTCCCCTCGGGGGGAGCTTCTTGATTGCTGGATGGGTTGTCTTGGCTTTCACCAAAGGGAAGGTTAGGTTGGGTCGGTAGTTGCCGAAGCGGACGGGCGGGCAAGGGCGGGGTATGTAGAGGAACAGGATTTTAAGACTAATGTACCGTACTGTGCACCACTCCTTCCATCCCAGTTCACACCTGTGCACGACCAAGGACCCAAGAGCAACACCCCCGACAGCAACGGCTAATGTTTGGCCTCGTTAACGAACAACGCCGCTGCGCCCATCCCGCTCCCCACACACATACTCGTGCACAACAAGTCCCCGTTCCTCCTCTGCAGTTCATGCAGTCCCGTCACCGCCAGTCTGACCCCGGCTACGCATCCCATCAGTCCGGTTCACACCCAAAGAGTAGAGCACCCACTCATGCCTAACGGGTGCGTAAGCGCGATCGCTCCCCCGTGGACGTTCACCCTATCCCCGTCCAACCCAAGCGTGTCCATACAATACGCGAACTGGCTCGCGAACGCCTCGTTTATCTCCCATATGTCGATGTCCTCTTTCTCCAGGCCGTGCAGAGCTAGCACCTTGGGGATAGCAGCTATGGGCCCGACGCCCATGTACCGGGGCTCGACGCCTGCTTGTGCGTCAGCGCAAGCAGGTGTACGGGGGGGAAGGGGGGCGTACCAGCCACGGAGCAACCAACCCATTTCCCGATAATCCGCGCTCCCGTCTTGACCGCTTTTTCCCTCTTCATCAGTACGCAAACGGCGACTCCGTCCCCGATCCCACTCGAGTTCCCGGCCGTACTATGTTCGCCCCCCCAGCCAGGGAACGCCGGTCTGAGCTTGGCGAGCGACTCTGCCGTGACGCCAAGGCGGATCATATCGTCCTCACGAGCAAAATGGTCCCCGACGAGGATGGGCATTATCTCCTCTGCGAAGATGCCTGCTTGGAGTGCCTTTTCTGCGCGCTGGTGTGAGCGGAGCGCGTACGTATCCTGGGTTGCGCGCGAGATGTGGTAGTGCTGCGCTACCATCTCGCTCGTCCATCCCATTGGCTGTGTTGGGAATCACCGATTGCACTAGACGTTGGACGCTGGACTTGGAGTGAAGAGCGCGCACCTCGATACAGTCATGCGCCTGGGCGTTCCTTCCCACCGTCTCAGAGATCTCGGGGGTCGGTCTCGGACTAGCAACCCAAATCAGCATCAGCACGCATCCCCCCTTCCCTCACGCACTCACTTCTGCGACATGCTCTCCGCCCCCAGGGCCAGCCCCACCTCCGCCTCCCCAGCCTTGATGCTATTCGCCACTGTCCGGATCGCCATCAGCCCGCTCGAGCAGAGCCGGTTCACCGTCTGGATCGGCACTGTCTCCGGGATGCCGGCTGCGAGGGCAGCGGCGCGCGAGACGTACAGCGGCGAAGGAGGGTGACAGGTGCCGACGACGATGTCGTCTATTGAAGAAGGGGGAAGGCCGGTGGCTTCGAGTGTTGCCTGAGGGGGTCAGTGGAGCGGAGGGGGGATGGGGATGGGATGTACCTTGAAAGTGGCGTAGAGGAGTTCGTCGATCGTCACGTTTGCGTATTGGCCTTTCTTGTACTACGCGCATGTGAGCACTAGGGTAGGAGAAGTGCAAGTAGAAGTGCAAGTGGAAGTCAGGTAGACACACCCTGCCCATCGCAGTCCTCTTAGCGAAGGTGATGACCACATCGTCGTCTTTCTTCTCCAAAAGCCTTTCGACAGCCGCGGAATGCGCATGTCGTCGTACAGGGCTGGAGAGGGCGCGCGCGAGTGTGGGCACTCGACGGAGCGTGAGGGGTAGCATCTGGATGAATCCGTGGGAGTTCTTTCGGATTGAGGGGGGGGACTTACTGTTGATAGGAGGGGGGAGTGGGAATGCCCAAGAGAAAGAGGGAGAGGGAGGAGGAGAAGGAGGAGGAGGAGGAGGGGATGTAAGGGAATATCATTTACTCCGATAATGGTATACACGGCATAACGTTCATCCGAAGCACCGGAGCCGATCGGACTTGAATTCAACGCTCAGCACAGCCACGTCCGTTCAAGTCACGTCACGGTCAAGGGTCTGCAGTTTACCTCTCTTTGTGTTGTACCACCACCATCCTCGAGGACTGTTAGGATGCCTAAAGCAGATATAAACAAAGCTGGATGGGAGACGAGTGATTTCCCAATCCTATGTGAAACATGTATGTCCTCTTCCTATCCCTGTCCATGCTGCTGACTAACTTTCCAGGCCTGGGTGAGAACGCCTACATCCGGATGTCCAAGCAAGAGTTCGGGAAAGAATGCGGTTCTTGCGCCAGACCGTTCACCGTCTTCCGCTGGAACCCTGGTCAGGGAGCGAGGTTCAAGAGCACAGTCGTGTGCCAGACATGTGCGAAGGTGAAGAACGTCTGCCAGTGCTGTTTGCTCGACTTGGAGTATGGCCTCCCTGCCCAGGTTAGGGACACTGCTCTTGGGGTCAGGGCGGACGCGCCCCAGAGCGAGATAAACCGGGAGTATTATGCGCAGAATATGGAGGCTAAGGTGCGTTTCTTTCGGGGTGAGTGGGAGCGTGCTCACAGGATGCAGATGGACAGCAACGGCATGCTTAGCGGGACGGGAAGCGCTTCCACTGCAGGGAAGGAGATGCTCAAGAAGCTCGCAAGACAGACACCGTACTACAAGCGAAACGCACCGAACATCTGCTCCTTCTTCGTGAAAGGCCAGTGTAACCGCGGTGCGGACTGTCCATATCGGTGCGTCCCCCATGTCTGTCATCGACGAGCGGCTGACTAATACATTTCATAGGCACGAGATACCCCAGAAAACAGAACTCTCGAACCAAAAGCTCCAGGATAGGTACCACGGGACAAACGACCCCGTAGCACACAAGATCCTCATCCAGCACGCTGCCGACGCCGGGCTCGCACCGCCCGAAGACCAGTCCATAACCGCGTTCATGCTCGCCGCCCTCCCCCAAACTTCGCAGGAAGCGATCACCTTTGCTCTTCGGCAGGCCGTCCCGAAACTGAAAGAAGAAGACCTGAGAGGGGTCGTCTATGTGGAGAAGTCAAACTGCGCGTTTATCAATTTCCGCACCCGGGCAGCGGCGGAGGAGAACGCGAAGGCACTGGCGAAGGGGCTGGAGATTGGGGGAAGGACAATCGGGCTTCGGTGGGCGAGACCGCGCCAGAAAAAGCCGGCAGCGGGGACTGCGACCGCAACACCGGCACTGGAGGCGGCTGAGGCATAGACGTGTATTGTATCATTAGTCGGACATCTTGTAATCCAGCTCATATTCTGCATGCCTTGGCCCAGACGTGTGGCAGAACGCCTCCCTGGCGCAGGCTGCGAAGGGTATAAAGTGGATAAAGGATGGACAAAGACCCCTTTTGTTTCAGCTGCTTACGCACGAACTTCCTTGTCGAGCATTGTTTCTTTGATTCATCAATAACTTAAACAGCGCATGGATCGCATCTCCACCCAACTTTCTAGTCTTCTCGTTCCACTCTAGCCAAATACGGAGCCATCCAGTCCGCCAGCTTAGCGCGCTTGCTCTCCGGACTCTCCCTCTCCTCAAGCTGCCTCTTCCTCCGCCTCTCCTCGCCATGAGTAGCCGACTCCCTCCTCTTCCTCAGCCCATACCTCCTCCCTTCGCTAGAAGGCGTTTCCTCTCTCTCCCTCTCCCCCTCCTCCTCCCCCTCAAGCTCCCCCAACCCAAACCCATCCGCACGCTCCTTCCCCTTCCCCCGCGCCTGGTCCCGGGCCAAATGCGCCAAATACAGCTTGCGCAAGTCCATAGGCAGCCCGTATGTCAGGCTCAGAGGATCATGATCCCTCTCAATGTCGACTTGTTCTGGTTTGGGACTGTGTTTTCCCCCGAGGGTGTCTTCGATCAAGTAGGGATAGTCTTTCGCTTGCTCGACTGGCTCAAGTCAGCTACATGATGATGCAAGATGTGGAAAGCGACTCACGGGGATCCCATTTGGCGAAACGGAGCGTCTCGCTCCAGATCGCCGTGAAGAGAGCTTCTATTTGCAGCTTGTTCCAGTTCCCGACATGTTGGCCTCCCGGGAGCTCGCAGATATGTGGCCAGCCGACAAGCCGCAACCTTTTCCTGTGCAGCCGTTCGAGGATCTCGTGAAACTCTGTGTTCCCAAGTTGTTCAACTAGCAAGTTATGAGTATGGTTTCAGAGAGAAGGGACAGCTTACAGAGGAAGGCATTCAGGTGTAATCGGCATAGCTTGCGTCTCGTGTTCCAGTCAAATTGCTCAATCCAGTCTCTCGCATGCTCCAGGTCTTTCCCACGATCGAGGATAACTTGCTGGGTCTCGATAACCTGCGCGTCCGTGAAGAACCGTTTGTTGTCCCGTCGTGGGTCTTCGACATAACGGTGGAAATCGACGTCTTCTGCGAGCTGGATAGGCTGAGGAGAGGGCGGAGTCGCGGGCTTCGAGACTACAGGCGTGGGGTTTTTCGGCGAGAGAGGTGTAGGTGCTGCGGGCGGTGTTTGTGGCACCGGGATGACCTCGGGTAGTTTAGGCTTGGGATTCTTTGGTGGCCGACCACGACGTTTGGGCTGTGGAGTTTCGGCGGAGACTGAGGTAGAGGCATGGCTCGTCTCAGGGCCGAGGGAAGGGGTTGGGGTAGGCGTGATCTTGACAACTAGTTTTGGCGGTCGGCCCAACTTTTTTTTTCCGAGGGTGCGGCGAATCGAGACTGATCCTTCTCTGGAGGGACTAGGAGTGTCTATCGCGTCCGATGCATCGATGATCTGATCTGGCTCCAGATTTCTTCCAAAGCGGATTTCATTGTCCAGAGAATCGACAACAAGGGGAACATCATATACCGCAGTTGGATCTTGTATCACCCGCTTCTTTTCTCCATGGGTCCACGATCCGACCTCCAATTTGCCACGCCAAATCACTGCAAGCATGTCACGAATGTGATCAGCGGTGTATTTTGCAATATTGGCATGTGGTCCAATCGCGCAGGTGGAAGGCCAGTTATAAATCCGAAGTCGCTTTTCCCGAAGACCTGCAGGTATTTCGCGGAAATTGGCATTTCCTAAATAAGGATCTGATGCGAAAGTCATTTTTTTGCTCCAGGGGAAAAACCCCTTGCTTACACATGAAAGCGATGATGTGAAGATGGCAAGTGCGTTTACGTGCATGCCAGTCCAGCTTAACAAGCTCGCGAGCGATGCTGTCCGGATGCGCTTGGATTCGGCGGATGTCTTCCCTGGCTTGAACTACTTCACTGTCTTTGAAGGCACGGCCCAGTGCCCTTGTGACAGGTGCGTCATCGTAATGAATGACGAGATCTTCATCCTCTTCCTCAATGAGCGGCGTGGCACTGGCTGACGTCTTGGTCTTCCCATCCGCCTCGTTCCCTCCGACTGTTTGAGGAAGGCCATCTGGTGTGTATGCCTCGAAACAGTCCTCATCGTCGACATCCATAGGAGCTGCGGCAATGACTGGAGGGTCCGGGATCTGCCATGAACCCCCGACGGGATGGTCGAAACCGGGACGAGCTTTGAGTGGGGCACCCAAAAACCAGTGATCGTTGCAATTGACAGCCTGGCCAATGTTTCCTGGGACAGGTGCAACGAAGAATCCGGATATTTCCATATCTAATCGCAGGAGAGCCATGAACTCCCCCACATACTTGGCAACGTTTGCAAGGCCTTCCTGAGGCGATCTGGCTTGTCGATAGAGATTAAGAAGTTCGTTGTTCGGTGGGGGGCCAACCATTTCGTCAGCCTCCAAATCATGATCGTTGACACCAGCCGATCCATCTGGTATCAGACGGAAGGGGAGAGGGGGAAGGGGGAGCACTGGGACTGGCTTCGGAAGACGTGATGTTTCAAGTTTGGCCGCATCTTCGGAAGTACTGTTGGGCCGACCAGATATCATTTTGGAGGTCTTTATATGCGCCGCACTGACGAGATCCTTAGTAAGTATTTCTTCTGTGAGTCCTTCTGGTATCTGGTGGACAACCACGCGCGGTGCGGTTGACGGAGCTGACCTGTCCATCAGATTGGGATCACTTGTCGGTGACGGGATGGAAAACTTGAAAATGGCCTAGATGAGTCGTGACGCCTATTTCAAACCTTCGGTATGCCGGATGAGACTTTCTCCCCAAATAAAATAGGCCCGGGGTGCTGGAAGGCTTATAGAAGGCACAGGAGAGTGTTTGGAAGAAAAAAGGGACGGAAAGAGGGGAAGTCAATTGCAATGCTGTTCGGTTGACGGACGCGTCAAGGGCTTCCCGCACACTCCCGGATCCCGGATGTTACATACATTCTTAGTTAAATATGACCGGACTTTCTGTGCGTTATTCTCCCTTCTAAGTATTTTTTCTTTCTCACACTCTGCAGGCTCTAGATTGATACGACAAACCGCAATCAGTATATTGCCTGGGCCTCTCCGCAGATTACCTGGTTAAAGCATGATCGTCTCACAGCGAGTCATGGCAGAGGATTAATCTTTTTTTTTTTTCTAAGATCCACTCCCCCCTACTGTTGGGAGCTCCAACGACGGTACAAAAAACCTGCTTACTCCATGGAAGGGGGTTGATACTGCCGGCATCATGCTCTCTTTGTGGTCAACAGCATATATTTGCATTACAAGAGGTACGAGCGAGGATAGCCTACCAACCATGTTTTGAAGGATGTACACTGGACAGACGCTGGCCGCCTGCATCGCCTAATCCTTTAAATCGGCGTGGCGGCTGAGAGGGGCTGACCTGACGCATGCATGAGTTGGTACATATGTAGTCTAATTTTATTTGCTATCCCTTCTCGAAGGCATCACATCAATCTCCCTTCAAGTTTGTGCATATTTCGTTTTTGAACTTACAAGTGTGGTCATGGTTTCATGAAAATCCACCTTACACTTGTCGTAGCTCTATCTCCGTGATACTTTTTTTTGGTTCGCACATTCGGTCGGATATTGGGTGCTTACATAAAACGTGCCCGATGCCTTTCATCCATACCCCACGCCGAACCAAGAGCGTCAAAAACGTCTGCTTGTTATACTACTGGTTTTGTGACCGGCAAGAATTCGAAAAGATGAGAGGTGCAGCACTGTGTCCATTCACTCGCGGAATCCTCGCTGTATTCATCCGCTAGCTGCTTCTTTAGTTACACTGGATCAGTGTCCACCCTTGAGTGTGCCTACCGACACTTGGCTCTTGCAACCCCGTATAGTTCCTTGTGATTGAGGTCTGATCCGACACAGGTGGATGCTTAGGAAAGTATCGCGAGTCTTCCCAATCAGAGGGGATGTCCAAGGGTCAGCTTTGTTGAAACAGCCATTGAGTGAGCACGAAGGAAAATTTAAGGATGGACTTGCCTCGGGCGGGAGAAAACTTTATCACGGGAACTTTGGAAGCACCATCAGTTTTGGGATGCACGGAGACAAGGGAAATGAGTATGATACTTCACATGATAGTACATTCTTTATTTAGGTGTATTGCCAAGACGATCGCGTAAAGTGCTTAGGTAAGTACAACAACCGGAAGAGACAAAGAGAAGATCAAGGAGAAACATGAGAACGCCGAAACGAGCTGGGCGGGAAAGGTGAAGGTTCCTGGCAACAAAAATACCGATTATGTAAGTTACGTTGGTGATGCATCGCTAGCGGAACTCGAAAGTCGCGCTCGTACGTTCCGGCATGTGCCGCAGGGAGAGATGTTGGTAACTAGACAAAATTGTTAGCATGTGAACTGTTTACGAAGATGAGAAACTCACGGTTCGGAGTTCTGATGGTAGTACAGCCCTTCCATCATGGCCGTGCCGTACCCTTTTCCTCTTGCTCGTTCCATCGCTTCCACCTTCTCCCTCTCGTGTGTGGTCCAATCGAACGACTTGATATCCCCCATCAAGGTTGCGGCCCGAGACCGACCACCGGAAGGCGTGACGCTTGCGTTTGCTCGTGTAGCAGAGGGAAGGTGAGACTGGGTTAGCGGATGCTGGGAGGCCGACGCAAAGGTGAGGCCGCTGCCATTGTCGGCGGAACATGCGGGGTCAAGATCGACACAGACATAGTAGAAACCTAGACTCGGCAGTCCAATCAGATACCAATCAAACAAATGACGTGTGCGGCCCATTATGGCCGAACACCGAGGATCAACTCACCGGCGAAGCTTGCACCATTAATGTCCCTCACGCGATGATCGGGCACCAAGAAGCGCTCTTTCCAGCGCATGTAGACACAGTTCCTCTCTCTGCTATCAATTGTCCCTTTCGGACCTTGCATCTCCTTTTTCAATCCGGAGAAACTGCGGAATCTGCTCCAGTGCGTAAAGTCGTCTTCCTCAGTCGCGCCCCACTCTCCCGTGTGGAAACCATGATAGGGGCCACCGATGATGTCAGCGGTGAAAAGTGTGGTCAATTCGGGATGTGATGGAGTAAGATTATGGATAAGGAGATATCCAGTGAGTGTTGCCTCCGCGAAGGAAACGTCCTAAACGCGGTTTTAGCTATCCGAGAGTGTACGACCACATATGCACGCACCACAATAGTAACCTTCACATCATAGCTATTCCTCCCGCTCCTTTGTGTACCACTGAACACGCTTCCGGGGTACAGACATCCTCGTCCGTCTGTTCGGCGCTTGAGGTGCGTGATATCACAATACAGGTCGGGCAATGTCACATGCCGCTGCTGCGCCACTTCGGAACTCGGGCCTTGCTCCTCCATTATCGTCTGAACGACATGTGGCCCAAACAGAATACTGCTCGCATCCGCAGGGGATGGGGTGCGGGGCGGAGTGTGCCTTGCAAAGCTCGGAGCCGCCTGAAAGACGGCGAGGTTGGAAGGCGGGCTTGTTGATGGCCGCGCTGGCTGGAATCCGTTTTTATCGACGGGGCTGCTGGGTCCAGAAGTTTGCGTGAAGGACTCCTGCAGCCCACGATTGAAGAGTAGTCGATACCGCTCATCGGGATTAATATTGTCGTCGTCGGGGTGCGGTGAATGCGGAGGTGTGAAAAGCGGCTGCTCCTGATGAATAGGTCGATCATCCATATGAACATTCGAGTCTTCATCGGTACTTGCAACCACGGCAGCTTGCTCTACGTCCTCTGGTCGGACCGTACACCGCACCCTTTCCTCTGCCTCGACCGGCATCTGGCCATCGGTGGCCTCATCAAACTCGTGCACCGCCTCGTCTGCATCCTCGCCAAAGGAGCCCAGAATTCCGCCTCTTATCACGCAACGGGCGCAGATCTGTTCCTGCCGCGCGATACCACCACCGATACCATCTCCCTCGAAGATTTCAACGTGGAAAGTCATATTGTTGTCAGAAGAGAGGGGCGAACGACAGTAATAGCATCGCTTTACTTGGGACGTGCCATGGAGGCTGGCTGTGTCCGCGTGCGGCGGTACTCCTGAGGGTTCTGAGAAGTAGTCGGTGGAAGGTTCAGGTATGGGCGTCGGTGTTGGCGGTGGTAGTGTTGCCGGCATCGTCCTCCTCGTTGAGCTGGTTGTCTGTAGACCGTTGATGACGAGCGCCGTACTGGATTGGAGTCGTTGTCGTGCGTGATAGGTGTGGGGCACTTGCCCCCTCGGGATTAGGGCCGACCCTCCGATTTGATCCCGCCGTCTTCCATTTTCGTCACTGGGTCGCACCATTATGTGAGCGGGACGTCTTCGAGTTATCTGACCTTGACGTCCAAGTGATGTCTGTGTACAAGCAACTCCGGGGATATTGCACGGACTTACCATCTCCGTTCTTCAATGTGGCCCGTGCTCTTATAATTCAACTTTGGGCGCCCAATAAACGCGCCCAATCCTTCGCCGCTTCTCTGTCCTTTTGGGCGCTTGAACTAGACGCGGGCGCATCAAGAACCCGGCGCTTACCAACCCTGTTTCAACACGCTCCGTTTAGCGCTCTGAGAGGCGGTCCTTATGGAACTCGATATTCTCCCTGGCGCTACTCTTTCCCGTTCGGCCTCTTCATTTCTACTTGCTGTGGTTTGGATCGCTGGACGATCACCAATGCTCTGTGTCAACTATGCCTGCGACTCAGCAGTGATGCGCTGCGGATCACCTCTATGCCTGACTGGGCATCCCTTGCGGCCGTCTCGAAAAGCTTCCAGACGCAATCTTGCCGTTTCGATCCGCTGGATTAGTGACTTCGGCAGCTCGGGTCCGTTTGCGACTCTTTCGCGTGTCAGGGCGATTGAGTCAGATGCGTCTGTTCTCGGCGAAGATCTTGAGTGCTTTCATATTTCATTCAGAAAAAAAAAGGATAGATTCTCCTTTACTACCAAGAGAAAGATCACTGGCACTCTGCTTTCCCCTGTTCGACTTTTCCTTCACCGGCAGGCTTGTTGATTGACGATCATCGATACACTCGGAACAGCTCTTGTTGCTCGGCTCGGAACCCCCATAACGGCGATTTTTCGCTATGATGTATTGAAACCCCGTTCAAATCCCGGAAAGATGATGTAAAAGTTCAGTATTCGCACTGATGCATCCTATCAACTCGGGGACTCAAGTGCATCTCATTTTGGTGGAACCTAGTCATGCACCCTCCTCCAGGGGTTCAACCGTCCCCGAAGTACTCCCTCAAAGCCAATTCTGCGAACACTAATTTGGACGCCCAACAAAACCGCCACTAAGACTGTGCCTTGATCTCAACGGGAACCCGCGTCATGGCATTCACGGGCGTAGGGATATCCAGTCGACTGTTCTGCGGCTCCTAACCGAGGATCTTGGATTTACAGGATGTATCTGTGCACATGTGAGTGCCTTGAAGACTCGTCAGTTCGTTTGAGAGATTCCTCCGCCTATTTTGGCCGGGGCAACCTGAAACGGAATTGGCATCCGGCACAGGTCGCAGTTCAGGAGAGGCTCGGTATTGAACATGGCATATCTAATGAAGACGTAGTATACCTGCGGAAACCGGGACAAGGAATTTGAAAGTAGTCCATGGTATTGATCTCGGTCAGTGCAGTTGACTTGGTAAATGTCTTGGTCGCTGAACTTTATGTGCTCTGTTTGCTTTGTAAGATGATTTGTCAGCGGAACCTCTTCGAGGTCTTATGTAACTTTTCGCGCGTGGAGAATTACCTCCGCAATCGGGGTTGCCACGTGTCCGCGTTGTTTTTCTCCTGCTCAGCACTGCTGAAATGTCGATAACTAAGCAATCTCGTGCCTTTCTTTCCCCATAAGGCACGGTCGGACTCTCAATCTTGGATATGACTGAAGTACTCAATGCCGACGTCGCTTAAAGCGATCGAGTAAGATATCACCAACTCTGCCTTTTTGGACCACGTTATCGGTTCTTTAACACCGCGAGTGTTAGCAATCGCCTTATTCTTTGCTCATGCTGATTCTAGAGGGATTCAGGTATCATTAACTCCGTGGCGAAGGTGACATCCGATTCTTTGGAATTCAGTAGGTCATTTGACAATACAAGCGTCCTGATACATGCTCATCCTATAGATTCAGCACGAGGTTAATTTAAGCGCCTGCCGAGAGAAGTGTTCGCTCTCAACGAAGGGGAGGCTGAAATCGTACGTTCTTTCGTTGGGATCGATGCTACTTGTCTGGCTTGAGGCCGTCTCTTTCCAGACCGTATGTGAAATGCTGATTTCTGGTCCAGGCCACAATCTGTCCCCTAGTTCGGCTGCGATCTTCTCTGATGCCGTGCACTTTATCATGCATGTTATATCTGCCGCAGTGAAATAGCCTGTACTTCCCACAACAGAAATATCTCTCCAGCCAGCAGGCATAGGTAGAACTTTTTTAAGAGCAGGATCTACCCCGGTTGTTTTCCGCTCCACTCGAAGGCAAACTGCGCCTCGCATTGTGCTTTTTAGTCAATGTGTCCCCCTGCCGGGGGTTCCGGGAAATCTCCGCTCCTGCTTCAAAGCCGTTCCGCCCTACTAGCAAGTTCACATGCATCTCCACGTCTTATCTCGAAAATCGGTCCCTCTCCCTGAAGGCGGGAGAACTCGTCCAGCCTTTCGAACCGCTCGGTCATGTGTTACCTGGCCTTTCTTGGTTTCATGCTGCCACGTAACGGTGGTCTGGTGGAGGTTCTACTAGTGGAACCGGGTCCGGCCGATGACATCCATGCTGCATGGGAACTGCCAGCATCGCTTCCGCACCACGCGCTTCTTCGCTGCGCTGTAGCTCCCGTCTCGAGGCGGAGGCATGTCCGAGGAGATGTATCTAATGCCGTTCGTTCATCATTCTTCCCGTTGTCAGAGGATGACGAACAACCTTCTCAAGGGTGGTCTAAATGGCAGTGGCACGAGTGAAAAAAATGCAAGTACCCGCTCTGGAATTGCCGTTTCGACCAAGAGAAGACTCTCACGGCCTGGGTCAGCCCAGTTGAAGACAAAGCAAGAATTTATCAAATTCATTGGTGAACCACATGCTATGTGGTGCTGATCCCTTCCGTGAAGCAACAAATGAACAGCATGATCGGACCTAGTCTTCCATGTAACGCTCTTGAAATCACACGGTCTGGTAACAAACTGAAGCGCTCTTTCCGGAATTCTGTTCTGGAGGGTGGGGGCATGAGCAAGTGGCCTCAAATCCAAGAGTCAGTCCCGGCGTCGTCCATTCACACAAGATAAAGACACTCACTCACGTATTAGGTTATCTTGCGGGGCTACCGAAATTAAAGTTGGCACTGTCAGGCACAGAAGTTCCGTCCCATTACCCTCAATTGAGGTTACAATCATCACGCTTGGCCACTGAGGACGGTCTGTGACATATCGAGGTAAAGACCCTTTCCCCGCTTGCCAACTGCCGAGACTTCCGCCCTTATTTGCTGACTAAGGAGCTTGCAGCTAGGGTTGATGGCCCTAGCAGCCAACCAGAAGCAGCTATTATGCTTTAGCTGGCCCGGCCCGATTTGAGCTCTCTTCTCGCACTGCCGCGAGGTGTGTCCACTTAAAATAGGCCGATACTATCAATTCATTAGCTAATTCAGTTCTTTGGTAGTGCCGTGATATTGTCATTCGGCCTTGCTTTTTGTTGGCGCCACAAAGTGTTGCAACAGCCACATGCCGGTCTGTCGTTCTTCCATTCTCTGCGGTGTTTAAGGGCATTTCCCTCAGAATCCGCATGCATGCTGTCCTCCATTACCGCCCTTCCAGGCCTCCCCCTTGAAAGAAGCGCACGGAAAGTATTTCAACGACCGAACCGCCCGGAAGGAAATTCTGTGCTGGCAAAGGACCAAGGCTGGTTTATTTTCCGGACCGATCGAAGGGCTCCATTTCGCCCCATTGGGAGTTTGGGCAGGTTTTCTGGACACAAGACTTGTGAATACAAACCCTTCTCATACCCTTCTTGATATGTCTCGTAGATCTGATCAACCCTAATCTAGTCCTTTTCCTCAGTTTTGAGAAGTCGATCTTCGTCGCTTCCTCTCCTCCGTGACTCTCGCTTAGCCCGACCACCGCCGACACTAGTTGCTCGTTTCTCAAACCCCGGTTGAAGATGAGATATTTTGCGATCCAGGAGTTTTCTGGGCTTCAGCTGTTGAACCATTCTCACTGTTAACCTGCTGACAGGTTCCCCTTTCAATTCTGACTGGACCCAGGTTAGTTCATGGAGAGCGGCTAGTTGCTCTTCACATGGGCTGTACCTATTATCCCGGCAATGCTAAGTCATGTGCACTCTATGAGCTTACAGATACGGTTAGACCACAAAAAGCAGGGCGGCTGCCCAGTCAGTGCAGAGCGCGCCTTCCTCACGCGGTCAACTGGTCAACGACATCATCAGACTGGTACATTATTCAATGGGTGGCCCAGTGATGATATTGCAACGCCGAAAGGGAAACGCATCCGGTTGGCTGTCTCCAGAGGCAGCAGGAAGCTTTCACAAGAAGTTAAAGTCGCATGAGCTCTAGGAAGGCCGTCTCTCAGGGTCTGTTAATACTAAAATCTGCCCCATGTGTCGACAGGGCATTCTGTATGTCAAAATGACGTTAAAGAAGTTGAATTTGGTTATGACTGCTCCCGATTCTACAAACGCCGTTTTGAGCTCCGCCGAGCTGCGGAAGCGGACATCAGGTTAAGGTGGGCGCCCAGTAGGGACATCACTCGTGATCATAATGGGACGTCAACCTCGATTGCTACGTAATTCCAACGAATCTACCAACGATACATACGGATTACAACGATGTTAAGCGAGGCAGATGTTTCAAACATAAATCGGATACAAGCGCTGCTCATCGAGCACGATCTCATGTGCCTGGCCTAGGCACTTTTTGCGGTACTTGCCGGTCACCGGACGCTCACCACCCAGGCATCAGATCTTGACAGCCATTCTCTTTCCTCTCCATGGGCCAGCGAATGAAGTGAGTGAGATCCGCTGCAACCATCTTGCCGGGGCCTTCGCCTATCCATTTGCGGGAAGTAGGGTCCGAGACCCGGTGCACGTTCTCGAGGTATGTCCAGAACTCTTTGCGGGTCTTTCCACAGTCACGCTGCACGCGTATCAGAGCTTGGAACTCGAGTATGATGTAGACGATCAAACCTGATGAACGTTCCACCAACCGTTCTACACAGAATGAAAGAGTTCGTGAATCTGTTTAGCCTGGCGATTGTTCAAGAAAGGAGGAGGCCTACCATGCAAGCGGGTGAACAGTAGTATACCGGGGAACGTCCCCGAACACGGGAGCATGGCCCGCAGGGCTGTAGAATCGTAAGATGTAAACCGGATGGAGGAGGTCTGGACATACCATAAAACGGGGCATATCAGGTGCTTCCCAATGGCGAACCTCATTTGGGATCCCTGACAAACAGGAATGTGCAATCTGCGATGTGATCAACGAAAAAGAATGGGTATAATGTTGGAATACTTACTTCATCCCATGAAAGCAGAATGCGAACGAGGATTGCTTTGCCGGCAAGAGGGCCTTTGACGCACATGCGGGTGGTTGGAGCCAGAACCCCGAGCTCGATAAGCTGATCCAAAATGGGAGGTCCATTATCTACCGGCGTACGGTGTTCGAAGAAGAAAAAGTGACGTTCGGGAATATCCTCCAGCACTTCGGGTGAAAGACACTCGAGTCTCTCATTGTGATGTTCGGGTACGCGGGGAGGGCGTAGCTCGATGGATGCCGGTACAAGACCATAGTCGATTTGCAGCACCGGGGAGGTCAGCGTTCGCGTGAAGACCATGTACTGTCGGCGACCAGAAGGCATAACAATGGGCAAAACTCGGATTGGAGCCTAAAGCGAGGTGAGATGTTGGGTGCATACATGACGCAGAATACGTACACGCTGAGCAGGAGGGGCCATGGTAGCTTGGTGAGAAAGACAAACGGGTTAAGCACTCCGTGAAGGTCAGGGGTGGGGCAATGGTGACAACCAAGGACATGGAACGCGCTCTCTTTATACACAAAGACCAACGAACGATCTCTTTCGGGAAGCATAACCCTAAGTGATCAAGAGGGCCGGGGCCCGAGTCTTGTGGTCGTCGAAGGGCTAGAAGATGTCCGTGCCGTCGGGGGAGGTAAGTCATACGAGCAGGAATGGGATACGGGAACCGCATTCAGTACGTATCGCCGGCATCCTACAGATGAAATCCGAAGTGAGGTTTGACATTTAGACGCTGCCAGAAGGTCGATGTGGGCCTGTCACGATGCAAGACTGGAGGGGGAAATAGGGCACGTCACCGTGCCCATAGAACTGGATGGGCTACGCCCAGACGTGAAATCATCGGGGGGTGAAATCGAATGGCCAATCGCGCGTTATGTGACATTAGGCGTCCAGGGTGCTGAAGAGCTAAAAGAAGTCGCGAAGGAGAGAAGGATTGACCGCAGAACACCAACCGTCATTTGCCTCTGGACGGTTATCCCATCAACGGTCTTAATCCAAGATCGTCGCGCTGGATCAGCATGATCTGCCTTGTGCCATGGGCGATGATTGCCTTCCCAAAGGGATTTGCGTCGAAGGACAGGGAGATGTAGATCTCGCGCTCCTTATGAGCTTGTTCAGAGATCGACTTGGTAGCGTGTCCGGGGCATGCCGCTATCAGTTGTACCGTAGTCGTCGTTGCCAACCAGAACTCAAACAGTGCCAGCGCTCTGGGCCCCACTAATAGTAATTCACCAGATATCCGGGCTGAAAGCTTCAAATTAGGATAGCGCTCCGACCGAGGGCATCCAAGATATGTTACCAGATGCATTCACCGGCGGAGTCGGGTAGAGGAGGGGGGGATCCCAGGAAGAATGTAAACAGAGAGAGGGTAAAAAAAACACATGCACTAGTGTTATCTTCCGTCAGAGATGGGGGACCACAGCTTCTCTCGCATGGGGGGGAAATCCAATGCCACAGCCCTATGTTCTGTTTCCACGCTGTGTCGGGGCAATTATGCGATTAGGCCACCTTTTCGGGAACAGGCAAATTATCGCTCCACCGCAGCGGTATGTGACAGGTTTGGTTTACGGGTGTCCATGCGGACGCTCCGATCCTTCGGTTTATACATGGAAAATCGGGTCTACGCGTAGCATTCCATTTCGCACACGGAAGGGACAATCCAGAAATTACAACCAGCGATGTTCCCCGCTAAACCGCGGAGGAGGGGCAATTCGAGAACATCAGCGCCACACGCAAACACCGTACTTCCTTGATTCGCTGTGCGTCTCCTCCCTGGTCTCCGCTGTTACATCCTTCGAAGAAGCCATCTGGACCCTGTCTAGTTTAAGAAGCAAATCACCTTGGGAGCAACTCGGCCGCCCTCGGGTTCAGGTACTGCGTTGCCTGTTCGGAAGTCGCAAGAAACTTCCCCGGTTGCGGATGCCCGATCGGCCCGTACACACGGTACAGTCGAACATGGACGAGCAAGCAAGAGAAACGGATCTTGCTCGAAATACAAGCCTCTTCTGGCATCTTGCTTCCAGTAGCTGCTGTCCACTCGGCCGCAAAGTCGAATATCCGTGCCGAAACTCACTTGAGAAGCCACCAAACACCACTTCTCGGCCGAAATATCCTAAACAGGCTCGTGCCCCTCACTTCGTTTCTTGAGAAGGGTGAGACGGATTTTGCGTGCAGGATGGCACGCAATATTTCCTGTTGCAAGAAGTTTTGTCCACAGATGCGATTGTCCGCGGCCTATGTATACAGAAATGCAGGAAGAGTAGCTAGTTGTAAACTTGATATAGTGGTCTAAAACATCGTCTCAGCATCGATTGGCAGACTTTCGAAGGTTCTAGGGTACTCACGTGCTAGAGAACTTCGTGCCTTGTCGAACCACCTTTTCCACGGCATCCAGGAAATCTCGCTCGGTGGCCACTTTTCGCCTCGCACGAATAGCAAACATACCAGCCTGGTTGAACGAATCAGCATAAGCACATTGGGCAAAACAGAACAGCATGAAACGGACCTCTGTGGCGACAGAGCGCAACTCAGCCCCAGTCGTGTTCGGACATAGACGTGCAATGAGGTCGAATCGAATATCTCGTTCCACGCTCATACTAAGAACGAAATCATCAGCATGATATCCCAGAAATACACCGAGGCGAAGCAGTATCAAACATGAAGAATAATCATGCAAACGCCACGCACCTTCTTGCGTGGATCTTCAGAATATGAGCACGCCCTTCATTGTCCGGCAACCCGAACTCGACACGACGGTCTAATCGTCCAGGTCGAAGAAGGGCAGGGTCAAGCGTGTCAGGTCTGTGTGCACAGTGTGAGATACGGAATAGCCGTTTGGACTCAGAGGTACAGTTACTAACCGATTGGTAGCCATCAGAACCTTGATGTTACCACGTGGATCGAACCCGTCCAATTGGTTAATGAGCTCAAGCATCGTGCGCTGGACCTCATTGTCACCTCCAGCACCGTCATCGAACCGCGCGCCACCGATTGCGTCGACCTCATCGAAGAAAATGATGCACGCTTTCTTTCCACGAGCCATCTCGAACAACTCACGGACCATACGCGCACCTTCACCAACGTATTTCTGGACGAGCTCTGAGCCGATAACACGGATGAATGTAGCATCGGTGCGGTTGGCAACAGCACGTGCACAAAGGGTCTTGCCAGTTCCGGGTGGGCCGAAAAGCAAAACACCTTTTGGCGGGTCTATGCCGAGATTTACGAACTTCTCTGGCTGAAATTGAAATCAGCAGCGTTCTTACAGAAGGCAGACTCGGCAACGCACATTCAACAGCGGAGTCTCAACGACTTCGCGCAACTTCTCGATCTGTTCCTTGCATCCTCCAACATCGGAATAGGTTACGTCCGGCTTCTCCTCCACTTGCATCATGGTGACGGATGGGTCAATTTTTGGCGGTAATGGGATCATGATCTGATACTTGTTCCGGTCCACGCTGCACAATACCAATGAGACCACCACCCAACATTCGAAGAATGCGGCACATACCCAACACGCATACCCTCCTCGATGTCCGTGGGTGCCACACGTTCTCCCAATCCAACCACAAACTTCGCAATTTGCTTGATGTTGATGACATACTTGTCCACCTCGTCTGCCCCACGTATACGGTCTCCCGGCCCGATAGCTTCAGCATTGGCAGCCTCGACGACCTCGGGATCGGCACGAATGATCTTGGTACACCGCGCGACCTGCAAAGGATGTTCCTCGCCCATGCGCTGTCTGTCCGCGGCGATATCCCAGAGGTTTGGAGGAGCAAGCCCAGTATCAGATTCTTTCACGCCTGCGAGGATTATTGACATGCGGCTCAGGGCAGGCAAGGACGACCTACCCATTTTCTCATTCACCCTCTTCTGTATCTCCTTGATGTCGGTCTCAATCTTCTTCAGCGTAAGCCCATATGGACCTTGACCCTTTGTGAGAACGCGTCAGCCTCAACCATATCGTGGTAATGAACTCGTCACACATAGGTTTTCAAGATTTGTATGTCGCCCTCATCGAGTGCTGGCCAACAGATTAGGGTCAAGTTGACAAGAAAGAGTCGGGAGTACATACCGACTATCTTCTCATCGTCCTTGTCGTCAATCTTCTTTTCGTCTTCAGCATACAGTCAGCATCTTTATTTACCAACACCTACTGCCGCTCACATTTCTCCCAATCACTGTTACAATGATCAGCACAAAATCACTCCCCACAGAAAAGAGGCTCACGATTTGGGTGGCATCTTGGTCTATGGAACAGTGAGAGGCAAATGTGGACAGGGACAAAGTGATGGGAGACGAGTAGAACGTTAACGCGCTCCTGCGTTGTCCCTAGGAGAGGACCGCGTCAGCGCTGACTGAATTGATTCCGCTGGCCAGGGCTTTCTCCGCACGTGGTGTGCATCATTGTGTGGCATCTGGGGCGCGCAAGAGCGCTCTGGTTCTCCTCCGATAGCAGCTCCTGTCCAAACACTCCTTTCCCTCTTCTTCCTTCATATCCTTACAAATATGGCTGGTGCGATGCAGAACGCGAAGAAGACATTGCCCAAGATCGCGGACGAGGATCGAGAGTCAAGATATGGACAAGTCTTTGGTGTATCTGGACCCGTCGTCATTGCCGAGAACATGACGGGTTCGGCGATGTATGAACTGGTGAGTCCTGGACAAGTTGTCCACTGAATCTAAGCTGATTGTTGAGATCAGGTACGAGTTGGACATGACGAGCTTGTTGGAGGTAGAACAAGTCTCAACAATATCTCTATATGCATGTTGAAACCTGTAACCAGAGGTCATCCGGATAGATGCCGACAAGGCGACCATTCAGGTTTACGAAGAGACATCAGGAGTAACTGTTGGAGATCCGGTGCTGCGTACAGGAAAGCCGTTGTCTGTCGAGCTAGGACCAGGTAAGAGTTATTCTAAGACGCCGATACCATTATGTTAAGGTTGCTCCAGGTCTTATGGAAAACATCGTTGACGGAATTCAACGCCCGCTTCGAGTAAGCTCTCTGACAATGACAAGCGTGTTATATCTAACATTGAGTACAGTCCATTCAACAACTCTCTCGATCCATATATATTCCACGCGGAATCAATACGACGGCTCTGGACCGCTCACTGAAATGGGATTTCACGCCTGATAGCCTTAGGGTAAGCGCTGCTCATCAACCATGCGCATTGGAGCTAAAAGTTCCTTTCAGGTTGGTGATCATATCACTGGTGGTGACATTTTTGGCACAGTTTATGAAAACTCCCTTATCAGCAAGCATAAGATCATGCTGCATCCTCGAGCTATGGGAACCATCACTCATATAGCAGAGAAGGGAAGCTATGCCGTCGATGTAAGGAGATAATCCGCTAAAATTGAGCTGTGATGTTCTGACCAGACCATAGGATGTGGTGTTGGAGACCGAGTTCGAAGGCAAGAAGTCGTCACATACCCTGATGCAAATCTGGCCCGTGCGCGCTCCTCGACCGGTGACAGACAAGCTGACGGCGAACTATCCCTTCCTGACCGGGCAACGTGTGCTCGATGCCCTCTTCCCCTCCGTTCAAGGCGGCACAACAGCCATTCCCGGAGCTTTCGGCGCTGGCAAGACTGTTATTTCCCAAGCTGTGTCCAAGTTCTCCAACTCGGATGTCATCATATACGTCGGATGTGGTGAGCGTGGCAATGAGATGGCAGAGGTGTGCAGAAATTACGTTGGAAATAACAATGACATGACCTTGCATGCAGGTGTTGGCAGACTTCCCCGAACTGACCATGACCACTGCGGACGGCCGGAAGGAACCCATCATGAAACGGACGACGCTCGTTGCGAACACATCGAACATGCCTGTGGCCGCTCGTGAAGCATCTATCTATACCGGTATTACACTTGCCGAATACTGGCGCGATCAAGGATCGAACGTCGCTATGATGGCTGATTCGACCAGTCGTTGGGCCGAGGCATTGCGCGAAATATCGGGTCGTCTTGCAGAGATGCCTGCTGACTCCGGTTACCCTGCGTATCTCGGCACTAAGCTTGCAAGCTTCTACGAGCGCGCTGGGAAAGTTACTTGTTTGGGTAGTCCGGAGAGGACGGGTAGCGTTTCCATAGTCGGAGCGTGCGTAAACTACTTCTTGGCCGAAGGCTGTGCTGACAATATCGCAGTGTTTCACCTCCTGGTGGTGACTTCTCTGATCCTGTGACCGCCGCCACCCTCAGCATCGTGCAAGTCTTCTGGGGCCTAGACAAGAAGCTCGCACAGAGAAAGCACTTTCCATCAGTCAACTGGAATTTGTCATACTCCAAGTACATCAAAGTTCTCGAGCCTCATTACGAGCAGACCTATCCCGGCTTCGTTGAGCTGCGCACCCGCGCAAAAGAGATTCTGCAGAAAGAAGAAGACCTTGCGGAGATTGTGCAGCTGGTCGGTAAGGCTGCTCTGGGAGAGCCAGATAAGATCACCCTGGACGTCGCACGTATGATCAAGGACGACTTCCTACAGCAGAATGGCATGTCTGAATACGATGCCTTCTGTCCTTTCTATAAGACCACCGGAATGCTCCGCAACTTCGTCGCTTTCTACGATCAAGCACTAAAGGCGGTCACGAACAGCGACATCACATTCGCCAAGGTCCGCGACAATGCTAGCGATATCATGTTCCGGCTGTCTCAGATGAAGTTTGAGGTGAGTATATCTGCTACTTCCTGGAGACGGCCGCTGAGATAACATACAGAGTCCCTCGCAGGGCGAGGAGCCAATCAAGAAAAAGTACGATGCTCTGTACAACGACATCCAGGACAAGTTCCGCCAGATCATGGAGTAGACAGTGAGATTCATAGACATTTCGATTCAGTCGCACGACAGGAAATTTCGTATCCCAGGCCATTGCTGTATTTACGCTCACGGTAGCACCAATGCTAAGTATTGCCCAAGATAATGACGCACTAGCCTTATGTATCAGGGGCTGATACGTAATTTGGTTCCGGATCAAATAGGAAAGCAGTCCTCGAAATAATTAAGGCCGACCACACTTGCTTTGACAATGTCTATTGCTAGAGCGGCCGGGTCCGCAATACTATCATATACACTGCTTGCCCGGTCATCAGCGCCGATTCTGAAATTCTTGGCAAACCTACCAAAACCTGTTGAGCAACCAGTGATATTATTCTCTGTGTCTATGAATGGCCATGTCGACGACGGCTTTGAGCCACTTGTGAACACCATTCGAGACCTGTCACCAAAGCACTCTGGATGCCTCTCTGCGCCAATACCCTCTGCCCCTTCAAAGATTGCTTGTTCCATTTCGCTGTTCCCCCGCAGTCAATGTAACACAGTGCGGACCACAATCCCCGGTCGGAAAAAACCACAAGTCATTGTCTTCTTCCTCGTGCGCTGTAGATCCCCATCTGACGATCATGAAGGTTGGACGATGGCGCATCGATGAACCCGAGGGAAGGTCTTACGCGGTTGGCTCGGATCGATATATCTCCCGTCAATCACAAGCTAAGTTTGAGCTCGGGGCACTGGAGTACGCGTGCAGTGTCGTTATCTCCCCAGACTGCTGAAAGGAGATTAGTGGGGCAGCGGCCTTCGTTTTCTTTTCCGATGACATGCCTGAAGGGCTGATGGATGCACTCGATTATCAGGTTCCCCGGAGGATAGCCAAGGTATGCACGTGTTTGTCCAGAAATGTAGAATCTGCTGAGTGATCCTTCCTTCAGCTTGGAATGATATCAGCCTCCACTCCGTTTGTCACAGAACGGCCCTTCACCTTATTCCACGACCAAAAAATATACGACTCTGGTGCGGTCGGGATATCGCTGAAATGCGATGTGCCTCCGCGCCAGCATGTCATGTTTCAAGGTTATACATCGATATCGAGTTCTGTGCAAGTGACAGAGTAAGCAATCTTGACGTCCTCAGTCGAGCTGTGACTGAAGGAGATCAGCGCTCGGGGAAACTTACTCCACAGACTTAACGACACCAGCCCAACACAGTTCCTCCTGGATTGCATTCCGCGAATGCAGCAAAGAGGTGCTTCACAAGAACAAGCAGAATCGGGTTTCTTGAGCAAAGAAGATGAATTCTTCGTCGGCATCCCCTTTGATGTGGAACCCCAAAACTTGCAAACAGTCAGTGTGTTTTTGATTCAACATCTCTCGAAGCGCTTACCGAGTAGCAGGGATACCAACGAGTTTATCGCATCACGTCCGGAGATCCGGCGAAAGGAACGATGGCTCTTGACGCTGACGATGGGCCTCCTATTGGCACTCGTGTTCAGGTACAGGCCACACACTGATCGTCGTGGATGAGCGTCTGATCCTGGAGTGCAATTAGTTCCTTCGACGCTCCGGTGCTTGGGAAGCTCACATTAAACGTAATGAAGACAGATCGCTTCTCTACCAGTTCCAGTCTACGTCAGACGAATTGCCGCCGGTTGTAGAACAATCTTTATCGCGCGGTGCAGAACACCCAGACATGACTGTGGTAGAGAACGTGTTTTGTGCGGCCAGCGAGCATGGCTTTGTGTCCAACTCCCTGCCCGGCATGCCAATGGGCCGTGGGAGATGCTGGAGAACATCTGTATTAGGGGCGGAGGCAGAGCTTTCCTCGCCACAATAAAGGACGTTTTGCGTCTATTATCGCATACTATAGTATATAACTTACATCCTGAGATGTTATTAGGTAGTGGCCACTACCTACGACATGATGTCGTTATGTTGAAGGAATGTAAGGCTTCTTTAGAAAGAGTCGATCGGTCGTTGAGGGGCCCGGGGTGAGTGAGATGTGCCACTCAAACCATGAAGTGACGACGAGGACACGCGTGACCCTGGGTTCTTGGCCTTGATTGGTTGGCCTGCATGTGTTGGTGATGAGTAGACCTGATACCGCAAACCCGCTGGGGTTTTTAAGGGCGTCTCTTCTCTTGCCACTCGCAAACACCTCTTTACATCCTTCTATCATGTCTCTATTCAATTCCCTCCATTCTACTGCCCAGAGCAAGAAACAAAAAAGAAACACGAAGAAAAGAACGCGACAGCAAGCTCACCTTGCGCCTGACGAAGCGCCTACCCTCGTCAAGACAACGGAAGCGGGGAGGGAAGCCGCTCTGCCCTCGTTCCCCGAGGGTCTGTCGTCGCTGGTGTCGTCGGCACCTTCCACGCACACCGTAGACTCCATCTCCAAATCAACTATTCTAGATGGACCTTTCATCCTCTTCAACACGGGCACCACGCATCAATCCAGCCCCAGACAACACATATCCTCCTTCGGCCACCCCCTGGTCGTGATGTCTCACCGCCACCGCAACAGCCATGCGCATTCCCCGAGACCAGGACCAATGACCAAAACCCAATAATTGATTTTACTGGCCCACCTCAGGAGCTTCGTAACTTCGGCCGCACTATACACCCGTCTGATCTCTCCGTCGACACCTGGATAGAGTCAGTCGAGGCCTTCGGTGCTTGCGTCGGAACACTCCTCAGCAACCCTCCGAGGATCATGACGCCCACACTACGCTTCGCGAGTCTCATGCCACGGCTGCAAAATATTCTTTTGATGGACTTGTGTGTACCATATATTGAATCCGTGAATGACATCTGACTGACCATGGCCCTGGACCTTAGCACTTCCCTCCGGCTAGCCGTCGAGGCATCTGCGAACTCGATTGGCTTTGTGCCCCGCGTCCCTCTTTACTCGATTGGAAGAATAGTTTCTCTCTTCCAGCGTCGTAGGGATTATGCCGGCAGTTTTGGTTTATCCCATCCGTCGCTTGGCGAGGCAAACACCTTCCAAGTCCTCGACGTCAACATCCTCTTCGACTTGGAAGACCTACGAAGAATTCTCCGAGCCCCACCGATTTATCTAGGAATCGGCGCATTTGCTTTCCCCTATAGTGCAGGAGGGGTATTCACGATATTTGCCGTGCCCTGCAAACAGACCGAAATGGAGACCTTCAAGGAACTTGTGCATGACGCTGAATATGTAGGATACACGGTTGAGCTCGTCTGCCTGGCGAGCCACGCGAAGTTCTTCAGACACATGGCGGATATAATGATAGGGGTTAATCTGGTTATTATGGAGGATCTGGTTGAAGAGTATGTGGGGGGGCCAGACAGGGTTGGAAGGAAGGCGAGCAGCGACTCGGTCGATACCTGCGTCACGTGTTCCTGTGCCGGAGAGAGTGTAGCAGACGATTAATTAAGCAGTATACAACCCCAGGCTCGGCTCCGATGGACAATCAGCCCGCAGCGCGGATGTAAAGGGTAACACATACATCGCACCAGTGACACCGGTTTGGACAACGGAGCAATGTGCGCCTCACTGTTTGGCATCGCTCGGACTTGGAGAATTCTCACCGACATCGTCGGAATCAGCCGCGGCGCAGCGGCGATTCTTCGCTTTCAGGGCTGACGCCGTATAAAGTTGCGTAATCCAATTCGATTAAATCATTAACACACCAACAGTTCCCACATACCCTCCCTGTAAAACGAGCTTGAAGTGAGCTGCATCCTGCCTTACGTGACATCAGCTGACGTTGACCAGATGTCATTCTCTTGGTTCCGCCATCAACCCAGCCCTGAAGCTTCCTCTGCACCTGCTGAGCCGGTGGTCACATCCCAGCCTATCGCGATGAAATCCATGTCCACCGCTGAGCCTCCGGAAGAGGAGAGGGAGACAGTACAGAGATTGAGGGGAGGGTGTGCTGTGAGTGATTGTCGTTGAATCGGGATCGAGATAACACTGACGAGGGACGGCAGGAGTGCTGCTGCTGCGTCTTACCTCTTCCTTGTTGCTGCTGCTGCTAAGGCGCGCCCTGTGCATGCACCTATGGACGAGGAAAGAGTATGGACTTACGTCATCTGACGATACATTACTCTACAAGGACTCGTTCATTGTTATACTAGGACTCCATGCATGAATATACCCCCATCATACCTATTGTTTCATACGTCGGCTCCGAGGGACGGCATGTGACGTCACCACTTTCACTCGTAGCCCAAGCTGCGCGGGCTTGGTACGGCGGAGCATCATCGGCTGCGTGCTGGCAGGATATAAACCGGTGGTGCTCCAATTCCGCCCTTGGATACCAACACCCTCGACCGACCACCACCAAAGACCACTGAGACCGCTGAAGGTGAGCCAAAAACATCCTGGAGGAAGGGCATTAGCTGACATGTTGCAGATGTCATTCCCCTGGTTCCGTAGCCAACCTACCCCTGAAGGCCCTCCCGCAAGGCCTGTGCGCGTCACTTCCCAGCCTAGGGCGATGAAGACCATGTCTACTGCTGAACCTACGCAAGAAGACAGGCAGACGGCGCAGAGACTGAGAGGTGGATGTATCCCTTGTCCTGTGAGTGCTGTCGGTTGATTGGGAGTGGAAGAGTGCTGATGTGATATGGGATTAGGATGGGGGTTGTTGTTTCATTATCCCGCTTCCCTGCTGCTGTTGATCTGTACGCCGAAGGACTCTCTTAGGGACAAGGAAGGAGGACAGATTCATGTCCCGTCTCCGTTCATTGTATCGCTAGCACCCGACTCCATGCATGAATTATATCCCTTACCATTGCCATCATTTCCTGTTCACGCGTATACAAGCTGGATTTCCGCAGCGTTACATGTTTAGCCAAGATTATTGAATGTCATTGTGGATATCTCTATAGAATATGATGCTTGGTACACTTAGATGGGTTGGTTCGTGCCCGCTTCAGCACCTACTTTCAATCTTTACGCTCTCCCTTCCCCAACACTCCTACAGCACCGGTCCACGACCGGCCCCAGGCATCCCGGCCGTCCGCTGATCGATCCATTGCGCCACCCAATCGAAAATCAACCATAGCGCACCATGGGTCATACAGCTCCTAATTGCTGATATTCCCAGTCCGCGATACAACCTTCCTATGCCGACTAGTAATGGTCGTGGGTGTTCGGCGTCTGGTCCACGGATCAAGCGCTGGAAGGTTACCCAGACTGTGCGATAGGGTTGGTTGGCGAGGGCGCGCTGTTGGATCTTGGTCTTGACGACGTCGACGGGGTAGATGATTGCCCATCTAACGAAGGGGTGAGAGACAGTCATGAAGAGAGAGAGGAAGCACGTACGACGTGACGCCTGCCACAGAACCGCAGAAAAAGGGAATAAGGGCAGTTGGGACGGGTAACCAAGATGGAGGTGGTCCTTGCTCGCCACTGATAGATCGACCCATGAGATATCGGAAGCTGTCGTATTCCAAGAAGTACAGTGACGTCCCCATCGTATCACGAACTATGCAACCGCATGAGCTAGACTAGTTCTGCACATGAACACGGCGCATATACGTACTAAAATGCATCCTAAACCCCTGATAGAGTCCCAACACTCCTTTTTCTTTGACGATTTGCATGACGGCCGACCAAGTCCCGGGCGGTTTATCAATGGTGAGGCCCCTGGCCTGGGCGATCGCGTATTCCAGCTGTCGCCTAACTTTCACGATCTCAAACGGTGCGCTCCCAAAGCATATGCTGCTTCCGCTCGCAGCGCCTGCTACCGCCCCGGTGAACGCGACATCCTTGAGAGAATTGCCAGCCAGTATCCCCTTTCGGTGTACATACTCCTTCGTACCGGAGTAGATCGTGAAACTAGCGGTGCGGACGATGGAGATGGTGAGCAAGGGGATCCACACGCCACGGAAGAACCCGCCAATGCCTTCTTCACGAAATACGTTGGTAGCGAGTAGGAAGGGTGTTACAGGCGTGCGTGCAGCTTGCAGACGCGACTTGAGGGAGTCGAGCGGGAAACCGAGGAGTGTCGATACGAGAGAACCCACAGTAGCGCACACTGCGGTTCGGTTATCTGGGCGAAGGTTAGACACGTCTGACGATAGGAGAAGAGGAAGACGCACTTAGGAGAAAGTAGTTGAATCCATCGTTCATCCTTTTGCTGTCCCATCGGTATGGGCTTATCGGGCCGGGCTTCGCCGCCGAGCCATCGCTATGCCGCTCAGAGTCAACCACCGCCGGCGCACAGAACGAAGAACCTCACCTATCACGATCCATACACTATGCCCCTCAGGGCTCCTTTGAGGAATACGTGGTGGTAGGTGCTAGAAGAGTGGGACGAGAAAGGAGTCTGTGGTGGCCGACGGGCGCCAGCTGTGCGGGCGTTAAAGCGGTCGATGATCGTGGTCTGCCGGGCACAGCAGCGTGGGTGTCTCTCGGCAGTGAGGTAGCCGGCGTAGATATAAATATGAGTGGAGATGGAGCGTTCACCAGAGGTAACAAGTAAAGTGACTCAACCGCGCCGGCGCTTGATGAAGTTGTTGTGGTTGCGAAAAGGCTTGCCCGGTGGGTGGTGGGAGGCAGCTGGCTGGCGCTGTGATAAATTGCAGGCACTTCGCTCCCTTACAGGTGGCGGTGAAGCAGAAGCATCGGACAAGATCGGATTAGGTGTCACCTTGGGTGGAAACACATGACATCACGTGATTAAATAGCTTTATACAGCGACAATCGCTAGTAGCAGTATGATACAGGGAGAAGAAGTCTAGAAGAATAGAATGAGCTCGTGTGAGGCACGGGCGAGTTAATAGTTCACTCGATGCAGCGCACCACCACCTTCCCCGCCGGTTTCGACTCTGTCAAAGCCATCGCCTCGACGATTTGTTCCATCGGGAAAGTCTTGACGATAACCGGCTTAAGCTTCCCCTCATCGGCAAACTTTGTCAAGACCTCCATATCTTCCCTACTAGAGAGGGCGAAGAAGCTGTCATAGTGCAACCAGCTCGGGATCCACAGGCGTCGATACCAGTCCATGATGTTCAGGATGATTGCCAAATACCAGGGAAGCTTTGTCTCCCACCCCTCCTCGCACTTTGCCGCACTGGGAGGTGTGAAGATGGAGATGATACTTGGTTTTCCCGGAGTGCCAGGTGCGGGCTTCTTCATATATCGCACGTATGTCGTGGGTTTACCGAACTGCTCGAAGACGAAGTCCACCGAGTGAGCGGGGATGACGGACGCAGGGTCAACTTTCTTGTAGTCGATCACTTCGTCCACATCCTTTATGTGCTCCTTCACAAGCGCGACTTTAGAAGTCGACACAGTCGTGATGGTATGCTTGAAACCAGCGTACGGCTTAGCCAGCTGGAGAGCGAGGTGCCCCACACCACCCATTCCCCCGGGAATGAAGGCGATATCCCTAGGACCGTTATGCCGCTGGAAGGTCTGGATGCAGGTGATACCAGCTACAGGGAGACAGGCGGCTTCTTCGTGCGACAGAGATTTGGGCTTTGGTGCGAGGTGGTCCGAGGGGAGGAGGACGTACTCAGCCAGGGTCGCTGAGAGTTGTTCAGCGCGGTTCGATCTGAAGGAGGGGAATATTCATACCCATATCCTGTATGCTGCAGCCACCATACACCTCGTCTCCCTCGTTGAACCCAGAGTCTTTCCCTGCTTTCACGACGATGCCGCTAGCCTCCGCGCCCATAAGCTGCGGAATAGGCTTGTCCCCAATGATCCGCAGGCGACCAATAACACCCGCATAGTCCAGCGGGTTGAGGCTGACGGCGTGAACTCGCACGAGGACTTTGCTCGAGGTGGGGTCGAATTTGGGTAGGGGGACCTCCATGACTTTGAGCACCTTGGCAGGATCGCCGTACGCTGTCTGCACGACGGCTTTCATCATGCTTGGGAGGGCCATTGCGTTGGATAGTTTTGAAGTGATTCGAAGGAATGTGTCATGCGCATGGTCAGCGCGATCTGCTCTTTATACTCCCAGGTGACCCATGGCAAGAACGTGGGGGTACCAGTCTTGGCGGTGTGTCTATCTTGGGAATGGACGAGCCTAGGAGAAGCACGCGTCACCAGGCCCAAAAAGAGAGTTCTCCGATCACGTACCCAGCAAGCCCCATGAAATGCAAGTGAGGGTTACTGGTAGGACGAGGTCACGTTCTGAGAGAGGGCCGCCTCAAATGATCATAACAAGCCTCCGATTGTCACTGGTCGACATAATCCTAGTTCAGTCCACACCGTGGCCCTATCCCCCACCTTCACGGAGATACTTGGCCGCCCATGTTTTTCGTGGAAGTGGCGATCCCCCATGAGTGGTCAACGTAACCAATCACAGGTTGGCGGAGCTTGAAAGTGTTCAAGTTTCCAGAGAGGAATCGGCGCGATCATAGCCACACAGTACACATTTTGCTTAGGTATCAAACATTGCTGTGTAACTCGTATTATATCCTGCTTTTTCGGGTCCGCCTTCGTGTGGCCTTGTGCGCTCCAGACAAGCGAGCGCAAACATGGGACATGGGGGGAACGAGCGGGGCGACAACCGCCGAAGGTGCTAATTTGTGCACGATCGGAAAAATTGCGATCAAATAGCATAATGCTTGGCACTCTCGCGATATCTATACTCAATTCCGCGCGCTCTTGGTGCATTATATTCCAGAAATTCCTTCTTCTGAAATAGACCAGTCAAAGGCGCTTCAGACGTCATGCACTCCTTCATCCACTCTAGGACAAACTCGGCCTCCTCGATCTCACAGAGGCATTCCCACAGCCCCATGCGGTCCTCTCTCTGGCCATAAGACAGCTGATCGCGGATGCGGCCACGACCAACGTCGATGAGGCTGGCACGACCAAAGTCGATGATAACGTAGCGCACTGGATCAGTCCGAAGCTGCAAAACGTTGCTCGGTCTGAGATCGCCATGATTGACGCCAAGCGCGTAAATGGCATAGACAGCATCTACAAGGCTAATCATCTATGACATCAAATCAATGAATGGCTACCATCGGACGCGACAACACTCACACTGCGACGTCGCTCCTCACGGGCGACCGGTAGTTCCCAGGTGCCATCGCGCATGCTCTTGTAGTCGTGCACAAGGGGTGTTCCGTCTATATATTCCATCACATGCCCTTGAACCATTTGATTACCTGGAAGGGTAAACTGTATAAGAAGTGAATGACGAGTCGAAAGGGAAACATGAATGTTTTACTGTATAGAACCCGTATGACTTAGGGATTATCTTCCCCTGTATACTCTCCATTCTAGCGTAGGCCTGTGCCTCTCTTCTGTAAAGTCCAGTTGCTCGGCATATTTCTGGTCCTTCGCAGAAAGAGTCTGGTTTCGGGAATAAGCCTTCTTGAACGAACTTTGCGACGCAGTCTGCTCCTTCGCTTTCGCGCAGTGGGCGCCGCTGGGTGAGCCAAACCTGCGACCAGCAATTCGGTCCGACGTGCAAGCCTCGAATAAGCTTAAGCATTACGCAAGTCGATGGTTTGTAAAGTGGGTGCGGCTCTGAAGGGCTTGCAATGCCGGGTTGAGACGCGGGCTCGCAAACATCGTCCAGCTGCTCGTCTCGTACCCCAGTGATAGTTATCTCGGGTGAAAGGGGATGCTCAATCGCCAATTCCTTTCGTTCGAGCCAGAATCCTTGTTTCTCCTTTTCTTGCTGAAAGAGGTCAAGACGGGCGTTCTGCGTCATCTGCGGGTGAGCTGAGGAGGCAAGTCTATCGCGTGACTCCCGCGTCATGCAATTCTGCTTACGTAATGAGCAGAGGTGTGAGGAGTCATACGCACGGGGAACGACAAAGGGGATATGTTCATTACAACTTCAAGATCATACATTAGAATAAGCAGTTCTATTGATCACAATGACCAGTAACATAAACGGAGAAATCAATCCATCGCTCATTGCAATACCCGAATAACCACCTTTCCGGCCGGCTTGCTCTCAGCCAGGGCAAATGCCTCGATCGTCTGATCCAACTCGAACACTTTGTCAACAATAGGCCTGACCTTGCCTTCCTCCGCCAGTTTCCTCAGGACCTCCATGTCCTTTCCACTAGGCACAGCAGAGATGCTGTCGTAATGCACCCACCCGGGGATGGTGAAGCGCGTCCGCCAGTCCATCACTGTCAGCACGGCTGTCATCCCCAGCCCGAGCCGGGTTTCCCACCCTTTCTGTGCCTTCTCAGCATTGGGAGGAGTCATGATAGAGACAACGCTGGGCTTGTCATTGCCGGTGCCCTTCTTGAGGTAGCGGATATAGGAGCAAGGCTTGCCGAATTGATCAAGGGCGAAGTCGCAGGAGTGGGCGGGAATGACAGTTTCAGGGTCAACAGTCTTGTAGTCCATCACTTCGTCAACATCCTTGATATGTTCTTTGAGTGCGGCTACTTTCGAAGTAGAAACAGTCGTGATAGTCTTCTTGAAGCCAGCCCAGGGTTTCGCGAGCTGGAGTGCCATGCTCCCTACCCCTCCGAGACCACCAGGAATAAATGCGGTATCCTTCGGCCCAGAATGACACTCGAACACTTGCATCGCCGTGCAGCCAACCATGGGTAAGCATGCTGCTTCTTCGTGAGTCAGGTTTTTAGGCTTGTGAGCACAGGTGCTCGCGGGTATGACGCAGTACTCTGCCAATGACCCTGCAAAGTCGCGTCAAGCTTGGAAACCTAGATTATCCGAGAACGGCAAACGTACCACGGTGCCTCATCTGCAGGAAGCCATACACTTCATCGCCCTCCTTGAACGCGGCAGCCTTTCCAGCCTTTACGACTACTCCACTGACATCCGAGCCGACAGCAAAAGGCATTGTGTCCGTCCACGCCACACGTAGCTCTCCCTTAAGGATCACAGAGTCGAGAGGGTTGATGCTGACCGCCTTGACGCGAACCAGGAGATCATCCGAGTTCTCGTTCATTGTCGGAAGTGGGACGGAAGTGACTTGGAGCACTTTGGAGGACTCGCCGTAGGCGGTCTGCATGACTGCTTTCATCGTTTGAGTCGACATGTCGTGTATGAGTATGTGGTATCGGTAGTAGTTTAGTGAGGAATTGTTGAATGAAGATCTAGGGATATCGCGTCCCGGTATTTATAGGACCCAAGACGGACATTTTGGTTCTTGGATTCCATGGGAACATCGAAGTTAGCAAGCCGGCATCCACGATGCTTGGGGGTTGTCATGCCGGAGTTCCCCCGACGCTCTCGGTCCATGAAAGCAGTGGTTTAAGGCTATGCAATCCGTAAGACCCTTCCCACGAAGATCGATTCTGGTTCGAACTGATATCCCTATCGTGATGTGTCATCGTTGAAGCCTAACGGACGCATCAGGTCGATGCACCTTACTCCGGCAAAAGCTCTTCAGGTGGTGTGTCCGCAGTCTACACTGACCGTCACGCAGTCTGGACCGAGTTGTAACTCGGGAATCGCAAACAGGAACGATACAGTACCAATATTCGGCGAGAATGCGGAGTTGTAGACTGTACAATACTTCAACTCTCCCGGTCCATTCTCGCCCAGGAATTCTCCCACAGCCGAGTCGAAACCGTCAGGTGAAGTTCACATCAGAAGGTATGATAATTACCGCAGAACGTCAAACAGCGAGGATGTAAAATCAAGGCACCCAAACGAGTGGAAAATAGTTGCGGAAATCCTTCACACGTTTATTCGGATTATACCATAGTACCTTCAACCTTCAATACGGACCACCACCTTACCCGCAATGTTTTGTCTCGGCAAACGCAATCGCTTCAATCGCTGGTTCAGTGAGAAGACCTTGGCTGTAACGGGCCTCAGTTTGTCTCGATCAACAATATCAGGCAAGATCTTCATATCCGAGCCTTTGGGCAAGGCAAAGAAACTGTTATAGTGGATCCATCCCGGGCTCCGCATACGGAGAGACCAGTCCATGACACATGTGCCGGTGCCCGTCTCATTAAATTTCAGCTCCGTTCTGGGCGAACTCGCGTGAGTAAGGCCTAGGAAGATTGGTGCTTCCTTCCCATGAGAGCGTGTTCGCTTCTCAGAGCAAAACATTGAGCAAAGATGTCGAAATGTTCCTCAATTGGCCCGCTTTGCGTTCGTCCTTGCCTGCTGTCTGGGTGCTCATGGAAGAACAGATTGGTGCCGCCGACGAAAGTCGATCCGGCCCGTTTCATACTAACAGCATTGACGTGGAGGCGAAGTATGGCGGAATCTTGGTAAACGGAAACCAGAAGGATAGATACGACTCTTAGTGCGCCCTCCAGTGCCCAAAGGTCCATATCGTTTGAGAATATGTTGCTGTAGCAAGGAAAACGGAATCGTCCAGAAAGAGATCATTCACTACAGAGTGGTAACGGTTTGCCAGTTGTGGTGTATTGCCATCTGGAGGGAGAAGAGGAGGACAAGCGTTCGTAGCGTATCAACAGCCGGATTGAGTCCTTCCATGATCAACATTTTGGTGGTCCGTATTGTGTCCACTAGGGAAACCGCGTGGCCATCTCATAACAGATCTTACCTGTGAGGCTGACAGAGGCTAGAGCACAGAATGGAAACCAAAGGCCTTGCGACACTGCGGTATTCGTGGGACGACTATCGCTGGTATTAGAATGTAGATTATAGTACATACGATTTGCAGGATACTTGAGACACATCTTGAAAAGTCAACGCCCAAACATCGTAGATTTGTCATGGAACAATGAGTCAGCTTCCCGTTTTAGGGAGATGGTGGACTCGATCAACATAAAGATGTTCCATTATCCACGGCAGACAAAGCCTTCATGGAGCAATACAGAATGTCGCCATGGGTCAAAATCCGGCCATCCTTTTCTTTGCCGCTTTCTTCCTCGCTAGTCTCGCCTCTGGGCGCTCACCAAATGGACCACGTACTTGCTGTGTACTCGGCCACAAGTCTTGGGATGATGGCGGCAGCGCTGCAGCGAGACGTGGATATCCGAGCTGAGAGAAAGGAGCAGGAGGAGGAGAGCTAGGGAAAGCCCTGCGAGAATGGAAAGGCTGCGTGCTGGATATTGCTCCACTCTGAACATTTGGAATGACAAGTGACTGCGAGCTTGGTACTGCGACAATGGCAGGGGGGCCACCCGGTCCGGCTTGAGAGACGGAGGCTCCTCCAATACCCGGATGATCAAAACGATCGCCCTGTCGTGGGGTACGAGGCTGGCGCGGTTCATGCTCCGCTACGCCGTAAGGGTCGACGTATTCGTAATCTTCTGGCACAGAGCCTGGCAACCACTCGCTTAAGAGAAGACTTGCTCCCAGACTCGCTTTAATTGAGTTCGTGTGCAAAGCAAAAGGTTCGTCCAGTCGAGAACGTGGCGTTTGCAAATCATCAACGCTCGGCCTTTCGCGGGGTCGTAGGTGGCCGAACACTGGTGCAGGCAATGTTGGATTCTCGAGCGACAAGGCCATAGTCGCACTCTCAAGATCTTGATATTCTCGCCTTGAGGACTGTGGGGACTGAAGAACCTCGCTGAAGTAGACGGTGTCGGAAAGGCCAAGATCAAGGGCTAACATGCTGGCGGCTGCAGATTCTCTAGCGGGAGGTATTAGGGGAGGTTGCTTGATGACCGAGTCCTTCAAAAGGTAGGTAATAGGATCGATCTGTTCAGCAACATCGTTGTTGGTCTGCCTAATAAACGCAGCATGCGAACATGACCATGTAGCTGACTGGGACAAGCTCATGTCCTTTACTTTGTCCAAGAGGAACTCCGCTGGCGCTGGAACGCGTGAGAGGGAACTTTCCGTGAGGAAGTCCGACCGTCTGCGAGAAGGATGGTGATCTACAGACAGAAACGCTAGGTCGAAACTTCGGAGGAAAGTTAGTGATAAGGAAGAACGTGAAGATGATTGACATACTCCGTCAGAACGTGCTCGAATGGGACGTCGTGTCTCTGAACAACAGTGGGCATTTTCTGCAAGACCTGCGCAACTTCTTGCAATGCGTCCTTCGCAAGTGGTAATTGAGCCGGTCTACATAATGCGGTCTCGTAAACTTCGCGTAAGTCCACGATTATGTTTGACCGTTCAGCGAAGGGCCCTAAGTCTTCCGCGAGCTTTAAGGCGTCTTCGTCCAGCTCCTGCACGTCATCCAACCAGTGAACACTTACGGCCCCATGAGTTGATTGGGCGCTGGGAGATCCCAGAGTTCGGGTATGTATGCTGCCTCGCTCGGACATGTCAAACATAAGTCCCGAACGCTGCCCGGTGGCAGGTAGAACAGCAAATCCGGCGCAGTCTTCCTGAGTTACACTGGATGGGATGACATAAGGATTCGTTTTCGTCTCAATCATTCCTTGAGATAGGAGCAGGTCATAAACCGTTATAAGCGAATGAGACCGCGACCACAGAAACACCAACCGCTCTGTCTAAGATCAGCAATTGTTATCAATGGACCTCGCTACGACACACCAGAACTGTTGCCAATAGTCTGCGTGATGAGGCCGCGATCCCAAGCACGACGATGTTTCCAAGTCAAAAGAGGCCGCCCAGTGAAGCGCGTGTCTAACCAAGAAATTGTGTTGGTTGAGGTCACACAGATGAGTTCTGGGTTATGCATGACTTCAATATTTGTGATCATGTCACTCTCATCTTCCGGGATATCATAGAAGGATGTAAACAAGGGTGCCTGGAAGGATATTAGTTTCACGATATGTAGAACTTGTTGACCAGCATACCCGGAAATCAAGGTGCTGTAGGCGTTTACATCCCGCAAGCACAATCTGCTCTGGATTTGAAAGGATAGCAACTTTATGGAATCGGTCTTGCACTAAACTGCCCTCCACAGTCTGCGGACTGCTTCATGTCAGGACCGAGATGGGTGACACGTGGAAGGATCACTCACTATGCAGCCAACTGTTCCGTGGACCAACGGTGTACGGTTCCTCCATCGTCTACCACCACGACATTCAAGTCGGGAGATGGAGCAATGGCGACGTCGACATGTCGGCGCCCACTCGTGTGCACTGACGTTAGCTCCCCCAAGCTCTCGACTACTACATCATTTGGCCTCTCCCCTCGAATATTGACTTGGAAGATGTGAGTACCAGAAATGGTTCTCACTCCAAGCAGATTGTTGTTCCCCGCATCTTCGGTAGTGTCTTTGAATGCGACCTGCTGAATCGGAGTGTCCATAGTTTTGACTGGGGTAGCGTGCGGCATCATTGTCAGATCGTTTGACTCTTCTTCGTGTAGTATGGACGTAACGTCTATGACCAGGATGAGATAGGCGATAGTGAAAAAGACAGACTTCGTACTCAACGACTGCATGTTGTATCCCATCGCCCACGCTAGATACCCATATCCTACGGACTTCCCCGTGGTCGTAGAAGCGGCCATTCGGTTACCACGGTACACATCGAATGGACTTCTCAAAAGGACCTTTCGGTCTGCTGTGATCGCATTCTCGAGCAGGTCCGTCGGGAAGCCCATGACGTCTGGATAGTGCGAATACATGAATTGGAGCTATAAATACTAAATCAGGGGTTACAAAAGCGAATGAGGTAGTCTTGCTTACTGCATCGTCTGCTGTAGTGTGAGCAGTAAGTCCAGGGGCAGTCGAGACCGGTGGAGCCGTAGATGGAAAGACTTTGACCACAGATGCAGTGTCGGTTGACCACCGCTCTTCTAAACAAACATGAGAGGAGCAAAATATGTTGTGATAGGCCATACCTTGAGCTGCAGGTTCAGCTGCAAACTTCCATTGCAGTCGACCATCCTGAGAGCGTCTTAGCGCGGCGACTCCTCTGGAGCCAACATCGAGCGCATTCCTGCTTTCTACCGATTTGTTTCCATCGCTCTTTCTGTTACCCGACTTCTTGTCTGCTGCGACCTTAGGTCGCAGGTCGAACGTCCAGCTTTCCATGCCATGAGACGCACACAACGAAGAAGAAAAAAAGCGGTCAGTCGGTGATGGTCGCTTGATCAAAAGGGCGTTAGGCTACCCGCATTCGAAGGCCCTGATGACATGACCTGGCTGACTCACATCTCCCACAATAACGCCTTCATATATCTTCTTTCGGTCAACTATCTGAAATCCCGCAATCTGGGGCGGTCTTTGTTCGGCGCGGCTGCTGAGATGCGCTATCATATTTCGACAAATGCTTAGAACGAGTCCGACAGATGATCTAGCGTAGATGTGTACAACTATACAAGTCCGTAGAAAAGTATGGTAGAGCCCATGTCCCTCATCATGTGAAATGTTCTTATGACACTCCGTCCGTCCCGTTCGCTTTCCATTATCCTCTTCAGCGTTTGTGTTTCCAGCCGTCCTCCTCTTCTGTGATAGCTTATTCGGATAGCCTTTCAAATCCCACCACCGAGGATTTGGCCTATTACACCCTTTAGACAATGCATTAGCGATGCTAGGTGGGAAAAGAGAACAAAAAAGGCTCACTTGGACTTCCGACTGTGTAAGAGGGCATGCAAACCCTATCGAGGAGGAGATCGTTGGTGAGATTTGTGCGAACAAAATCTTCAGGGCAAGCTATTTGACAATCAACACCTGCGGCAGCACTCAGAAGCTACAATACACTCACAGTGATGGAGAAGTCGACATTGATGTTGCTCTGTTGTGCACCGTTGTAGCCACAGCTACTAGCGATACCGGTCAGGAGGGTCAAACTTGGGTCCGCAGTCGTCGAATAGTTCAGCGTGATAGGGAACGCCAATGTGGTTGCAGTATTGCTCCCGAACTGCACGTTGGTGAGATTTCCACCTCCCAGCTGGGGAGTGAATCCAGGGAAAAATATCTTCGCAGTTATGCTGTTGAAATCGACACCAAAGAAGTTCGGGTTGCGTACGGCGATGTTCAAGTCGAGGTTGACAGCGAAGCTAGAGGCGCTGATCTGCTGGAACGTCTGTCCGTTGGCAGGAGTAGACACGCCGTTGAACTGAACATCGGGAGGGCGGATGAACACAGCAAGACTGAGAATAACAGCGAGAAGGATGAAAATGAAGGAAAGAAGGAAACAGCCAAAGAAGCGGCAGCATGAACGTAGGCCACCTCCCTGATCATTGTGTCAGTAGAGGACTTTTCCAAATTAATGATTGACACACTCTAGTCCACTGCTTTCCTCTCCCATGCTGTCTCCATATCCTGAGCATCCCCGTATCTCTGTTGGAAATGTAAGCGAACATCTGCGGCCGTCGATATCCACTCACTTGGGTGGTGGCCCTACACTCATCCTCGCCTCAGCGAACTTCTTCTCTCGATCATAGGGAGGCCGGCTATAATCAGTATATCCTGCCTGCCCGCCTGGATTATCTGTATATGGCTGCTGGTCGTATGTTGGGAAGCGTGGCTGGTGCTCGTACGGGTTGAACTCCTGAGCGTCATTGTAGTTCGGCTGGTTTGAGGCTTGCGGCGGGTACTGCGGTTGGCCAACGTAGTTCATGTTATACCCCTGATTGGGTGCAGCGTACGGGTCGTTGTATGCCATAGTCACTGTTCAAGGAATGACAGAAGAAATAAAAATCAACGGTGAAAGCAGGTGTGGTCGTCAGTCGTATAGAGGTGGTGTGGATCAGGCGCGCAGCGCCCTTGTTGCTGTTTCGGGCAAGATGCGGTGCTCGGGAATGCACAGCTGACGTGCCCACATTAGCGCTAGCACTGGGCTTTCATGATCAGTCACCTCCGCCCGTTGAATGCAAAAACAGTATGGCCTGATCTCAAGGTTTCCCGGCGCTTACGTCAATATGGTGTTAATGGGATACTACCTTTACTTTTGAGGGCTCTCACATTAATTATTATGAACAAGGGCTCAAATGTACTATATTGCCCTGTGGGTCACTTCTCGTACAAGTCCAACACAAAAGACTCCCTCCTGCGGGTGATTTCTGCCCTAAATCCTGCTTTTGAGCATCGCTCTGCCAGCTCAACAGCAGACGACGGTAGATGCGATCCCATGGGTCTCAGGGGTTCTAGAATCGGGACTGCAAACGAAATATACCACTTTCCCTCTGACTTGGGCAACGCCTCCAACGCGGTACTGAGCCATTTCTCGTCCAATCCACTCAAAAAAGAGGCGATCCTGAATTGTCGCAACGGTGAAAGTAAGGCACTGAACACGCCGAGACCCTTTTAGCTCGGTCCATAGAACATTGGGCTGTCCCATTGCTTCTGCAAATAGGTAAAAGACCGGAGCCTCGTGAATTTGGGCAATAATGTTTCTAGTTCGTAGCCTTCCACGTGGGACCTTCGCCCGACCCGTTGTATCCTGAGTGAGACTAGTGTATTAGAAACGTAGGATAGTGCTTCGGCGAAACCAGTATCGGTATAACTGCCGAACAGGATGAACCCGACCTGCAGCTCCTCGAGTTTCGGGGTACTTCGTAGGATTGTTTTCAGTACCGCATCGCCGAAATCTACGTCGTGAAGTATCAAGGATTTGAGTTGCCCCATCTCAGGGAACTGTGCGTCGTCTGGGAGTTGACTTTTCATGGAGAGGTTGACCACAGTGATTGACTGAAGGTTGGACGCTGCTTCAGCCAGTCTTGCAAGATGAAGGTAGTTGAGTTCAAGTGTATCCCGCTCGCTCGGAATTGTTCGAAACGTGAAGCTTCGTAATCGTGTCGCCTGTGCCATGGCATGGATGACTTGATCCAGGTCTTGTTCGTTTCGCCAAATACGGACGCACAACGTTAACTGCTGAACGCGCGGGCAGGTGTTCAAGCAAGCGGTTGCGAGTTGAAAAATTTGCCCTTCTAGTTCAAGTCGCTCATATGGCGGGTCTTCAACTGAGATTGAAAGAACGGAATCGGTATATCGCTGAGGGGGAGTGCCTTGTTTTTGTGGATTTCCAGTAGAAGTGTTCCATGATTGAACCACCAGAGGCAAGGCAACCACTGCCCATAGTCTGGATACAAGGGCATAGAGGATGAGTTGCTGTTGAGCCTCCGCACGAGTAAGGTGCACTGAATGCCAGGGGCGACCTCATGCACTGATTTGGATCGTAGAAAAATATCTTCTAATATCTCAGGAGGCAAGGGTTTATGAACGGGGTTTGCCGCAGGTTTTCGCCGGGAAAGGGAGGGCAAATGTGGCAGAAGTGCATTAGTCAAGAAAGCCATTCAAGTTGATGGAATTACAGCGATCTCCAAGATGACACAGAGCGTCGCTTCAAATTAGGTTTCTTGAACATAAGCCAACGGGACGAGCTGCGGTGTGTTGGGATACAGTTGCAGTAAGAGTCATGCCTTGATCTCTCATGATGGTGACACATAACAAGTGCTGTGCCTGCAAGTGGCTGTTCCCCGAAGCGCCTGTTCAACAGTCACGAACCAGTCAGGGCCTTGAGGCGGCGGCCACGGGTGTCTATATATCATGACTGCTTGCTCTTCTTTGTCCTGTACATACCGATCATGGCCGATACTCTCGCCGTCGATGAATCCCACGATATTCTCATGGACTCACCAGGAAAGCGAAAACGCGACCCGGACGCTGCAGAGTCCGACAACGGCGACAACGTTGGTGAATTGGACGAAGAGATGACATGTGGTAGGTCTCTTCATGTGTACCCACGATATGGTATTGATTACGGGTACGAAGGTGTATGCATGGATATACTTGAGAATCCGTACTCCATTATACCCTGTCTGCATTCGGTTGACTACGAGTGTCTGGAGGAATGGTGGAAGAGGTATTTCTCCCTTTACTACGCTTGCCCTGCGCTAACACAATGCTAGTCACGATACCTGTCCAGTGTGCGCTTCCCCAGCCAAGTTTGCGAAACGTTCGTTCCAGCTGCGCGCTATCCTAGAGAAGTACCTCGCCACACGCCCAAATAAGCGTCGTGAACTTGATCCGGATGCCGTCCCCCCGTCACAGGGAGCCACGCCAGCTGAGCTTCGACCGCGAGGCCGAAATGGTGATATAATGGATGACTTTGAGGACGACGAAGAGGCAGAGGAGGAAGAGGGGGAGCTTGACAACCCCGATGTGGGCCGGCTTGTGTGGCCTTGTTTCTGCTGCGAACCCGGGAATAACTTTGGTCACGTCTGCCCTGATCCCATTCCCGAGCCAACTCAAGAGGAGAAAGACGAAGCTCAGGAGCTGAGGGGGCCAACAGCCACAGTTCCACCGGAAAGGGGACAATACATAGTGTTGATTTTGGAGGCACTCGCAAGGGGAAAGTATGTATCGCCCGCCGCACAGACAAACGATGCTGAATGATCTCAGACCCGGTGCAGACGCACACGCAGAATGCATCACCTGTCATCGGTATATTCCAAAGTATCGTCAGCCCGAGAAAGACCAATGTGCAAAGTGTGGGAAATGGTCATGTCGGCAGTACGATCCTCAAGGTTGCCCGGGAGGAATATTTGCGGACCTTGAGCCGCGAGACAGTACGTGCTGTCCTTTTCTCTTGCATGAATGTCCCTGAGTGTGTCCATGCAGATTGCGATTTTCCGCAAGCAGGCTTCTTGGCATGGTGGAGCATCGGTAATTGTTGGCGCAATATGCCGAATCGACCCATGTCCATGAACCAGTACGAGCTCCAGGTCCTGGAAGGTCATGCTACGACGGCTGCCCTTACTGCGCCGATACTTTTTTCCACGATATGCAAAGCAAAGCTGGACTCCATATTGACCGATGCAGAATCGTCCGAGCAGGCAAAAGTAGTCGCCAAACGTTGCTGGGGCGAAAAGGCTCATTTCTGTAACATATGCAGAAATGACATTTTGAGGGACGAGCTTCTGGGGTGGTGGATGAAGGAACGACCGTCTGCAAACCTGGATGGTAGGCTCAACAATTTCATAACCATTCTCATCTGAATATTCTTCAGCTGCAATCATGGCAAGACCTGATTGTTGGTACGGGATCGAATGTCGAACACAGGGTCACAATCACGCTCATGCTGGGAAGCTGAATGTCTGTGTTATTCATCATGTTCCCTCCAATAATGAGCTCATTTGTTTACCCAGCACATATGCGAGAACTCTCGCCCCCCGCAAGCGAATATTCCGGCTGTACCTGCCCCTCCGATACCTGCCGGCGCGGACAACAACGCTTTGCAGGCGCCACCTCACGTGCCATGAGGAAGGAATCCGCGCGTCGTGCCATGACAGGGTCTCACGAGCGTCTATTCTCGGAAGGTTGGTTGATGGAACGCAAATTAAAGCTGTACTGTATGATATCTGGATGTGCGAATAACACTGATAATTTTTACCCTAAGATGTCGTTCCAGCTCAATCTCTTATGTTGCGGTGCATGTCGTCCACAAGCGCAGGGTGGGATGTGCGGAAAAGGTGTTTTTCGTCCAGGGTCCAGTCCCTATGCTTGGCATCGCTGAATCTGGGGTTTCCTGCGGCGGAATTCCGGAGGCAATGACTTGCTTGATGGGGGTTGCTTGATGGGGGTTGCCTCGCACGTTGCTCAGTGGGTCACGAACACTGAGGACCGCCTTGTTATCTCGTACTTCCTGTGCTCAGCCTTACTTTCTCTTTCAGTCACGATCGGATGGGATCCACCCTGATTCGGAAATGAGGCGCTGCACCCTGAGCAACCGTGCCCTGAGTCTGAGCCTTTCTCACCGACTAGGCGGAATTTCTTCTGACAACCTGTAGGCCGCGTTGAGCGGGGCCACACATGAGGCGCTCCCACTACTCCACTGCTAAATACTACTTAAGAGGCGTCGTGCACTTGCTGAACCATACTCCCAAGTTTATTGACCACCACCCCATGCAAGATGGTTTCTTCTCTTCTCACTGCTGTCGCGTGTACGCTTGCCTTTCTCGGCGACACCCAGGCGGTCTTATTGCCGGTGACCGCACAATTTAAGCGCGGACCAAAGCCCGAGCGTCGCAGAAGCACCCAAACGGGCATCTTGACTCTTGGCGACCAGCATGATATCAGTTACGTCTCGGACCTTACTATTGGAGGGGAGACTTTTGTCGTGTCTCTCGATACTGGAAGGTATGAACACTTGCATCGCTCAACGCAGTGGCCTAATCTTCCTCGACAGTTCCGATTTGAACATTGAAGGGAATGTCCCCGGAGCAAATGATCAAAATGTACAAATCCCCGTCAGGTTTGCGGTCGGCGAGCTTGATGGTGGGTACATCCTTTATTCTCGATTTGAACAACATGCTCACAATTCGATCAGGCGTGATGTCATTTGTTGATGTTGAATTCGGAGGCTATTTGGTAAAAGATCAAATATTCAGTGAGTAGCCTCCAAGCCTCGGGTCAATCGTGCTGATAGTGGGCATAGATCACGTCCCTACCCAACAGAGCAGTGCTGATGACGGCCTTCTCGGACTGGGACCGTCTTACGCCTCTATCAACTGGAATACCGCCCAGCCCTACATCAAGGCTGGTCAACTACCTCACAATGCTGGCGATTCCCTCTTGGACCGTATTTTCCAGGCGTCCTCCAACACCGCCAATTGTATCGCTATCTATATGTCGCGAAACGAGGATCCCAGCTCGAGTAACGTTGGACAGGGAGTCTTTACCATCTGTGCGTGCAGTCCAAACAGCAGCAGGACGTATCGGCTGACGATGCGGTAGCTGAGGTTCTCACCCAATACAAGCAAGTTATGAACATACCTGTTCTTCCCGTCGTCCAATCGTCAAACATGTTGGAACAGCATTTCTCAGTTGTTCTTGATAGTGCAATTGGCAACAATGGCCAGGCTATATCCCTTCCCAAGTCATCCGTACCAGGTGTACCCGCAGGCAAGATGGTCACAATCTTCGATACGGGCTATACATTCCCTCAAGTTCCTGCTGCGATTGCGACTGCCATCTATGGCGGTGTTTCTGGTGCCAAACAGCAAACCTTGAGTGACGGAGGTGTCTGGTGGACGTTGCCATGCACCACGGAGGTCAACGCCGCGTTTGTCTTCGCCGGAAAAACATATCCGATTCACCCGCTCGACCTCAATTTCCAAGGCAATATCGTTTTCTCAGATCTTCCGCAAGGCACATGCGTCGGTGCTTTCCAGGCTATTACGAATGATGCCGCCCAAGCCCTCGACGGACAGGCGGATATGATTTTGGGCATGGCGTTCCGTACGTATAATAAATGTATGGTACATCTTCTTCGCTTACGAGCCTCACAGTTCGTAACGTCTACAGCTTGTTTAACTACGGCGACTGGATCGACTCCAATATGGACCAGCAATACGAGCCGTACGTGCAGCTGCTGAGCATCACCGATCCCACCACTGCGGCCAACGAGTTCCATCAAGTGCGGAGTGGTAGCTCTGCTTCTGGCGGTCTTGCTCAGGCCTCGCTCGACTTGTCCACCACTCCGGCTTCGTCACAGACAGTTAACAGCACCCTGGACTGGATCAAGTCGCATCTGTATATCGTCATCCCCGCAGCTGTCGGTGCTGTGATTCTCGTCGTTCTCTTGATCATTGGATGCTGCATCTGCTGTCGTCGCAGAAATGCCAAATCGAAGTATCAAAACCTCTCGGCACCCGCACCAGGCCATGGCCCTAGCCCGAACCCTGGACACTCCGCATATGCCTCGCCATATTCAGAAAAACGCTTCGATATGGGCTACACCTACGCGGCGAAGACCCCTGCACCAGCTTACGACGATCCTTACTCTAATCGAGGACTGCTCGAGAAGGGAGACGCTTAGTGGAGGATTGTGACGATTTCTCTTTTCCCTATTGGGCTTCGATATGAGGAGCATTTTCAAGGACTGTCCGGACGATTATCTCATAACAGTACACAACACCAACGACTGCTCAGTGCCTTTCATAGTTTGAGTGCGTAATTGACCACTTTCAAGCAAGTGAGATGTACAGTTTAAAGCAATCGTTCCGCAGAGGCTGTGCCTCCACTTCAACCAAACGTCTCTCGGCAATCGCCGAAATCGATGAGTCCCAGTGTGTTGCACCTAAACATCTATCCGCGGGAGTCCTGCCGTCATGCTTGACATCGATTATTGAGTCAGACTGAGTAGAGCTGGCGGTTTTACACATGAGCGCTGCTGATGAATACACAAAGGGGAACACACGCGACGACGTGCCTCCCCAAAAAATTGCCTCCGACGGGTTGTAGAAAAATTCCGTTGGCGCCGCACCAAGATCTCCCACTGGTCGTCCTTGAAGAGCGTGTATCGTACGCTCTTGCTCGTCAACCACCACCTGTCTCCTCTTTTACGACTTTCATCTCTCAATTTCTCTTTTCTCATTACGAGCGCTATACACCATGGCTACTGAAGCTGCTGCTGCTCCCCCTCAGATCCCCACCTTCAAGCTCGTTCTCGGTACGTAACCTGCAGTTTCGTCGCGTGCAACTTCCGCTGACCGATCTATTTCCTTCTTCATTCATTGGTCCATGCGTCGTTTTTCCACCTGTGTGTATGTGCTGTTCCATGATTCAATTATGTCTGCATAGTCGGCGATGGTGGTACCGGCAAGACGACCTTCGTCAAGGTATGCGCATTTAACCACGGCTTCGCGAGGCGCCTATTGATGACTCAAAACAGCGTCACTTGACTGGCGAGTTCGAGAAGAAGTACATTGGTTTGTGTTGATGAGATCGAATATTGCGAATGGTGCCGCTTACCGGATTTTAGCAACCCTCGGTGTTGAAGTTCACCCACTTCAATTTACCACCTCCTTCGGTACGATCTGCTTCAATGTTTGGGATACCGCTGGTCAGGAGAAGTTCGGTGGTCTCCGAGATGGGTATTACATCCAGGGCCAGTGCGGTATCATCATGTTCGACGTCACGTCTCGCATCACCTACAAGAACGTGCCCAATTGGTACCGTGATTTGGAGCGTGTGTGCGAGAAGATCCCCATTGTTCTTTGTGGGAATAAAGTGGACGTTAAGGTGCGTTTGCCGTTTGAAATTTCCTTATTTCTTGCTGATCCCATGTCACTTGCAGGAACGGAAGGTGAAGACCGGTGCTGTGACCTTCCACCGAAAGAAGAACATTCAATACTTCGAGATCTCGGCGAAATCAAACTACAACTTCGAGAAGCCGTTCCTTTGGCTTGCTCGCAAGCTGGTTGGCAACCCCGCCCTTGAGTTCGTTGCTGCTCCGGCTCTGGCTCCTCCTGAAGTCCAGGTCGACCAGCAGCTGATGGCTCAATACGAGGAGCAGCTCAAGAGTGTAAGTGCTATCCGTCCTCACGAATGGAGATCCCTGTTCACGCTTTGTTCTATAGGCTGCTGCTCAACCCCTCCCAGAGGATGACGACGATATCATCTAGACGTGTCTCCGCGGCTGTTCCTACCCTGCTTCCTTATCCCTGTATCCCCTCTTCTTACTCAGTTTATCACTCTCAACACCATCTCCCTCATCCCCCTCAATGATCGCCCAACATCGTCGTTCTTATGCTTCGTCGTGTGGCCGTATCATGTTACATGCGTTGCAATTAGTAGTGTTTATAGTGCCGGAGTAGCCAGGATGTCTTCCCAAGAATTAAACGACTATCGAGGCTGGTATAGCAATATGTGCGGGTACAGTGTACAGAACCATTATGCTAAACAGGGAGATATGGTAAATATGAACCCATCTAGAAAGCAAACTTGCGTCGGCGGCCAGTGTACTTGGAGTCTCTTGGTACTTCTGCCTTGCCCCGCTGGCGATACAGCTACAGATGGGAGGGTTAGACCAAACGAATACCGTCCGCATATGCATGACTCACCTCTTTCTTCCGCAAGATCCACTCCTTATCATGAACACCCTTCTTGTCCGTTTTCCTTCTGCCCCTCTTCTCCAACCCCCTCCTTCGCTCATAAGCGATCGCCTTCTCGCCCTCCCCTTGTAGCCCCATGGGCAACTCAACCTTCGCTTTCTTTCCCTCTGCAGCAACCGGAGAGCCAGCAAACAAGCACAAGAAGTACTTCTTCGCTTTCGTACTGTTCGGGTAATCCACCACCAGCCCGCCCTCGAACCCACACCGCATCGCAATGCTGGTGATCATCGTCACCTGGTCATCACTCTGCGGGTAGAACTGGAGTACAGCACGTGCACCACGAACGAGGCTCGCATATAGAGTGGAAAAGAACTGCTGCAGACGCTTGGGTGGGGAGTGGAAGGACACGTCGGCGTTGCAGAGCCATTGGATGACGGAGATGGAGATGGCGCCGTCGAACGTGCCTGGGCGAAAACCGAAGCCCTGTCCAATATCTTGCAGAAAGAGGTCGCCCTCTACCTCTCTCTCGAGCGCTACTTCTGCTCATCGAGTTAATGCGTTCTCATTCCACTGATAATAGCTGGACAGACCAAGCATGCTAGGGGCAATATCCACCCCGACCCAGTTATACCCCTCTTCGTCGAGTATCTCCCCACTCAACCCGCTGCCGCATCCGATATCGAGTAGGAACGCTGGCTCATCCGGGGGAAGAGCAAGCAGCTCCAGAGCACGAAGTGTCATGGCAGATTGGATGGATTGGATACGCGAGCTATGCAATGACTTAGATATGTTTGAGAGAAGATCGACAAAGTTTACTTCTCGGTGTATTTCCGTGCTTCGGCATCGCCGTAATACTACAAAAGAATCAGCAGGCTATCCCATGGTTTTCCATTCATGGTCACGCACTATCTCAGGCGGCGCTATGTGTTCTGGTCTTGACATCTTTTTGTTTGGAAGATATACAGGTCTGGCAGGATGAGTGAAATAGCGCCCAAAAATTCGTCTGGTCCCGCACTTTCAATGTCGCCTCAGGGTTTTGCTATGTGGGTTCGGTGCTATGCACATACTGACCACGCCATCGGGCAGATACAATTTCCAACCTCTGTAAATGCTTTCTCTTATTCAACTTCATTGTTAAATCGCCAAAGTATACGAGCACATCGCTACAATCTAGCTCTTACTTTCTTCTCAAAGAAACTTCCCGAGCCATTCCACCGCCTGCTCAAACGGCTTCCGTCCCTCCGCATCCTCTGGGTCAACCCCCAAATCAAACCCATGATCTCCCTCCGTAGTGATCAACAGATGCTCGTTCCCTCCTTCCTTCAGCGCATTCACCAGCTGGGTAGACACCTCATACGGGACCATCTTATCACTCGTCCCGTGGATAATCACAATCCTACTCCATGGTTTGAGCTGTTTCTTCGCATCGTAGGGCGCTGGCTCTTCCCCAGGAGGGAGGATATACTCGACCGCGTTCCCTTCCTGGGAGAGGTAGAATGCTGCGCGTGTACGGCCACGAGGGGTGAAGGTTGCGAAGTCCACATCGCCCGGGGAATTGGAGATCACCGGCCCGGACGGGTCTAGGTAACCTTTCACATCCTCCCAAGCGATCGGTGCGGGGAATTGTACTTTCTGGGACATGCCGGGCAGGGTGAGGTCACACCCCGGATAGACGGCGTACATAGCCAGTGGGGGTTTTGCGAGCTGATGTGCAGCGAGGAGTGCAATAAGGCCGCCTGGGACATGATCGATCAATAAAAAGTTCGAACCAAGCACATGAATAACACGAACCAGCACTGCTCCCTGCGACGACTAATTTCAACGCATCCACGCCCTCCAGATTCCTCGCTCTCACCCATGCAATCGCATCCTTCGCGTCTTCCAGCTGATCCGGCACCCTAACCTGTGGTGCTAGCCTATAGTCTGCACTGACGAACGCCCACCCTGCATCGAGTGCGGTCGCGACCTGCACACGGGAGATGTCACCTCGGGACCCGTCGACCCATGAACCGGGGTGGAACCATATGATGACGGGAAATCCAGCTGCTGGCTTTGGGTGTGCCGAAGAAGGTAGGTAGAGCGAGAGGCGGATTGGCACCCCAGACGCAGTCTTGTAGACAAAGTCACCTACAGATCGTGTCAGTGGTCATTGCGGACTGAGGCGGATCACTAACGAGGAGGGTTGGGCGGTGTCCACGGCATGCTGGCTGTCAAGGCTGAGGAGAACACCACACTGGATCATTGTTGAAGACGACACCAATATTGTCGGATATATGTTATTTCTTCGCGGAGTTGTCGCAGCCGCCTGGTGATCAAGGGCACGGGTAAAACCTTGGATAAACCTTCACCCTGGGTTGATCATGGAGTATGCCAAAGGTTTCACGTCTATCTCCATGTACAGACCGCATTCATGTGACCTGTACCATGGGAATAGAGAAATATTAATATCGTGACAAACGATGTATCGTTGAGAGTACTCGATTAGGCAGAGGAAGAGATCAGAGATTGGAGATCAGCATCCGCCGATGTACGGACCCAAAACAAGCTTCCAACATTCTAATGCATCACTATCTGCAAACTCAAAACTTCTTTTTAAACAGCTCGTTGTTCAACATCGGCGATGTTCCCCGTCATCACATCAGAACTGGTCATGCATGAATAGTCAGCAAAGGCTGTCGTAATCTGGTGCCCATCTGGTACACATCTGCAAGGTTCATCAGCACATGCTGGGCGGCTCCTACCATCGTGGATGCCATCGATCATCACAACACTTCATGCTTCTCTTCTTCAATGAAAATGCTTGGCGAAGTGGCAAATGAGAAGGAATATGCAGCGGAATTCCAACATCCTTATCTCTGGGGTATAGGAGGCTCGGTAGACGCCTTCCTTGGTCGTCCGGCGCCCGGCTCTTATCTGTACTAGGATCGCCCAGCTTCTCCATGACGTCGATCCTCGATGCTTGCTCCTACTGTTTAATCACGGTTCGATCCTTGCCTTTTAATCAGCCAAGAATAAGGCTTCGGCAATCTCCGAGTATCTGTTTGATCATCCCTGTGCTCACCAATCGTCGCAATAGTGAGTGAGACCTAAGGGTCCTCCACCTTTGCACATGAAAGGAAAACCTGTACGCCCTACAACCTCCGGCCATACAACCGGGATGCCGGCTGGCGGCATGTCGCAATCATCGCCGCGAATGTAATTACTAGGGGCGATTCGCGTCTGCCATAGCCCACTCCCCGCCATGGGCTCATCGTCGCGCCATTGTACAAAAGGGGTGTTTCCTGGAAGAGACCACCGAGCGCTCGCTTTCCTCCCACCAGTCCTCTCCTTCAGGCGGCCACCCGGGGGTGCGCTACAATATGCGCACCGAGCTCATTTTCCACGGCACTGGCGCCTCTTCTTGCCTTCCTAATATCTCTTGTCTCACCCTACCCCCTGAGGAATACGATGATGACGAAGAAGGGAGGTGCGAGGCCTGCCATCAGGGAGCGAACCCGTGGGACCATGCGGAGCCGAAGGAGGCGCTGAAGAACAGAAGACGGAATACTGGCGCTGTACTTCGTGTTACGCAGGACGATGGGTCGCAGGTGTGCGTTCTTGGCTCTCCTCTGTTTCTCTGTTGGTGGTTAACAGAAGCCTTCCAGGACCATTGTCATAGATGCTGGAAAGTCATTCGTCGCTGCGGCATTAGAATGGTTCCCGAAGCATGGTTTGCGGAAGATAGATGCTGTTGTACTTTCCCACGCTCATGCTGATGCGATGAACGGCTTAGACGACCTGCGATGTTAGTCCTCTTTGCACCGTAGAAAATAACCCCACTCAGTATTATTACAAGGCTGGACATTGGATGGAACCATGCAAGATCATGTCGATATCTACCTTTCCCAGAAGACGTTCGATGAAGTCGAGCGAACATTTCCGTATCTCGTGAACAAGGGCATGGCGACTGGTGGGGGTTCTGTAAGTTCTTATCTTGCAGAAAGAGGCGATGTACTGACTTGAGAAGGTGCCGGAATTCCAGTGGAATATTATTTCCGAGTTCGTAGAGTTCGACGTTCAAGGTGTGAACATCACGCCGCTCCCAGGTACCACATTATGCTGCTGTTCCAGGTCCCAGCTAACCAACCGTTCAGTTCATCACGGCCGGTACTTCAGCCCTGTCATAGAAAACCCATTCCCGATGACTCCACCCCTTTCACCCCCTTTATCCCGGAGTTCCAGTACTCAAACGTTCCCATTTCCGTCCCAAGCTCTCTCATCTTCCCCGACGCCGCCTGTCGTGTTCACCTCCGGCTACTTTCCCCGTTCTCGACCACCGTCACCTGTGATACCCCAACCCTATATCGCATTCGCCTTCCTGCTCCCCAACATCCTATACATATCCGACGTTTCCCTTATTCCCCCATCTCTATTCAGCCACCTGGCGTCTCTTCCAGAGGAGACAAAGCCACGTGTGAGCGTACTCGACTGCCTCAGACCGGAGAACCACACGAGCCATTTCGGGATTACCGAGGCTGTACGGGCTGCCCACGAACTTGGAACGGAGAAGAACTACCTGACTGGGTTCATGTGCGGCGGCCAAGGCAAATGGATCAGTCACAGGGGATGGTTGAGGGTGTGCGAGCGCGTGTCGGACGAGAAAGAGCTGGAGGACTTTACGGAGTGGACAGGCAGCGAAGGCGAGAGAAGACGGTGCGAGAGAGCGATCGAGATGGGAAGAAAGGGCATCGAGGAAGGAAAGGAAAGAGCATGGATCCGACCGGCATTTGATGGGATGAGAGTCGTGATTGATGAACACGGCAGGGTCTCTGACGGGACGTACGACTAGACTGGGGGGGAGCAACAAAATGAAGGAAATTTGTAGCATTATATTTTTTAGAATACCTGCATGCGATCATTAGAAAGTTGTAGTTTGGCTGGCTGAGCCAGAGCTCCCGACAACATACCCGGGGAATCAAAGAGACCTAGAAACGGGCCTTCATCGTTCAGACCGTCTGAGCTGCATTCGACTTTCGATTTAGACCAAGCACCAATAGTGGTCGAACCCGAGCCTCTGTGGGCGCAGGTCCGGAGGAATAGCGGATTTTCCTCAACCTCCACCCGTTTCCCTCACCGAAAGTCGGGCCAGGGCCCGGAATCCGTAGAGGACCGAGGCTAGCCATCAGAGCCGACCCTGTCTTTGGTGGCTGCGACCTGTTGAGCCTAGAACACGGCTTTGGAAAGCAATGGGTTGCAGCACCGGACTTGTTGCACCTGGACCCGGCGAACCATGTTGCCCCATCGACTTCGTCTCTGGAAGTAACGTCATCAGCATCCCCAAAGAAACAGCAACGAACGACGGAGCTATAGGGTGCGTCAATTTCGCCCCTGAGGTGTTCGCAGCGTGCGAACATTATAAGAAATAAGCCTGTCGTACGGAGGCAATCGATAATTGATAGACCGGCGGTGGAGGCCTCAGGGCGGCGTGCCGACGTGGCTGGCCAATGATGGAGCGCGGCGGGCTCGGAACACGTGGAACGACGAAGATGGGAAGTGTTGGTTGGGTTTGGAACTTTGGCCTGATTGGGAATAGACTTTCGTGGGAGAGGTAGGCAAGGAGTGTGGTCACACGCTCGTGCTGCCGATAAAGATGCAGAGAACTATCGTGGAGGGCGACGGATTTCTTTGATTGCAAATAGAGGTACGTTGTGAACCGGACTGGCAGCTCGATTCTGTCGGGGAGATGATGCCCGACCGCCGACAACGTCAAGCTGCAGAAGATGGATGCCGACCGGAAGGCTCGAATCAAGGGAGACTGCCGACCCAGGCCCTGGTCAACATCAGAATCCCGCCGGAATGAGACCCACAGACCCATCCGAGCTAGTACATACAGAACATTCTCAGAAACAGATTCAAGAACAGGCCAGGGCGTCATGAGACCTTGTCTCCCCCAGCGCCCGCGTGCCGCGGCCGGGCAAGAAGGCTCCGAGGGAAGGAGGGGACCTGGCAAGCCAATCCGTGCGTGGGTCCCGTGCTGTAAGTCAAAATGAAACAAAGTGCGCGATTTTCGCCCCTGAGGCTCCTCAGCTCCCGTGTTTCGACCACTGAAAGACTGAGAGAGAAACTGAATAGGAGCGCCGGTGCGGGGAGATGAATTGCTCCCGATAGGCTTGCCGCGAATCCGGGGACGGGCGCACCGGACCAGACCCGTGGCCCTGGCCTTGAGCTTGAGGGGGATTCAGTTTACCTCATCCTGGTGATGGGGAGCGTAATTGGCTGTGGGTGACAGGATAGAATCGATGCGAAGACAGGCGGCGGCGTGGAGGGGCGGCCCGCCCTCGTACCAGCGATTCTATCACATCACACGTCGGGAATGAATGCGAATAGAACTGACATGTGCTGTTGTCGGGGTCGGAACACGTTGTCGCGCGTCGGACCGCATGACCTGGAGAAAGTTTATCTGAGATCCGGGTTGATTAAGCGGGAAAAGACCCCAGAGTCGTGCGTATGAGGCTTGGTTCATTGGTTGTTAGGCTGGGGTTGGGGCGGGGATGCGGGGTGCGAATGCGAACGACCAGACCCATAGTGGCGGAACAACTGAAGGTACCGCGAGTCTCCGGAAGAGAGGACGGACGAAGTCCTTCACAAGGTAGAGAATGCCTCCAGAAGAGATAAGTCAGAAGGACTATGGACTCAGTAACTCTCTTCTGAATCAACATTCCTGGCAAGCTCGAGATCTGAGTCTTGAACCTAAATAGAGAGAGGTGGGCGGAATGCCGAACTAGGAAGGGGCGGCGGCGTTCAGCGAAGGTTTGGGCGAGGATTTGTTGGCTGGTAGGTTTTGAGGGATTGAGGCGTTTCGGGCCAGCATATGAGGGGTTATGAGGGACTCGATTCTGAATATTTAGGGACGCCAATCTGATGTGATGCGCTGTTCTTAGGTTAATAAATAAAGCTCATATTCTGAGGTGTTCTTCCAAACACGCAACCCCGAATAGAGCAGCCCTCCCGCAACATGCGCAACGCAATATACTTGCATTTGCCATTTAAGCATCGGCGCTCGGGGAGATGTTGCGGCAGCACTGTTCGAAAAAGGCAGGTGTGGGTCGTTTGAAGAAGTGGAAGAGAAGTACGGGAGGTCCGCCGGATGCCTGATTCTGCCCCGAGGTGGGGAGTTCGGGCTCGCAGGTTCGCAGAAGGGACAGCGAGTTACGTCCTCTTGTGTACAGCTCACTCAGGGCAACGAGGTCTTACGTCAACCCTCTCTTTGGGCAAGTACCTGAGGTCGGAGGGGGGATATTCTGAGAGGGTATGCTATCTCGGTGTCGGCGATGTGCGAGATCTGGCAGGTCAAGGGCAGGATAGTGGACGGTTATATTGGGAGTACATGTTCGACGGTAGAACGTTATAAATTTGATTGCTGCTTGTCGGCCTTTGTTTGGTCTTCATCGGCGTTGTCGGTGTTTGCAGGGTGAGATCCGGGCGAGCGGTCGCTTACGCAGGAGTTGGAGTTGGAGCTTATCATCAGATGCCAGCGCTGTCCTGCTCCAACTCATGTTCTCATATCCACACTTTCAGCCCTCCCAGTGCTCATAGTCTCAGATCCAGTTCTTCAGTCTCAGATCCAGTATTTATGTAGCTAGCAACTAGATAGAGTGGGGTCGAGTGTGCTTGATCAGCTGAGCAGCGTGTGCTTGGCGTCTTACGCCCTGTAAAATGGTTGACGACGACCGACCAGTTCTAGGTTCAAGTTCTAGGTTCTAGGTTCCAGGATACTAAGGCAGGTTTCTAGGCAGGGAGCAGCCAAGTCGAGCTCGTCTGTAACTATAAGGAGCACGCGTACAGTTTCCCCGCGTCCGAGAGAGGAGAGGCTGCCTCCACCTGGACTGGAAAAGGGTCAGCACCCGGGGCTGGTCTCATGCTGTCCCTGCGGGGTCTGGAGGGAATGGGTCTGGGTGTCTCGGCCTGCCTTTCCGGGGTCCTGGAAGGGGAGACTAATAATAATGTGTGGTGTAGAGTGGTGCTTGTATGTCTGAGTTGTGAAAGCATGCTGGCAGGGACCCAAAGTGAGGCGAGTACATAATAACCGCCCTCTCCTGCGCGGGATGCCTCCACTTCCCTCATCCTCCCCCCCCCTTCCGTCCGTCGAGAACGCTTCACCTCTCTGGTTTGAAGTAATCCACCACGTCGAATCGATCATTCATTACAGCAGTACTTATTGTACGCTCTCAACAACGTATTACGAATACAACGATGTGCGCTCCTGGGGATCCTGCAACAAAGTACGAATGCCGGTTGTGTGGGAGCAACTACTCACGCTTAGAGTACCTCAAGCGACACGAGAGGAAACGTGTGTCTATTCCTCTCATGTACTTACACTACTTACACGCATATATGCAGACCAGGACATCCGCCCCTTCAAATGTCCCAAATGTGCAAAGGAGTTTGCGCGGTCTGACGTACTCCTTCGTCATCGACGTAGGCAGCATCCGGACGACCCCACTCTGCCCCCCGTGCAGACACACAACACTAGCGGCACGGGGACCCCCCCTGTTCCATCCCCTACTTCTCCCACCGCTCCACGCAGGAGAAGGCGTGCGACGACGAATGGCTCTTCTTCCTCCAACTCGCGGGTGTCACCGCCTCTCCCCCCGCTAGGAGTGAACACCCAGGTTCAACCAGTGACCTCCCAGTCGAGCGGAGTCACGGCTAGTTCAGGTCCGACTCTAAGTCCCGACCTCCCAAGTCCACTCGAAGGCATCCTGCACTCAAACTCCTTTCCTCTCGTCCCCCCCTTTCAGCTCTCTTCGCCCGCAGCTGCAATAGCATCAGGCAGCATTTCCCCCGAAGTACTGCAGCATATATGGCCCGAAGCGTTCAGCGCTAATGGCCTACGATACGGTACTGGCGCCAGTGGAGAGTATGAGCAAGATGAGTATGGTTTCCGCACGACGACGAATGCGAATCGCTATGTCAGTTCAGCGCAGAGTTGGGCAGATGCAGCGGGCTTTGGTCAGGGTGCGGGGAACGCCATCGCTGCGGCGGCAGCGATGGGATCTGCACAAAGTACGAGTTCGCACTCGCCAGGATCGACCAATCTATTTCCTTCTCCATCTTTGCTCTCCGATCCAGCGCTCGCCACCAGCCCTCCGACAAGCGTAAGCATCTCCCCTCCGCCAGGTACGTCGCCCAATGATGGTGCGGGTGTGCCGCTGGAAGCTGTCCTTTCGGGAGGATACGAAGATGTATGCATGTCGGATGTCGAGCTCTCTGCTGGTGAGGCGAGCGACCACGATCCCCTTGCCGGAACCGGGGAGCTCCCATTACAGCATCAGCAGGAACAAATCGCTCAAGCTCAAGCTGCCGTCAATGCGCAAGCCGCAGCCGCCCACTCCGCCCCTTCACCAGATACGCAGCAAGCAGCCGTTGCTGCATATCTCCAGGGCACCTCTTCCAGAGACCGCGACGCCTTCCTAGCAGAGCAGACAATGCTCAAGATCGACGGGTCGCGCATGGAGCTCATTCGCGGCGTATGCAACCGGGACCCGACAGACAGGTTCTATGTTCCACCAGGATTCTTTGCCTACTGCTACCAAGTGCCTCGGTGGAAATTGCCTCGACTGAGCATCCTCTGCTCCCTTGCTAGCAGGAGCTTGAACGGGATGCTTGTCCACCTTCCTTTCGTGCACGAGCCTACGTTCCGCCTTGCCTCCCTTCCTGGTCCTCTCGCGTTCGCTATATGCTCCGTCGGCGGTGTGGGAGGTGTGATGTCCGTCCGACCACACAAGCCAGACTTCAACGAAGTCGCTTCCTGGGGCCAGGAGATCATGCCCCAGGTGAGGATTGAGAAAGCGGATATGTTGGTGCGGAACTTCCACAAGCAGAAGAGGGGGATGACTAGGCTCGAGATGCTCGCCGTCGTGCAGGCGTTGATGCTGTACAACGCGCCTAGCTTGATGAGCGGGGATGATTGTGATCGGTCAGTCCAGCTTTTTGCTTGAAGTCGAACCGAGTACTGATGCGCGTTGTGTAGGTTGGTAGGCCACTTGTTCCTCGGCACGATTGTCACCATCGCCCGCCAAGCAGGGCTCTTCGTCGCCACCGCCGAGCATGCATCAAATGCTGCCTACTCGTGTGAACACATCACATGGCTTCTCGAGCCGGGGAACGATGCCGCCCTCGAGCGGAAATGGAAAGACTGGATCCTCTCTGAGACTTATCGGCGCGCAGCATTCCTGGTGTATATCCTCGATACGCTGTCTTCACTCGAGAGCTCGATCCCGGCTATCGTACACCCTAATCATGTGGCGCATATCCCGCTGCCTGCGCCTGACCTCCTCTGGCAGGCGCAGAGCGCGCGTGAGTGGGGCGTAGGGATGACAGTGCACCATTCAGCCCAGGGCGTCTCCCTAGATCAAGCGATGAAAGACGTTCTCCGGCCGGTAGCGTCCCACTCCCCTCTGGGCGACGAAAGTGCAGGCACGAGCGCAGCGGACGACGCCAAGTTCACGGAGATGGGACCATTCGCGAGGATAATCGTCATACTTACGCTTGTAAGGGGGTTGATGACTCTCGGGGAAGGAGAGAAGGCGGGTGGGCCGGTGACGAAGCGCTGGGCTTTGGAGGGTATGACCAGTGGGAAATGGTGGAATGAGCCTGAGGTGCTGGAGGCGTACCAGTCGGCGTTGCAGAGAGTGAGCTTCACTATTATCAAGTGGAGAAAGACGCTGATTGCTTGGAATAGTGGAAAAAACGCTGGTCAGCAGATAGGCTCTGCCCACATCCTTTCACGACGGCGACCGCGAGGTATTCGGACCTTCCGGAAGGGTTGGACTTGGACGAGCCTCTCCCATCGCCGCTCGACCCCAGGCCTGCTCCGCCTCATCGTTCATCCTCCAACAGCACTGCTACACCGACTACTCCCGGCGGGGGGGCAACAGGCACAACGTTGAGCAACCTGAGCTCTAACCAGAGCCCGCAATACGCGCTTGTCAACCACGCTTCGCCCTACTACTGGTTCGCCCAAATGCTTATAAGCATCATCCGCGCGCATATTGCTGCACAGGACCCTGCAAGTGTAGGCGCGAACGTGGACGACGAGCAAGATGATCAGGCTACTGCGGGGATGAGGAACGATGACCAGGCTGTGCCAAATCGGTTTGTGGGCACAGACCTTAGAAGGATGCTTTTCGTCGCGAGGGAATATGGGATGCAACATGCGCCTTGAGCCCGGCCTGAGAGGCCTTGACAACCCAGCGAGAAAGTGTACGAGTGTAATTTGGCGCTGGTGAGCTTTGGGCTCTGCGTCACCGGAGGCGACTACGCGTTGCCTGCCTCTTTGATATCAGAGGGGAAGTGCTGCCCTGTGTGCGCACGAGCTGCTCTTAGGAGCTGGCGCCCCGTTCCCCTCCTCCTCCCTTGTTCTCGATCGATCGATTTTCATCTCTTTTCCTCGGTGGTTGACGTGTTTGACCCGAAGAAGAAAGTAAAGCGAAGTGAAGGACGCGTTGTTACGGCATTGGGCGGAGATGTCCCTCATTGGGACGGGGTAGCAGACTTACAAATTGGCCTTTGGCATCCGGCATTTGGCCGATGAGAGATATGTACGGACAGGAAGGACGTAGTTGTATGACTTTGTGTATGGAATACAAAGAGAGAGAAATGTGACCGGGTGATGTGCGACTTGCGAGATTGTCGAAGCCCCCTGTATGATCTATGATCTCTTCCTTCTCACCACAAAACTTGAAGGCTTGGTGATCTGACATGCAACATTGGCAGGGACAGTTCCTAACTCGATGCGACCGTAGGAACGGCGTGGATTATCTTGCTTGAGTGTCTCTAAGAGCACACAACCCTGCCTCTCCACTTTCGCGTTGCAAAACCGACCAGACCCAACCGTACGCGACAAAACGGCAAGGGTTCCGCGCAAGATTCTGGCTAAATTGCAGTTATCTGGATCAGAGCGAACCTGTTCACCATTAGGAGGCGTCACAAGGGCACCACCTAACAAAACGTGACTTGTCTCACGGAGAGTCTGGGGTAGTGTGCCTCCACCTGCGGGGTAATAATGTTGGGGTTGACAGTGCTACATAGTTTCCTGATCTGTTGATTTCTATTCTCCGCGTGGCTCGGTCTGAGACTTCTGACCGATGAGGTCAGCTTCACGCCAGAACATGCTACACGCTCAAGATATGATCTGGTTTTTTCCCCCTGCAATTCACTACCAGCCGACATGATAATTTGACCAATGCATTGCAGTCGGACTGGATGCAGTATAAGGGTCGGGAACCGAGGGGTAGGGTTACGGTCAAAGAAGCTTAAACGGACAAACGGAAACACTTGGTTCCGTGAAGCTACTCCACCTGCCTTTTCGGGCTTCATTAATTTCGGAGAGCTTCTGAATGGGTGGAAAATTGTGAACAGAGCCAGGGGATACCACGTGGTCTTTCTGTCAGGCCCCCAGGTGCGGGGGTTGGTCTCGGTTGGAACTGTGTGGGGCAGACGCTCCGCTGATCCACAGGAGGCTGAGGTGGCAACGATCTCCAGGATATTCTACCCCGCAAGTAGCCCCAAACACAACAACTCTATATCAAGACCCAATCGCATATTAAATGACTTGCTCTGCGTAACCGCACTACAGCTCTGCCAGTGATCATATGATCACCGTGTAAGATGGAAGTCGTCCACCTTTAATAGCAACGCTGCCGTTTCCGTTGACAGCTCGATCGCACTCGTCGATACCAACAACGGCTGCACAACGTCCTCTTCTAGGATGTTGCTGATCAGTCCCTTTCTCACGTTGATCCCTGCGTTAACCTCTCCGAGAGCATGCCTGTTTCGGAGCTCCGTGACGATCGCAATCGGATTCAGACCCGCGTTCTCCGCCAGTGTCGTGGGAATGACCTCGAGTGCTTCGGCGTATGCCGTGAAGCAATAGGCTTCCATGCCTTTGAGGGTCTGTGCATATTGGGCGAGCTGTCGTGAGACGTGGATCTCAGGTGCGCCTCCACCCGCGATCAGAGCGCGCTTCTTGACCAGGCAACGCACCACGCAGAGTGCATCGTGTAGTCTACAGCAAATAGAACCGCTCAGCAGAGGACTTTGGGAAAGAAAATCTGGGACATACGACCGCTCGCTCTCCTCCAGTACAACGTTGTTCGCACCCATGCAGAGAACGGAGACCGTCTTCCCACCTCCCTTGATCCCGGTAATCTTGATAACCTTGGCACCGGCGTGTTCGTTTTCTTCCACAAGATCCGCAGTGCCCAACTTGTCCTCCGTGAACTGCTCCACATCTGCCACAGGCTTGCATCCCAGGCTCTTGGCGAGCCACTCAACCTCGTCCCGCTCCACATCCTTCACTACCATGATCTTGAGCTTGGCCAAGAAATGCAGGGACATGTCCGTCACTGCATCACGCAAGATCGACTTCTGGATGAGGAGAACGTTGCACCCCGCTTTCTTGATCTTCTTGCAAAGATTGAGTATGTACTGCCGCTCCTCCTTGAGGATACGGTCCATCTGACGGTAATCATTCACCACAATCTGGTTGTCCATGTCCGGTTTGGGTGAAGATAGCTGGAACTGAATCAAACCAATCTTTGCCTTCTCCATGCGTGTGGGTCCGGACTGTGAAGTGATCGCATTCTGGTTCAGGACGACACCTTCTACGAGCTCGGTGTCCTCAATGGTGCCGCCAACCTTCTTGACGATCCGAATATCACGGAGATCAACGTTGGACGAGGTGGGGGTGATGAGGCGGGTGACGGCGGAGACGGCGATAGGAGAAAGGATGGAGGAGTATTGTGAAACAATCTAACCACGTGTTAAAGTCTTTTGAGTCGGAGATGTCAAAGTACGCACTTTAGAATTCAGAGAAGTCGCCGCCGCTCGGAGAAGAGAATTTCGGTCTTTCATATCCACCGGTGTCGAGATCTCCGTTAGGTACTCGACCGCCTTTTGGCTCGCCCGCAAGAAGCTCTCCGCAATGATCGTTGGGTGGATGCCCTTCTCGAGCAGTTTTTCCGCAGCGTTGAGGAACGATCCACACAGCACGACCACGGATGTCGTCCCGTCGCCAGCCTCAATATCTTGTGCGTGTGAGAGGTCGACGAGCATCTTTGCCGCGGGATGGAGTACAGCTAGGTGTGAGAGGATGGTGGCTCCGTCGTTCGTGACGATGACTTCGCCCCCTGAGGTTTGGATCATCTTGTCCATGCCCTTTGGTCCAAGCGACGTCCGTACAGCATCGCCGATGGCTATCAAACTTACATCAGCAATCATATTGACTAGCATATTGTGTAAGAACATACCTTTGGCTGCAGTCATGTTACTGAGCCTAACCTCCATCGGCTTGCTCTTGTCCCTGAAACTTGAGTTCGCCCCGCCAACACGAGCAGGCAACTTGGCCGCTGGTGAAGGACCTGGTACAGCAGTAGCCATCTTTTAAGAGTACGTCACAAATGAGAGAGGTAAGAACAGAAACGAGAGACTCCGCGGTACTGAGCTCCTCAGACGCCTTGCTCGCGGAGGACGCGTTACTTTTCGCGGAATTGGTTCCGCTTATGACTAAACGGAGGCAACCCCAAATAAGGAAAGCAGCCATGACGCGTCGTTTGTGCTGAAGTCGCTACACATTCCACGGGAGGCGGCCACTTATTCTGGCCTTTGCTCATCTACTCATCGTCTCTTGCTTCTCTACCATCATCTGTGTATAATACCAATCAACTAGTAGATAATCATGGTAAGTCTAACTTCTACCATACATCATAATGCTTACACATCCTCCAGAACTATAACAACGGATTCGACTCGGACGAAGACGACCACGCACCGCCGCCAAATCCCGGCACTTTCCAAGGCGGATTTCCCAGTGTTCTAGCCCAGCTGGCAGGGATGAACGGAGGGCTGATGCCTATGCCGCCCTGGGCTGCGGGGGGGAGCATGCCCCGACCCCCTGCTCGGGCGTTCGACGAGTACTTTAGGGCTTACTCGGTTGCGATGCTGAACCAGAAGGAGCGGGCTAACGTGAGCTACGGAGGGAAGAGTGAGTGATCACCTTATGCACCTGAAGAACATGATTGATAAGGAAACAGTCATCATGCCCCCCTCGGCGCTGGCAAGCCTCACAAGACTGGATATCGAAGCTCCCTGGATGTTCCAGCTCCGGAATCCCTCCAACTCGGCCGCGACCACCCACTCCGGCGTACTCGAGTTTATCGCCGACGAAGGCTGTGTCTACCTTCCCTACTGGATGATGAAGACTCTCCGGCTAGCCGAGGGGGACGCGATTCGTATTACGGGTGCAGTGCTACCCAAAGGCACGTTAGTGAAGCTCCAAGCGCAGACAGTCGACTTTCTCGACGTCTCCGAGCCCAAAGCCGTGCTCGAACAGTCCTTCCGCAACTACTCCGCACTAACGATGGGGGACATCATCGAGATTGCCTATAACGGGCTGACGTTCGAGCTGCTGGTGATGGAAGTCCAGCCCCTAGGGCAAGCGATAAACATCATCGATGTCGATCTGAGCGTAGAGTTCGCTCCGCCGAAGGGCTACGTCGAGCCCGAGCGTCCGGCGCCCAAGCCGGTGCCTACGATGGCCAGCAAGCTGGGGATCGATACTGGCAAGCAGGAGACTGTGGCTGAGGCAGCGGGGTTCGAGGCGTTCAAGGGTGTGGGGCAGGCGCTGAATGGAAGGCGGACGAAGGGGAAGGGAAAGTCCGGACGGAAGATTCAGGAAGTAGACGAATTCAGCAGGATCATCCGAACTGAGTACGTCCTCTATCTCGCAACCAACTTATGCTCATGCTCATTATGCCTTTTTAAAAATAGCAAACCGAAGCTCATGACGTCAGATACCGTGGACGCGGAACGCAAAGTCCCAGCAGCGCTCAACCTCCCCTTTGGAAAACTCTTCTTCGGCTTCCCGGTCACTCCCCTGCGCCCAGTGGCTGAGAGCACACAAACTGCGCCTGCGGCGGCAGAGCAGGAGCAGACGTTCCAGGGTCAGGGGCAGACGTTGAGCGGCCGGAGGCCGAGAGGTGATCGGCCCCCCCTTGCCCCTGCTGGGACTGCGGCCGCGGGTGCGGGTGGGGCGGGGCAGGGAGAGAAGAAGCCGGAAGAAGGCGAGAAGTGGAAGGGGAAAGGGAGGAGCTTGACGGGAAAGAGGGAAGTGATCGAGCTTGATTGAACCTTGTTCGTTGTTCGTTGTCTTGCGTTCCTGAGCCTGAGCCTGGGACATGGACGTGCACTGTGATCGAACGGGAGGTGGGGGATGAGGGGTTATAGAGTGTAAGATAACTGTCATGCATATGCATATACAGACTCGTTTGCATCGGACGGTTCGTGTCTGTTTGTCCACCACAGCTAGCGACGGACAGTCTGTGTACGTTGAACTATAGCTACAAGCTGATCTATCGACATGCGCAAGAAAAGAGCAGGGAATCAACTGGAACTGGAACTGGAACTGGAGTAGGAATTGGGAATTGGGAATCGGGAATTTAAACTGAACGTGAGAATGGAAAACGGAGACGGAGATAGAGACAGGAGATATGGACAGTGTTCTAGGAGTACCAGTGTCCAGTAATGCAAGGGGGTATGAAATGCCGTGTATCTCGCAAGATAATAAACGAAGTCCTTGAGTATTCAACAGCCCGGGCCGCCTAGCTCGAGGAGGGGGCGGGGCGGGGGGNGGGGG